ACATTAGTAAATGCACTGACTGTGCATTTAGCAAGAGTGGTTAGCAAGATTTACCCTTAATAATCTACAGTATTTTCAGGTTATTTATATGAAAATGTAGAAAATTTACCTAAAAAATTATTTAGTTTACACTAGAGTGAGGTGAAATCAGGAAACAAGCGCAAAGCAAGTAGTTGTTAGCTAGCTGCTAATTTTATTCAATTGTTGGCAATATGGTATAAAATTAGACTAGCCTATTAGTTAAAATAAACATTTTAATGCTACGTTTTTAGTTCTACGTTTTAATATTGATATGATTATATACCAAAATAATTATCAGGTCAAGCAAAGAAGGATTTTATCTTTGAAAGCTATGAAATCCAGTGGTAAAATCAGCTTAAAAAAAAAAAAAGAAAGGACGAGTGTCTGTTGGCCACCACCGAAGACCATTTTTGACCCAGGAAAAATCCTGGTGGTAACCATGTTTTTTTTGGCGGATTAATTACAATTTGTTTAACCAGATTTTTACAACACATTCCATGTTTTAACTGTGGTTAGTGTAGCAAAAAAAATGGTTAATTTGTGGTTACCATGGTTTTACTAGTTACCATGGTTTATGGTTTTATTTGTAGTAAAATCTTGGTTAATTTTCGTGAGGGTTGTATTGTCTTCCCTACCTCGCTCATATAAAACGATGTGGTTATTTGTCTGCTAAATTACTACTGTAACTTCACAATAGTTAATGTCCTTTAGCATGATACAGTATTTTGAGTGATGACAGTAACGTAACGTTATTGGGGTGCTACTGTTAACTTTGCTAGCAGTTTAATGCTTAACTAGGTAAACAAAGACAAAACTACCATATTTTACAATTACAGATGAAACTGACCTGCACTTGAAGTCCTGAACAGGTCAGTAGTTTTGCCTCTTGCTTCCACTCCCTTCCCTTCTCAAGTCTCTCGCATTGATTACTCTGATCGAAACCGTTTAGCGGAGGCGCGAGGCGAATCGCGTTGCCAGTCAAGACTAACCGATTCATGATTTATTACAGATTTATTATTGAATGGCGAATTCGGGAAAAATCACTTTAGTACATTCGGCCGGCAATAATAATAATAAATTCAGGGCAGCGGGCCAAATCGGCTGCCAGGCCGCCGGGAATTTTCCCGGTTCTCCCGATGTCCAGTTTAAATATCAGACCACATCTGGTATAATGATGGAGAGAGCAGAGGTCTAGTAAAAAGACTGGATATAACAGTATGTGAAGTATTGTGAGCAAAGATAGCCGTCAATTTTGTTGTTTAATAATGGCCTAATATGTATTTTGTATTAAGGGACAAAAAAATAATAAATCAAAAAATCAAAGAAAAGAAAAAACAATTATAAAAAAATTAATGGATGAATAAATAAATAAACACTGTAAAAAATTGTTGACATAGTTTCAGTTGCTGCCTTAACATTTTATGTGTAATTAAATTGTCTGTCATTTCAACTCATTTAAGTTTTTGATGAGCTAAAAGTATAAAAGTAAGCTTTAAAAGTCTGGACCATAGGTCTGGACAGCTTTGGAATTTGATGTAGCCTAGTTATAATTGCTTGAACAACCTGTTTGTTTTTGTTTTCAAAAAAGGGCTAGGGGCTTCTTACTAAATTAATTTCGGGGGAAATGAAAATAATAATAAAAATAATTAAACATCTAAGCATTTAACAAATAAGAGTCTAAAAAAACTAACATATTTCTTTAAGATGACGCACTCCTCTCTTCTAGCCAATGAGAAGAGAGCTTCCGCGATTGGCTGGTGCCCGCTGACGGTAGTTGCGTGTGTCTGCAGGCCTGAACTGAGTGTCCACAGCACTGGTGGGAAAAGCAATGAATTCATTAGAACAAGCCGAAGGTACTTTTCAGTAGAATATCAGTTTAGTGCACTCATCTCCGAGTGTCATATTCATATATTAACAAAGCGTCCACGTGTTTGTTATGGCATGTTAGATGTATTATGTTAACACTGGGCTGCTAGCATCTAAGCTAAGACTCTTAAGACATTTCAGCAGTTACCACTGAGATCTCGGAAAAACTGATGCCTCAACAAGGAGTGTAGCTCTTCTGTCATAGTAAAGTACGGGTCTTGGCTTTAAACATTGTGTTGGCCTGTCATAACTCCACTATACTAGACACTGACGTGTAATACATGCCAATTAGTGTACATTTTCCACTAAATTTAAGTAAAATTTTAAGCCATAAAGCTGTCAATGCCTTGATATGCCTGGTACAGTTGATATTTCTGTACCTATAAACAATGTAATTTAGTCCATTCATACCAGTGTATTTGCCTATCTGTATGTTTAGCTTTTGTTTATAATGCATTTTTCATAGTGATCTGCAGTATAGTGACTTAAAGGAGTAATTCGCCACTGGCAATATAAGGTTTTAATAAATAAAAAATACTTACTATGCAATAGAAAGGTAAAATGTTTTTGAAAGTGTTGTTATGACTATAGAGATCTGTGTTGTTGAGTTTTGCCAGAAAGGTTGGGAAACTCCAACACCCATAATGCTCTGGGCTCGATCCGACTGTCTGTGGGCGAGAATGCATAAATGCGGAAGTAAGATGTGTAGTTTTAACAATCCCTGGCGCTGTAAAAAAAAAAAAAGAAAAAAAAAAAAGAAAAGCATAATAGCTGACTATATGTATACACAGTACACACTACTGCCATTGTAACAATACAAAGCTGGTTGAAAGCAAGCGAACTTGGCGTTTAAATGGCAGTTGAATTCTTTGGAAATAAAAAACTGTAAACTGTTTGGGTTTCTGCCTCAGTATTTTAAAAAGAGAGAGAGTGTAAAATAGATGTAAAATAGATTACCTCACTCTCGGTACTTTGCTGATATAATTGTTTTCCTCATCTGTAGACCTGAAGGCATTTGAGAGGAGACTGACAGAGTATGTGTCTTGTTTGCAGCCGGCTACAGGTCGTTGGCGCAGTAAGTCAGTCCAGCTTGTCTGGTGTAATCTTTACTGAATCTGCCTCAAGCATTTTAAAACCTGGACTGCTCTGAGCCACGAAGTGTACACATTTACTGAGTGTTCATAACTCTTATATATCCACAAAGATGGAGCTTATTGTGCAATATACTGTCTCATTTTAATTCATGAATTCTGTCTTCTTTTTGCAGTGATTTTGATTGTGGTGTCTGTGTGCACAGCCACAGGAGCGTGGAACTGGCTTATAGATCCAGACACTCAGAAAGTATGTGAAATTAAGAGATGTTACAAATGAGGTCAAATTAGCATCTGATGTCACATTCCCCTTGAATGCATTATGTCATCTCTTTCCACAGGTTTCTTTCTTCTCATCTTTATGGAATCATCCGTTTTTCACTATCAGCTGTGTGACTCTCATAGGCCTTTTCTTTGCTGGAATACATAAACGGGTTGTGGCGCCATCTATGTATCCTTCTCAATGCTGGAAATTTGCAGTGGTGTTCGGTGTGCTCACCCATTCTATTGAGTATTAACAATCCCAAAACTGCAGATTGTCAGTGACTACCAGATCTCTCCTTAACCACTTGTTGCAGTATTGCAGCACGTTGCCGGACAGTACTAGCAGAATATAACATGTCCTGTGATGATGTGAGTACTTGTGTCCTTTGAATTATTGCCCTATGTGATCTATCAATTTCACTGATTTGAAAATCCAAAGCAACTTTTCTTGTGCATTCATTTGTATTTTTCCCCCCTCGTATGCTAGACTGGGAAACTTATCCTGAAACCGCGGCCTCATATCCAATAGCACCTTGAAGAGATGGGAGTGGAGAGCATTTCATATCAACATTAATCATCAAGATTGCACATAGGCCTCAGTGCCAGGGTATAATCCAAAGTGTGTGGGGGTCAACCTCCCAAATAGGACTTCTCTCTGCAATTTATGAAGAAGCAATGCGAGCTCAAAAGGATACGGCCATTTTGAAGAAAAACATTGTTTCTGCTATTTTTAAATAACCCTTATTTTTCTGTTGGAAAATTTGAGTTTTATTTGATTGTGGATTTTGATATCCTCATTTGTAATGCCGTGGTCTTATTTTAGATGCATACGGTGTATGTATTTTTAAGTAAATTGCTGAACACATAATGAATATTAAAGTGTTGATATTTGTTCACCTTACGCTGACTTTTACATATATAATAGGAAACATTTATGAAATGTTTATGCCTATGACATGATGCGCTGCTTTTTGTTGTTTTTACAAGTACTTTTATGCGACTAAAGGCTGCACTAGTTTAACTCAAAAGGGTCACAGGCTAATGTGTCATGGTTGGCTGAGATTTTATTTACTTTCACTCCAGAATTAAAATCTATAAGAACATGTGTTGGCAATAATAAAAGTTGTTTGTAATACAGAGTTTTTTGCTATTTGTTATTATTAATGTCACTGAAGCAGAAAAAACAACGTCTGTCAGTTGATAAAGCTTTATAAGCTTAGTGGTTCGAAATCTGAGTGAATTATTTATTTCACACGTATTTCGGTCATCATCACGTCTTCCTAACATCACGCATGGAATAGGTTATAATTACATAATTCAAAGCGTGCCGAGAATTCTACATTGTTTTTGAGTTTTACATGAGTTTTCATTGTAATTTCTTTTTTCCCAGTTCGGTTTGTTGTAGCCATAATACACTTGAGTACAGTTATAAAACGGTTTATTTAGAACCTCTGTATAATTTGTGGTTAAATTGAAAAATACAACGTTTTAAAAAAAGTGTTATTTCGCACCACCTGTCGATCATTTTATCACTTTAAATTCCCTTATTATGAATGAATGAATCAATCTGACAATCGGAACCATTATGAATCGTTTATGTTGGTGAGTTGACTCGAGAACCGCTCGGACCGAATCATTGGCCCAGTCCCAAATGGCACACTTCCATATACTTCATGCACTTTCGGTCTTGTGGACGATCCCGCTGAAGTGATTCGTTGGAATGATCCGAGTCAAAAGAACGATTGGTTTATGAATCGGACAAAGCAAGAGCTCACGCGGCCACCGTACTTATTGTAAACATGGCGTCCGATGAAGATAGCGATGAGGATTTCGTGTCTTACGGAACTCCTTTAGAGCCTCTGGAAGAAGGTACTAACGTTACATGTACACTGTAGTTGTTATTTGTTTGAATGTGTAGGTTTTTGATGCATAAGAGCTGTGAATATTTAATGAAAACAGCTGGCGCAGAAATTTCACACGTTCCTAGTTATGAATTCAACGTTGTTCGTATATGTGTATTTCAGATGAACCCAGCAGAAAGCCTGTCCCCGTGCACGAGCAGACGGTTAAAGATGAGAAGGGCCGCTACAAGAGATTTCACGGAGCTTTTACTGGTGGCTTCTCCGCTGGTTACTTTAACACAGTGGGCACCAAAGAAGGTCAATGCCAACCTTGCTCAGTGCAGTAATGCTTTCTGTTAACCGGGTCTTGTAGTTTAACTAATCTCCTTTGTCCTTTAGGCTGGGCACCATCAACATTTCTATCAACTCGACAGCAAAAGGCAGGGAGACAGAATGCTAGACCAGAGGACTTTATGGATGAGGAGGTTAGTGTGTGAATCCTTGGTTCTCACACGTCTACACTACTGTGCCTTGATACTTGTAAACTCCTTGGCGTGTAATTTTTTTCTAATACATAATGTTTTGTAAAAGGATTTTGGTGAGCATGGTATTGCCCCAAGAGAGATTGTCACTACAGATGATTTTGCATCGGAGAGGAAGGATCAGTTAAAAGACAAAGCACGAGCCGTCAGTTCTATTGCTGCTCTGATACCTGGAGACACTGGACTGCTGGAAGAGCTTATCGCCCCTGCACGGTAAGCATCACTCTAACTGATATGTGCTAACTATAATGTAACTGAAAGCTAAACTTATTACATGGCATTGTGTGATTGCTAGGTCATCTATTGGTGTGGAGCTGCTGAGAAAAATGGGCTGGAAAGATGGCCAGGGAGTCGGACCAAGAGTGAAGAGAAAGCAACCCAAGCAAAAGACTGGTGATGAGAGAAGATATCACAGATGTTTTGTTTTAGCTGAAGTGCCATTTTTAGGTTTTAGGTCTGGTAAGGATGATATGATGTGCTGAGCACAATGTTAACATTTCAAGAAGCTTAGCTTTGCTCTTTCTCATCTTTCAGATGCGGTTAGAGTTTATGGCTGTGTTTTGCCGCCCAATGGATCTGAGGAGTCTGAGGTGGATATTGTTTAATGTTTGGGTTTCTGATCAGATTAATTTGAAATTTACAATGGCTGCATCCAAAATTGCATACTCTCTGAGTAGGTACTCCTTTTGAATAAGTACTTACTTCGCAACCAGTAAAAACTGGTTGAGGAGATTCCCCCTTCCATGTGAAGCGCTTTGAGTGCCTAGAAAAGCGCTATATAAATGTAATGAATTATTATTATTATTATATTATTATAAAAAGGATGTTATAGTATGATTGTAGTCTGGAAGTACTACATTCATCATGTTGTCATAGTCATGTGACCTACCAGGGTCAGTTGCTTTGCTTCACTGCTTTTCACAAATCTCTCCAGTGGGCTCGTTGGATTGTAAAGTGTCCATCAGATGTGCCCCTCAGAATCTAAGTCATCTGGGTACTTTTTGCCTACTGTTTTATGAATACTGTGAATTCGGACATACTACTCGTTTCACATATGAGTATGCATATTCAGATGCAGCCCATGTGATTACTATGTGAAGAATGGACAGAATTTAGTCATACTGAAAAACTTTTTATTTTTGTTCAGGAGGATGACGATGAATTTGCTCCAGAGAATGTGACCTTTGCCCCCAAAGATGTGATCCCAGTGGACTTCACCCCTAAAGTGGACTCCCATGGTCTGGGTTACCGAGGGCTGAACCCTCTACAGGCCTTGGAGGGTGGATCAGGATCAGGACATATAAACCTCTTCACGCTTCACTCTGATAGAGCAACCAGCTTATTTGGAGACAAAAAGAAGTCTGGACAGCAACGCAGGGGTGGGATTGGAGGACAGGTAACGCCAACGTGCTGATCAGTAATGGCCTAGAAAACAAAATTTGCTACTAAAACTAAAACACACCCATTAGAAGAAACATGCTGACACCAGTGTATATGTGAGTAGGCTTTTGGAGTTGGTGCAATGGAGGAGGAAGATACCGATATTTATCATAAGGACTCCATGTCCAACTATGATGCTGTGCTGGGAGGAGAAGAGCCAGGGGATGGGCTCTATGGATGGACTGCTCCCCAGCAGTATACCAGGAAGAAGAACGGTTGGTGACATGAAGTCCTTGGCTGTGTCCTCATAATGTCATGATGCATTTATGCTGCATCAGGATGTCAGAACTGGGTCCTATTTGAGTGTCTTTTGTAATGTGACCATACTGTTTTATGTGATAATGTAGGCTTAGCAGGAAAGATGGCTCCTCTATGACAAATATATATATTTTTTTGTTCCAGACTCAAAAAGAGACGTGACGTATTCGGGCAGGATTCTGGAGGGGTTTACATTGGCCTCCCAAGCCGCAGAAATTAAAACTGTAATGTACAGCACTAGGCAGTTCGTTTATTACTTTATTTGGTGTGAAAAAGTTGTGCTGTTAAATTAGGCTCACTGGTTTTGGTTCTAGGTCTATCCTCCCCCTGATCTGCCCCGTGATTATCGGCCTGTACATTACTTTCGTCCTGTGGTTGATCCATCCTCCGTCAGTCCTATTGTTGCCCAGGCACTGCAGGCTTCACGTGGACACCTATCACAGGATGCACCACAGCAGAGTCGTCACAATTTAGACTCTGGTCAGAGACGTGACATGCTGGGAGAAACGCCTCTAGAGGGTAAGGATGTCTCTGTGTATGTGTTGTGGTTGTTTTTAGAGTGATTTGAATTGTAGATTTGTGATTGCAGGTAGATTCAGATCAGAGCTGTCACATTTTCATTACACAATTGAACAAAAACAATTCACAATAATGATATGATCACGATATCTATAGAAACTTTAAAAAAAATAATGCTATCAGTCAAATTTATCTTTAAATTTATTTTGTGTTTTCTCTTTTTTTGGCTAAAGAATCACTCAAAATCTGAGTGTAGGGAGGTGGAGAGAGTTTGTAAGCGTAACTTTACAAATACATACAAAAAAAGAACCTACTGTTAGTCCGTACTTCTTGCTTTCATCTGTCATCTCTTCTGACATAATTTTGTGGGGCAGTAGCTGCTACACTGCAGTCACCTTTTTTTCCATTGAATGACGTGTGGCAACAAACATTAAGGAGCAATACCACTACCTACTATGCGTCAACCAGATTGTTACTGTCACTGGATTAATAATTACATTATTGTATGTGTAGCTTTATTATCCTGTACGTCTCAGATCTCATAACTTCCTTGTAAGTCCAAAAACAGCGTTTATTGAAACCAAGCTCCCAAAACAACTTGTTTTGGATTTTGTCTCAGTATGACGTTACAGTGCAAAAAAAACCCGCCACTGCAGATGGTCAACGCCTACTTCTAGATCATTGCCTCTTTAGCCCCGACCATCAATTCACTCATGCTCCAGATCGCGTCAGTAAGACACTGTTCGATTCTTCGCTTTATTTTACTGCAGATTAGTTTTTTAACAAGACATTTTGACAGGCTTTTCAAAAAATAAACTAAAAATAAAAGATGATGCAGTGCTGACTATATTTTGGATCCAACAGTAATGTCACTCACAATACACAAGTGTGAGTAACAGTGTTTTTACCATTCCTTTGTCTGTTACAGATTATTTGATATGTACTCCCTTTACTGAAAATTATTAACAATGAATACAATAATGACAATGCGACAAACAATGGTACATTCATTCATAATTCGTTTACACGAAACACCATAAGTCATCCTTTGTCAACTATAACTGTGATAATTCCAAGTAGTTAAACTTTATTTGCCACAACCAAGACTTACAAAGAATATGTAATATGCATATATAAACAATACCTCACAAATACATAAGGAATAAATATAGATGATTAATTACCATCCTGGAGTATCCTTCGTATTTGAGGTGTAGGTTTTTAAACATGTATGGCGAACATCGTAAGTTTTCAACTAAAAAAAATCCTCATGGTAAGGGTGGGGATGTTGAAAATTATTGTAAAATGCAAAACTGTTAGCCAATCATAGCAGTGTGCAAAAACATGATAGAAAATAGCCTATTACTTCTAAACTTGATGTAAAAAAAACTTGCTAACATTATAAGTGGACCTCAAAGAACATTGTAAGATGAAAAAATGCAGTTTATTACTCCTTTATAATACAATTTATAACCCAAACATTTGTTTATGTTCTATAGGCCCTAGTTCTGTGTTTGAGTTGCTTGACAGTAAGGACAGAGAGCGTCTGAATGAGTTCCGCAGAGCGGCCGAGGGGCGGAATAAGCCAGCGGGAAACCTTTCCTCAGCTGCGGATCGAGCTGCCGTGGTGGCTTCGGCTAAAGCCGCCGCTCTGCAGGCCCTGTCCAGCCGTTTCAAGTCAAACGCCCCACAGCCTGATTCCCACACTCAGAGCATGACCTCTCCAATCCAACCTCAGGCATCCTCTGAGACCCAGATGGCTTTGAATGCCTGGTCTGCTCCCACTGCAGATGCTAGCAAAACCTTTAAACCATTTTCAAACAATCCTCAGAAGCAGGCCCGCTACGATCTGTACATCAACAAACTCAAACGGGGCAATAAAGGTGAATTTTAACTTTTTATGTTTGGTCTGATTTATCCTGGATTTTCCTAATCTATGTTTAGCTAAATACCTGATTTCCACACTATTTGTAGATGCCCTGGACTCGAGTCTGGACACCTCCATGACGGAGTGGGAGAGAGGGAGAGAAAGGGACGAATTTGTACGCGCTGCATTACTCTATAAGCCCAGCAACTCTTCTCTCTCCTCACGCTTCACACGTAGCAAACAAGAGGACGACACAGACAATGTGGAGGTCACACGGGATCAAGAGGTTAGGAGCTTCACCTTTGACATTAGTTCAGGAAATTCGTTTGGTTAAAATGGAACTAAAAAGGTGCTTATATTTCCAGTATTGTCCACTGTTAAGCAACTTGATTTTATTATAATGGTACTTTAATATTCACTCTCTTTAGAATGATGTTGATGACAAGCAGGCCGCTGTGAAGATGAAGATGTTTGGGAAACTGACCAGAGAAACATTTGAGTGGCACCCTGATAAACTATTGTGTAAAAGATTCAATGTTCCAAACCCTTATCCAGGGTAAGATGCAGACTTGTGGATTAAATCATATGCTGCATCTGAAGACAGTCCTTTACTATTGGAGTAAATTAAGGACAAAGGTCTTTAATGCAAAAAACCTCTTGAATTTCCCTAATTTAAAAAATAATAATAATAATAATATATATATTATTATTATTATTTTATATATATATATATATATATATATATATAATTTTTTATTTTACAATCGTTAAATTGCAGCCTCAAATTAAATTACTGTTATTGCAATGTCTGTTTTTTTTATTAGTGCAATTCAACTTTTTTTTATGGAAGGTTTTTTCCACCAACCTTTAAATTTAGATACAAATGTAACTAAAATTATTACATTTAAGTTTTAATTTATTATTATTATTATTATTGCTTTAGCATTAGGAAAGGTTTGTAACAAATTTCTCTTTCATTTATCTTTTGTCTGTTTTGCAGGTCTAGTATAGTGGGAATGCCTAAAATAAAGAGAGATAAGTACTCAGTCTTTAACTTCCTGACCATAACGGACAGCAGGGAGGCCCCGAGTGCTCCCAAAACTCCCAGCTCCAGCACAACCCTTACCTGTTTGACTCCAGAAGTCTCAAATAAGAGATCCAGGTGGGATGTACCAGGGCAGGTATCTGAAACTAAAGACCCACTCAGTGCATTCCTCAGTGAAACTCGCAGTGAGGTTTCAGCGGCCCAGCAAAATGAAGCTGGGGTCAAGACCCAGACAGAATCTCCACATGCTTCTGTCACTCCAGAGGTATTTTTCACCCCTGAAGAATAAATTCAGAAAGTTTTCACCTAACTTGAAGCTAAAGTATTTTTTAAATTAGTACTATATACAGCAAAACCCCAATGTAATGATCACATTTCTGTGCAGGTAAAAGTGGCACTGTCCGATGAGCAGCAGATTGAACAAAAGACTGAAGAGGAGGAGAAGGAAGAGGATGAAGAAGAGGTAAGGCCTCCAATGGATCTCTTTAAAGCCATCTTTGCCAGCTCGTCAGATGAGAAGAGCTCATCGTCATCTGAAGATTGTAGCGAGGAAGAGGACGAGGTGGCTCTTTCAACATCTGAACCAATCCAAAGCGGTGCAGGGACAGTGAACCCTCTTATCTCAGCTCTGATCACTCTTGTTCCCGACCACAGCAATGTGTCGGGTATGCTTTATATGAGAAGTTTCATAAAAACCTTTTTCAATGATTCAGATGTCATTGTCATAATCATTTATTGACTTTATTTTTCTCTCCCCCTCAGATTTGAAGCATCTTACAGTCCAGAGCATGCCATCTGCTGAAACTGCAGCACAAAATACTCAGTCCTCCGATAATGCTCCTGCTAAATCACAAGGCCTGGATGAAGAGGAGTTTGGCCCCAGACTGCCACCCCCTGGTCAGTCACTGTAACCACTGTTGAAGCAATAATACTTACTTATTTCATTAAATAATAATAATAATATAAAATAAAGCTCAAACTCACAAGACATAGTTTCTTTACAAGAATATATATATTATCTGATACTTGGTGATATATGGTAATATACAGGTGCAGTAATTTTAGCTTTATTACTTTTTCATTCCAAAACATCAAGTTTTACATCGTTCCTCTCTTCATCAGGGCTTGTGCCACCTGCACGCTCACCGCAGCTAAAGAAACAGAAGAAAAAAGAGAAAGAGAAACACAGAGCCAAGAAACACAAGAAAGAGAAAAAGGTAGTTTTTCTGGAACAGATTTATTCAGTCTGAGTGCCAGACTTCTTTGCAAAACTAGAAATGACATTGTTTCTCTATCTTTTCTCAGAAGAAAAAGAACAAGAAACATAAGCATAAAGGGAAACAGAAGAAGAGGGTGGAGGAGTCCAATAGCAGCTCAGACGACACTGACTCTAACAGTGAAGATGAAAATAGAGTTGTGTCTACTACTGAACTGCTTCAGAGGTCAGAGCTCATATTTCCAATCATATAGGATTTTATAATGGGTCTTTTAAATGTTAATGTATCTTTGTATACATTATTTTTAATTTAACGGCTTGAAAGAGGATTTTTCTCTCTCTCTGGCTTAGGTTAAAAAACATCAAGAACAAGAGATAGAAGAATTGAGAGTGAGGAAGTTGTCTTACGGGAACGTCAAGATAATAGTGTGTGTGCGCGTGCGTGCATTTATTTACATAAGTGTACCTAATGTTATGATTGCAGATATTTTTAATAAAAGAAATATTTAAAAAAGTAATTATTGTAATGAAATGTCACAAACACAAACACAATGTGATCAAACTACATTAACCTTGTTGTAATGCAACAGTAATTTGACCATATTCTGTTAAGATTCATGTATAAAAGCAATTACGATGAATGAATGAACGAACCAAAGGAGGAAAGCTCAGATGGGAAGACTCAGGTGAAACTTAAAACCTGCAATCAACTGTGGAGCAGAACTTTACCTTCTTATGAGCTTTTTGAGACATGAGTTTACATGAAGTGTTTTGTGCCTTTAACTTTAAGAATTGTTCTTGTCTTTTTTTCCACTGTTAAACATCCATTTATGAGTGCATGTGAAGGCAGGTTTTTTCTGTCACATTTGCTTGTTTACACATAAGGGTCCCTTTTACCTTGTAAATAAAAATGCTAGTCTGCTGTACATTTAATTAGTTTAATATTTTGTGTAGGCTAATTTGTTCATTTAGTTAATATTTTAACTAGGGATTTTGACTAATGTTGGTTTGTCTTATGTTTCATTATTTTACTATTTCTTCCAGCGTGTGCAGTTGAGTTCTGTTGACAACTTTGCGTAGCTCATAAAAAAAAAAACCACTTACTGCATTGCTCTGATTGGTTGTAGGTCTATCCAATTGACTTTATGCACAGCTGCACTACTTCCTGAACTTAAGCCAGCTCCTTTATTTCCTGTCTTACATTATTGGACACACTGATTAATCCAGGTGTGTCTGATTATTGTTGCTATGACTACTGAGGTCAGGCACACCTGAATTAATCAGTGTGTCCAATAATGTAAGACAGGAAATAAAGGAGCTGGCTTAAGTTCAGGAAGTAGTGCAGCTGTGCTTAAAGTCAATTGAGTGCAGAGTTTTTTTTTCTTCTTTCCTGGTTCGGTTAAGACACGCCTCATAATCAAAGACCTATGGAGCAGTATCAGACTCACATTCTGACTAGAATATGAGTATGACGAAGTCAGGCTAGCGGTGACGTGTAACGTAGTCACTCTTACTAGCCACTTTGGCAGGTTTGAATTTTATGTTGGCCAAAAATTTATTTTAGTTTTTTAGAAAGGCATCTGAAATAATATACTAAGTGCAATGTAGTGTTGTCCAAATTATAGATTTTTCGATATATATATTGATACTGGTATATTTGAAATGCTTCAAATACTCATTTTCCGCAGAATAGTTACACAATAACAGCTGTGCTTTCTCGCTCTCTCATGATCTCTCCGACAGCGAGTTGACACAAACACGCCTCCCCTCAAGCACTTGTTTAATTTGCTCCGGATTAATATTGTTGGTGTAACAGGGCTTAAATTTCAGCTTGGGATTGTGCATAATTTTACTAATTCCCGTAGATTTTATGCTCACACCTAAATTGAGTTGTTTTTTGCTACTTATAGTGCTTAAACAGTCCAATACATACAAAATAATGTCAAATTGCCTGCCTTGTTGAATATTTAGTTATGTCAGTTATGTTTTAAGTGTAATGGATCTATGCATCAGGTCTTAAAGTGACAGCAGCCTAATATACCGGCTGCCAAATTATGAGATATTAAAAATATCTAAATGGCACATTTTCCACCATGGTATTGATGTCAAAATTGTGGCCAGTGAAAATGCTGAGTGGATAGTAACTTTAGAAAACCATTAGCCACAGTGGCCAGTGAGCAAAAAATATTGTCAAGCACTAAATATACAATTGTAACTGAAAGTATTCAACCCAATTGCAAATCAGGCAATTGGCAACATGTTCAGACTTTCAGCTGTTTGCAATAAACAAATCAAACAAAAGTAATTAAAATAGCTCACTACAACTAATGTTTCAAGTGGTTTGCCCAAATTCAACTGAAAATGCAACTTTTAATGACTTCTGAAGTCTCAAAATTATTCAACCCCTTCATGCCAAGCATTAGCCTGCCTGCGTCTAGTCAGAATGTGAGTCTGATACTGCTCCATAGGGCTTTGATTATGAGACGTGTCTTAACCGAACCAGGAAAAACAACAACTCTGCACTCAATTGGATAGACCTACAACCAATGCGAGCAACGCAGTAAGTCAGCTACATAGTTGCATAGCATAGTTTCAACAGAACTCAACTGCACACACGCTGGAAGAAGTAGTAAAATAATGAGTGTTGCTTCTTTTACTTGGTCCTCCATGAGTGCGACCAAAGGAGAAACCACAACGACCGCAGGGTTTTCATTGCGTCCATCGGAGCCAGCTGATAAAATAAACTTTTGCTGAATCCCGTAGTAAGGACGGCAAACACATCTTTCCAATTGACAAATGCCTTGATAGCAGTTCTCTGTTCGTCTTTTAAAATGAATGCGCTGTCGATTTCTTTTACAACAGACGCAATAGCGGATCTTTAGTTCTCTTACTTGATTTCCACCTAAATTACCTGAAACAATTTGTCCCAGGAACTTTTTTCCCCAGACCTGTTGCTTTCTGCGTTTTAACCGCGGCCTAAAGTACCATGAAGATTAGGCAAATTAGACTCCACAGACCGCAACAGATTTTTAAAATGGTGGTTGAAATCAGTGGTTTAGTCTAGTTTTTTGTAGTATACTGTGATATACAAATCCCCCAAGACCCAGGGGACCCATCTAACTCAGCCAGTAAAGAGCTACATTTAGCCTTAGATGTTATATGGTCCTTGAAGCACAGGTTTTATCAGCTGACAATTAAAAGACTTAAACATTATAAGCACAAATAAAAATTTACTTTTTAAAAACTTGTGTTTTTTTCAAACTTTTTTTTTTTTTTTGGCTTCGTAATCTTTAATCAAAATCTGAAATTTCCCCTCCCCTCTGCGTTGGAGGACCTTGCCTGATGACAGACACCCAAACCGTGAAACCTACGTCATCAGGCAAGGTCCTCCAACGCAGAGGGGAGGGGAAATTTCAGATTTTGATTAAAGATTACGAAGCCAAACGATCAATTTAGGCAAACAAAGTAAGTATGGTCAATTTTGAATTCATGGGGACTTTAAAATAAATATTATTAATATATATATATATATATATAAAAATTGTTATTAGTAATTTTCTAATAAATCCAAAAGGAAAACAGCTGAAAAGAAAAGGGCGTGGAAATGGCTAATGAGCTAATAAGTGGTTCTCTGCAGTCATCTACTGGTTATAGGGTAGTTTCATGTCATTTTAATGTTCATTCTACTAAATCAGCAGCTGACTTTGACACATCTACCCAGATAGCATGTATAATCGGCCCGAGCTCGGCTGCCCCGCGGCGCCTGCGGCTCAGACTCGGCAACGGCGTGTGTTAACCGGGCCGAGTGTGGCCCGCAGCTCGCTCTGGCACATGCATTTTTGTTACGGCTGTAAAGCACTGGGCCGATTCATGTTCACCATAACTGCCATAACTGGTGGTAACCCGGCTGCCTGTATGATCTGGACCACTTCTGGAAATGACTCAGATTAAATCAATGATGGTTTTAATGAAGCAATAATTAACATAAAAATTATTTTAAAATTGACGTAAATTCCTGACCGTATCTGATGCTTATATAGACATTTGTAGTTTTTGGTGTCACTTTGAAAATTGATAGATTGATTTGTCATTGTTTTTTTAATAAATAGAAAACCCAAAAAAGAATGATTAATAGATTAAACATTGCCAACCTAGAAACATTGACTAACCCAGACTTAATGAATACTAGCACGTTAGTTAATGATTTGAAATTACATTAGTATTCAGGGATTGACTTGTTGGGTGGCGTAGACTAAATTGTTCATGTTTACCCTAGTACACCAAAATATTAAATATCAATCCCTCACTGGGGATTGAGGCCCATAATATGGAAATCTAATCGCTTCTGCATGCATGCTCGCACGTTGAATATCCTCGTAATTATAGACACGCAGTGTGTGTATATCGCAGTATAGATCCCTCAAGGAGCAACCAATCACATAGCGGCGCCGTGGCTTAGTTGGTTAAAGCGCCTGTCTAGTAAACAGGAGATCCTGGGTTCGAATCCCAGCGGTGCCTTTTGTACCATGCATGCATAACGCTACATTCAGGTACAAAATACTGTATAAAACAATAACATATGCTATAAAACAATACATTTAAAATAGACTAATGAAACTGTAAATATATGGCAAAACATTCAAGTCGTATGTACGTTGCAGAAGCAGAGCAAAATCTTTTGTATTTTGAAATCAATCTGTGCAGAAATATTTAAAATGGCTCTTATACGATGTGGTATTGTTCTGCAGCATGTAAATAATAAAATGGTGCGCACGCCATGCTTTGCAACGATGCATCCCTCCGTCCACGAGAGTGCAGGCTTTCACTGCCACAGACCACAGCTGGTGAGTGAGTCTCCTCCAGAAAAACCATGAAAACAAACCAAGGCAAATTTCAGGAAAAATGTCAGTGTACATGATTAGCCTACAGCAGAATGCCCTCAGTCGATTCTTAAGACGTTACATTTCAGTTGAACATTGTGCTGTTTAGCGTTAGATCAGCAGCATTTTATCTTGGTGTTGTAATATTGATCTCAGACAGTGTTGTTTGGCATGAGATGCGCTCATAGGATGCGCTCGGTAACGTTAGTCTGTGATGGACAGGAGTCCACTGAGCTGCATTGCCGCGATTACTTCACCCTGCATCAGGGCTTATTACATAGGCTAATTGACAATATGGCACAAAGTACCACTATAGTGGAGCGATATTATTACTCGTTCATATATGATGCAAAGATAAGATAGTGACAAGTAAATGTCAAATAGTGTTCGCCTCAAGAATCAGTGTGTGTCCTATCCTATGTTTTGTCCCCACTGAACCTCCAATACCGTCTCTCCCCTGAAGGTCTCTGCCGTTCCCTCCATACAGCGCAATGAGGAGCCGCTCGAAAACAGGGAGAGACGTCGCTTTTGATGCTCGCACAAGAAGTTAAATCGACCGTAAGCGTGAAACCGACATGAGATATGTGGTATAAAAAAAATATATATATATAACGTTATATGGATTTGGATTATGAGGAAATGACTTGAGCTGTGAACAACAAGAAGATGACGGTGATGATGGAGAGAATCGGTTCGATTCGGCTTTACCTTATGAAATGGATTTGTCTGCGTTGGGCTTGGGTTTGTGTGGGTAAGTAGACTTTTTAGGGATTGGGATATTATCACATATATATCATTGTTATATATTGTATAGAACAAAAGAGTGAGATGTGCGGTTTACATCAGAAGGTCTAATCACTTTTTATTACATTTGACCTTTTTCACCCACGTGTCAGAATGATATTAAATATTATTTCACTCCTAAGACCTGACGCAGGTGATTATAGTTTGAAGTATGGGAATGGCACCGATGACAAAGAAAGGTTAAGCGGCGCGCGCAGGTGTTGCAGCATTCATACAGGGACAATCCAGGAGGACAGATCAGCGTTTGGCTTGTTGCCATGACAGTTATAAACACGGCGGCATCAGTCTGATCTCCTCGAAGACCGACTGGCAGATTGTGAATTGTTTTGACAAATGTGTGTTATTGTGCAGTCTTTCGTGGATAAAAAGCAAATTTAGTTGTTTACGTGCAGTTCTACACACCTTGTTCTGTTATTGACTCCACATATCGGTTACCACTTAATTGAAAAAACAGTTTCAACTCTTTTAAAATGGTTTGCTGCTCTCCCAGTCTGGTCTGTTTGTTAGTTTTAAAGGTGTTTGGGACACTTTTCAGCAGGTCAAACTGAGAGACCATTTAAACCTGCTGAGCACCAGCATCTCCCAGCACCTAAGTCCAACAAACCATCAAACCGGCTGGCTTGTAGAGAAAAAAATATATTTTCGAATACTATTATGATCAGATAATCTGACAACATAGTGATGACTAGTGCACAGTGACTTTTTCTTCTTCCTCAGCATTCTGAACATCAGTTTTATGGATATGTACATTCTTATGTCCACAACTAGACTAAAAACTAAAGCAACGGTTTCACAGTCTGCCAAGTATTGGGGATCTGATCTCACCCTCAATCTATTCCTAGACAGCACTATAGGCTTGCTTAAAAACACATGATCTGTTGATGTCAGCTAAATGCTCAACAAACAATCACAGCTAGAAGAGAGAGAATATGTGAGAAAGAGACATCTGCTTTTACCCTAGCAGATCTTCTCATATCAGAGACAGAAGCACAGAAAGAGGACGAATGTCTGTTTTGTTGGAGGTGGTGGTATCCAGTGAAGGGGTGGTGACAAAAGAGGGTTTGGGTGGGGGTGTGTTGATAGCACCAGTGACACCTAGAGCCCTTAGTCTTACACACAGACAGACAAAGGGACCTTCTTCTCTCTTTCTTTATCATTCTCATCCACGCACATAGCTGTTCTCTTTGACTACAGATATTCCATGTCCAGGCATCTTATTCCTACTAAATGTGTGTATCACTGATATTGACACATTTTCCTTTTAGATGATGTTCTGTCTGGTAGATAAAGACAAAAATGATGTTCATTTACTGTAATAGTTTGCAATAGTTCTGGAAAAAAAAACTGTGCAAGTCATCACAATAACAACAAAATGTTCTCATTTATGTGTAGAGGTGATTTACTAGAATGTCATTTTGGAGGAGAGAAACAAAGCAGAAAAGTCCATTTTCAGCAGCCAAAAGATACAGAAAGAATATAGGTAAGACTGATCTGAGTTCAGGTTATGTGTGCTCTTTGTATCTGGGGATGTAAAAAGTATGTCAGTGAGGTGATCATGAGCCTTGAGACTCAACATCTAAAAATACTCAGAAATGACTTGTGCTTATATTGCAGGGATTCCCCTGATCTCTTTCCTGTTCTCTCACACAAATAACAGTGTTAGCTTCTGGGCATTCAACCGCACCTAGACATCATCATATTATGTAGAGTAAAAACTGACGTTGGGTGTGTATGAGAGATGGCTGTTTACCCTGCAGGGTAATGAACAATGTTGGGTAATGTTGGGGATGTGATGATAGAGTTATATATCACGTCATGTGCTGCCGTTTATATTAAGGGATTTTACTGCACACCAGAGGAAATATAAGGGAATTTTAATATTGTGATTTCTATTACTGATAAAAGTCATGGGAATATTATTGAGAAATTTTGTTGTTTTTATGTTCAGCCCTAAATAAATTAGTATTATTAATAATCATTTATATATATATACACTCACCGGCCACTTTATTAGGTACCCCATGCTAGTAACGGGTTGGACCCCCTTTTGCCTTCAGAACTGCCTCAATTCTTCGTGGCATAGATTCAACAAGGTGCTGGAAGCATTCCTCAGGGAGTTTGGTCCATATTGACATGATGGCATCACACAGTTGCCGCAGATTTGTCGGCTGCACATCCATGATGCGAATCTCCCGTTCCACCACATCCCAAAGATGCTCTATTGGGTTGAGATCTGGTGACTGTGGAGGCCATTTTAGTACAGTGAACTCATTGTCATGTTCAAGAAACCAATTTGAAATGATTAGAGCTTTGTGACATGGTGGAAGTAGCCATCAGAGGATGGGTACATGGTGGCCATAAAGGGATGGACATGGTCAGAAACAATGCTCAGGTAGGCCGTGGCATTTAAACGATGCCCAATTGGCACTAAGGGGCCTAAAGTGTGCCAGGAAAACATCCCCCACACCATTACACCACCACCACCAGCCTGCACAGTGGTAACAAGGCATGATGGTTCCATGTTCTCATTCTGTTTACGCCAAATTCTGACTCTAACATCTGAATGTCTCAACAGAAATCGAGACTCATCAGACCAGGCAACATTTTTCCAGTCTTCAACTGTTCAATTTTGGTGAGCTCTTGCAAATTGTAGCCTCTTTTTCCTATTTGTAGTGGAGATGAGTGGTACCCGGTGGAGTCTTCTGCTGTTGAAGCCCATCTGCCTCAAGGTTGTGCGTGTTGTGGCTTCACAAATGCTTTGCTGCATACCTTGGTTGTAACGAGTGGTTATTTCAGTCACTGTTGCCCTTCTATCAGCTCGAACCAGTCTGGCCATTCTCCTCTGACCTCTGGCATCAACAAGGCATTTCCGCCCACAGAACTGCCGCTCACTGGATGTTTTTTCTTTTTCGGACCATTCTCTGTAAACCCTAGAGATGGTTGTGCGTGAAAATCCCAGTAGATTAGCAGTTTCTGAAATACTCAGACCAGCCCTTCTGGCACCAACAATCATGCCACGTTCAAAGTCACTCAAATCACCTTTCTTCCCCATACTGATGCTCGGTTTGAACTGCAGGAGATTGTCTTGACCATGTCTACATGCCTAAATGCACTGAGTTGCCGCCATGTGATTGGCTGCTTAGAAATTAAGTGTTAACGAGCAGTTGGACAGGTGTACCTAATAAAGTGGCCGGTGAGTGTATATATATATATATATATATATATATATATATATATATATATATATATATTATATACAATATTTAAAAACCCAGTAATTCAAGTTTTTTTTTTTTTACTACTACTGCTAATAAATTCAATGCAAACATTAAAATGGTTATATAGTAAAAATCTAGTAATCACAAATATTTATCAAGGTGTGTTAAAGACAGCTTTCTTTAACCTGCCTTTGATCAGCATTTACTTCCTAAATCATCTTTCTTTACAGATGTTAAATTTATACACGCAAAAATAGACACAGTTCTGTACTATCCTTTTTTATTTAAAGAGACTTTACAGTGATTCAGCATAGATAAAAGGAGAAAAAGATGATGTATGAGAAAACAACGGTGTATGGTTATTCACTCATTTGCACTTTCTGTTTCTTCCTGGACTAGTTCTTCCTTGTCTTATTGTGTTTCTGTCCAAATGGGTAATCATTAGCACACACTCTCACATACTTCCACACTAAATTGAGTATTGTGTGTCTCTCTGATCCTCCTTGAGTGAGTGGATCAAATTCAATATAAATCATACATGTACCTACCATGCACTCAGGAATCCATAAAGGCTGATGTGATGTGTTGATGCCATCTCAATCACAGTGTGAGAGCTGTGGTCACACACAAACAATGCCCATGTCTTCCGTGTGTGTTCCTCAGCTGCCTGTGGCGGTAAGGTGGAGTTACACACTGAGAGGAGAGGAGTGATCTACAGCCCATCATGGCCCCTCAACTACCCGGCCGGAGTGAATTGCAGCTGGAATATACAGGGAAGCCGTGGAGATGTGATCACAATAAGGTAAACGCACACAAGCAGACTCTCGCTGTGGTGATGATTATATGAGCAGTGTCTTGTTCATTCCTATTAACATGATACATTACAAGATTATAGTGCCTGTTCAGCAGCTGTCCTGTTCATGGTATCTTGATATTGGAAATGTTTTGCGAATTACCATTTCTCCTCTCTGCAAGAAATGCTATTGTTCGTTAGCAACAATTTGTCATGACAACTTTCACACTTTTAGGGCCCTTAACAGCTTTTACTAGTCAATTGAATGTATGATATTTCCAGACCAAAAACAATGTAAGGTTTCTTTCAAACTAATTAACTGTTTTGTGCATTTCATTTTTTTATGAGCCTGTTTGCAAGTGCGCAGCATGTATATTGGTCTGTGCAGTCTTCCGTTTGAAAGCGCCTACTGCTGTATTGCTTGAGCTGACTGCAGGGATTTTATAATGTACTTTTTCTCGCCTCTCATACCACTGCTGTGAGTGTGTGTGTTTGGGCTTTGACTCTGCTTTAATGTAATGATTTAAAGCATGACATCATCCCCCAATTCCCCGAGGAAATCATATCAGGAAACCCTTAGGTGGAAAAGGATAATAGTTCTGATAATTTCTTTGAATCCATTCTGGCTAATTACTCATTGTCTAAAAGCTGAGTAGAGGTATATGCTATCAAACAGATTTCTCACATTGCCTCAGAGAGACAGACTGGCATATAGAAAATCTGAACCCACTCATCTAAAACTAAGATGAGATGGATAATTGAAATTAAGGATTTCTTTCACTGATCTAGTTGACAGTTGACTGCTGACATTTTCTCTAGTCCCAGCGTAAAAAATTGTTACAATTTTTTTCTTAATTTTTTGAGGTATATAATAATTTATTCGTATTTTTAATGTACATTTAACTATTGCTGGAAAGGAAACTGATGGCATTCAGAGATTTGTTTATAATTTTAAATTTTTTCTAGTCTATCACAAGTCATTGTTTTAATTTCGACAAAGCCTCGCCTGTGTCAGCAAGACAAACATCAGCAGTTTTCACAACAATGGTTAATATATCACAGAAAACTAAACATTTAAGATTGTGGGACATAAAAACACTTGTTTATGATCACCAAATATATGACACTGCAACACTAGTGAAGTGATGGTTCTGCCAACAAAACTCTCTGGCACTGGCCCCAGGTCATCCTTATTGTTGAGTCCTGTCTGAAATATTCAGAGGCTTTGCATAATGTGTATGTGTGTGTGCATTTGATTGACAGCCAGAGGAGGTTTGAATGTCTGTATTTTAATGACTATACAGACTACTGCTTGGACAACAGAATATTAGACCAGGCTGAGATTTCAATGATAGTGCAGTTCAATAATGTATATAAATAAAAAAAAAGATTAAACTGATTTACTGATTTAGTTGTTTTTGTAAACATTGTCAAGTTATTGGCTGCAAAAGGCCCGTTCTTCTGTAATGGTACTGGACGATGATTTTATCTCTCAGTCTTGTCTCTCTCTCTGTGTGTGTGTGTGTGTGTTCTCTCTCTTTTGCTTATGATCTCTCACTCTTTGGTATCTCTGACATAATATTAGGGTGGTTTCTGTTATGCGGAAAATTAATATGAGTGTGTAATTTAAGGAGGTATCAAAATGCAATCACAAGAAAAACTACAATTTTCAATTTTTTAAAAAATGTCAAGCATGTTTAAGGAATTTTGATTGAACTTTTTTATTTTAGACGTTGACATCTGATATGATTTTTAAATAAAATCATATGATTTTTCATAAATAGTTTGATCTTTAAAAATTGTTTAATATCTTATTCAATATATAAAACAAATGTGATGGGGACATGCTGCAAAGGAAGATTGACCCATTTATTGTGAAAAAGGTATACAAAAAAATTATTCAAAGAGAAGAAAACAAATTCCTGCTATGCATTGATACTGTAAAAGCTGTTTTGTATTTTTAGAACATTAATTTCACATTTTCTGTGAATATTTGTAGCAACTCATTTATTGTGGCTCTCATACTTTTGATGATATTGTTCTAGAAGTGTTCTTGTAAATGATTGTACAGTGGAAGTGCTAGTGAAGCAGTAGAGATTCCATCGCATACATTAAGCACCATGTGTTTACTGTGTCCAGTTTTCACAGCTTTGATGTGGAGGACACGGCGGACTGCAGGGGGGACTGGCTGCTGCTCGGCCCCACATGGAAAACTGAGTATCGGTTCTGTGGCTCAGTTCTTCCTCCTCCCTTCATCTCCTCCAGAGGACGAGTCTGGGTCTATTTCCACTCTCAGGCCAACAGCTCCGGACAGGCACAGGGCTTTAGACTGTCTTATATACGAGGTGAGTGAGCTTAGAGTGTGCATATGTTCCATTAGAGCCCATTCAAAGAATAATTCACTCAAACATCTCATCATTTACTTACTCATTATGGTCCAAATTCATATAACTGTTTTTCTTCTATGAAACATAAACATAGCATGAAATATATATATATATATATATATATATATATATAAGGTGTGTTATACAATAAAAGTAGTTAAAGCTGCAGTCCGTAGCTTTTTTGGGGTTAAAAATTATCCAAAATACATATTTGAGAAAATACATTACCAGCCAGTGTTCAAAACTATCTGCTTGCCTTAGCTCGATTCAAAGCGGTAAGCTTGTAATAATGTTTTTAATTCCAGTGGTACTGGTGGATTTCCGCGGGAGATTCGAGCATGTCTTTGCGTCATTACGTCACATCTGTACACATAAAGAAGGAGTCTCGGCTAGTATAAGCTATATTGCGTGTGAGGATGTTGGAGGTGGAGATTTATAGCCTTTTCTCACAGCACTTGATATAATTAAACTGATCAATTTAATGGCGGATCCAGAAAGGTTCAATCGACAATCACCAGTGACAACTGGAGTCTCACCCGCTGTAAAGCAAAAGACTTCGTTCGGACTTCGGAGTGGCTTACTTACAGAAAAAAAGAGACTGCAACCGGACCCATGCGAAAACAATGATACATAAGGACAGGAAGGGCATCACATGTAGTCACGCAATGCTGACGTTGTTAACATTAACAATTTGAGAACAAAGTATAATTTGCATGGTTTTGCGTAATATGATAACTTATAAGCGATTGTTAAATTTAATCAGCGCGATTTACTGCAATGTCAGAACCAGAACAAAAGTGGATGTTACTTACTTGTTCAGAGGACATTTTCTGGTGAAAATTATTATGTTGGTCATACTTCCAAAAAGAATAATCTGTGATTCTGAATGCCAGTATCCACACCGGCGCGGTGACTGACAGCTGCACACTCTCCTCAAACATTGTGTTCATCCGCGATGTGTCATGTTGAGGGTGTTGAAGTACAACTCACGTAAAGTAGATAACTCCGCGAATAACTGCAATTGCAGATTTCGAACAGAGATGGCGACAAAGAGGAAAAACGCAGGACCGCAGCTTTAATGCAACTCGTGCCCTATAATTCATGTTTTTAAAACTGTAATATTTTTATTTTCTATATTTTTCTCTACTGCCAGTCCTAATAAATTTAATTTGTTCTCATGCACATTCAAATCTGGTGTCATGTTATTGGTTATTGTGTGTCTTGTGACCAATTGACATTTAGCAAGTTTTGAACATAGACTGTAAAAAACATGTGTATGCGTGTCTGCATTCAAAACTTCCCAAATGTCAACAGTTTCGGGTCGCTACGATTTTTTTCATGGAGCTATTCAAAAATACAGTATAAACAGTAATAATGTGAAATATTATTACAGTATAAATATCTCCTTTATATTGTAATATATTTTAAAATGTAATTTATTCCTTTGATGGCAAAGCTCATTTTCAGCATCATTACTCCAGTCTACAGTGTCAAATGATCCTTCAGAAATCATTCTAATATGCTGATTTGCTGCTCAAGAAATGCTTAATATTTTTTTGAAAACTATGAAACTTTTTCCTAATTCTTTTCCTTTGATGAATTGAATACAAGTTTTATTTGAAACAGAAATGTAATGTATTGTAAATGTATGTAAATGTAATGTAAAATGTAAGAGGATTTGTAATGTGACATACTGTATGTCTTTACTGTTTTAAAGCATCCTTGCTAAAAAAAAATTGATTTCTTTATTAAACAAACAAACAAACAAAAAATCTTACTGAACACTAATCCTTAGAGAAGTTGTGTGCATTATTCAAGTGCAAACAAATGTTTCATTTTTTTGTGTGTGTGAACTATTACTTTAAATCTTCAAACAGTCTTCAGAAGAAGTGGTGATGCCATATTATCCTTTTGTGTTCTAGGGTTTAATACAAAATGATTTGGCATAGTTTGATTATACTTTATTCATTTTCTTTGGAGTTTGAAATATTTCATCAGATTTAGTTCTGTTCCTGCATTAGAAAGCACGAAGACTCTTTCCGCAGCATATAGATTTACTGTAGGCACAGATTGACCAGGCAAATGCAGGCTTAGCAGATCAATAGTATATGGCCATAGAGCCATGATGAAACGCTAATGTTATATAATGTACTATGAAAATTGATGTGCATATTTGGATAGCACTACTTTCAGTGTGTTTTACATAGATCTCCACTGTTGATTAGATCTAATATGTAGCTAATGAAGATGAAGGAGATAATGGGCTGTCATTACTCAACTCCACAGGGCATGTGTGCATCTCATTGAGTGTGTGTGTGTCGGGGTGAAATGCTGTGTTTGTGCATTTTCCTTAGAGGTGCAGTTCAATCAATAATACTGAACGGCTGTGTTTGTTAAGCTGTCACCAGGCAAACACCATCTGCAGAGTGGGTAGATTTGATTGGCTTTTTTCAACAGTGTCAGTGTTTACGTGTGCAAAAGACTCAAATCTCTTCTTCTCTTTTGTCTGTTTTTTTTCTCTCGTTAGGTCGACTGGGTCAGAGTAGTTGTGAGAACGATGAATATTTATGTGGAAACGGTAAGTGCGTTCCACGCTCCTGGCGCTGTAATGGATTGGATGAGTGCGGAGACAATACAGATGAAAGGATCTGTGCCGCCCCACCCACATCCGCCCGGGTGAGTCTGTGTCCGCCAGGCACCTTGCAGTGCTCTGATATCCAATCTACCCGCTGTCTGCCGGTGTCTCTGCGCTGTAATGGAGCCCGGGACTGCCCTGACGGATCTGACGAGTCCCACTGCCCCGACACGTCCTGTGGAAAACGCTTGGTCAACTTCTACGGGACGTTTGCCTCACCTGATTTTTTCCGTCCAAACAGGAGCAGCGGCACAGATCTTCACTGCACGTGGTTCCTGGACACAAAAGTATGATAAGAATCTCAGTCATTCTTATTTTGAGTTGCCTTTCTGCAAAATGTGTCTTTATGACATTGAATGATTGCAATTATGAAGTTTCTTTTATTTGTGGAGGGGTTATATTAATGTTTTTCTTTGTGTACATGGGTAACTTATGTATTTCTGCTTTTCCATAAGCACCGCTTACTGTGAGTTTGCATTGATTTAGCATTTTCATTCAGGGCAGTAGCATACATGCATACATAATCATGCGGTTTATCATTTTATAAAACTTTGTACTTTTGTCAAAACATTAATTATTTGAACTGTTAAGTTGTTAAAATCTTATTTCTTTAAGGTCATTTTACATTTAAGGGAAATTACCATAGGCATTGGTGTTGTTTCAAAACAATGTTGCTACCCAAACAACATGTAGTTCTATTTCTAATTTCATACTTTTCTGCTGATTTCAAGAAATATATGTAAGAAAAATTCTCCCAGTCACTTTTTTTTGCCAGTCTGGAATTTGCAAGTATTATTAAATCACTTACGGTGTTCCTCGTGACTGTTTTTGCTTCAGGACCCAAAGCCGCTGGTGCTCCAGGTGGACCTACAGCTGGGTGTGGGAGACTCTGTGCGTGTTTACGATGGTTTGGGAGAGCGTGCAGAACGCCTTCTGCAGAGTCTCTCTCACCATAATAACCACAGACGAGCTCTGCTGGAATCTTCCCAGGGACAGATGAGCGTCTTCTACCACGCTAAACCACACAGTCCTGGACATGGATTCAATGCCACCTACCAGGTCTCTTATTCCCTGTGATGCTAATGATAATTTGTATGCTTCCTGCTGATGAATTATGCTCTCCATTTTTCATTGACATTGTCTGTGTTGTTGGAATACTTTGCGTCAGTACAGTGTAGAATTGTCTGGTCTTTCTGTGCTTGCATGCATCTGTATTGTCTTAGCCTCACACCACAGTCCATTCACTGACAGCACACACATTCACAAAACTTTCTCCATCTGACAAGCTATAATCTTATTGTTGTTTGGCTAAATGCAACTTCTGGCTGTAAGGGCACACTAATGTTTTTTAATCACTCCACCTAGAAACAAAGTAGTTTTTACAGTGTTTGATAGAACAAGTAAGTAAGAGTAAGAATCTTTATTGTCATTGCACATCAGGTATACAATGAAATTACAGTGCATCTGCGGCCAGTGCATAATAATATAGTAAATATATAAACAATAAAAGATAAAAATAACAAATAAAAGAAGAAGAGGGAAGTAAACTATATATACACACCACATTTACACATCATAGCGCACACACACTATATGAGTTCAGTGACCTAATGGCCCAAGGAAAGAAACTGTTTTTGAGTCTGTTTGTCCTGGTCTTAAGACACCTGTATCTTCTGCCAGAGGGCAGGAGATTGAACAGGTGCTGTCCTGGGTGTGAGAGGTCGGCAGTGATTGACCTAGCTCTTCTAAAACACAGCGTGCTGGCGATGTCTTCTAGCGATGGTAGGGAACTGCCAGTGATGTATTGAGCTGTCTTTATGACCCTCTGCAGGTTCTTTCTGTCCGCCACTTTGCAGTTGGCATACCAGGTCGTGATGCCATACGTCAGGACACTCTCAATGGTGCTGCGGTAAAAGGCCACCAACAGTTTCTCCTCCAGATGGTTCCGTCTGAGTATCCTTAGGAAGTGTAGTCGCTGTCGAGCCTTTTTTACTACTGCGAGTGAGTTAGCAGTCCAGGAGAGGTCATCAGTTATGTGTGTACCAAGGAATTTATAGGAGGACACCCGCTGAACACAGTCCCCGTTGATGCTCAGTGGGGCTGGTTCCCCTTTATGTTTCCTGAAGTCTATGACCATCTCCTTAGTTTTGCTGGTGTTAAGCAGCAGGTTGTGTTCGGAGCACCAACCTGCCAACCTGTTAACCTCGTCCCTGTACGCAGACTCATCCCCTCTGCTGATGAGGCCAATGACCGGAGTGTCATCCGCAAATTTAATGATGGTATTGGAGGGGTGGATGGGTGTACAGTCATGCGTGTACAGGGAATACAGGAGAGGGCTCAGCACACAGCCCTGAGGGGAGCCTGTGCTGAGGGTCAGGGTGGAGGAGCAGGTGGAGCCTACCTTAACCGTTTGAGGGCGGTCAGTCAGGAAGTTCTTAATCCAGGCACAGGTGGAGGGGGGGAGAGCGATGTTGGTCAACTTGTCCTCTAGGATATCAGGAATAATGGTGTTAAATGCCGAGCTGTAATCTATGAACAGCATCCTGACGTAGCTCCCTGGCTGCTCCAGGTGGTTAAGTGCTGTGTAAAGAGCTGTGTCGATGGCGTCTTCCGTTGATCTGTTAGCTCTGTTGGCGAACTGATGTGGGTCCAGGTTTGAGGGGAGCCAGGACTTGATGTGGTGCAAGATGAGCCTCTCAAAGCATTTCATGACTACTGACGTCAAGGCAATAGGTCTGTAGTCGTTGGAGCACTTTGGGGTAGAAGACTTTGGTACAGGAATGATGGTAGCTGACTTCAGGCACTGGGGGATGGTAGCCTGTGACAGTGAGAGGTTAAACAACCTAGTCAAAACTCCCACTAGCTGGTCAGCACAGGCACAAAGTACTTTTCCGAGTACACCATCTGGACCGGCTGCTTTTCTGGTGTTCACAGTCTTCAGCACCTGCCTCACCTGATGTTCCTGGAGTGTGAGTGCTTTTTAGGATGAAATAATCACTAGAATTGCCCAAGTTTGCCAAGTTAATGGCAACAAGCCTTTGAATGATGTTTAGCGTTTGTTTGAGGCACAGAAGTTAATTATTTTATTTCAGCAAGGAGTCAAGTCAAGACATTGACAATGTTACAAAAAATTTCGATTTCAAAATATTGTAAAAAAAAAAAGTAAGCAGCACAACTGTTTAACTGTAGAGCAGCAAATCAGCATATTAGAATGCTGAATAAATTACATTTAGAAGTATATTATAACAGTTAGACCCTGCGGCCTCATATGAGGACATTACATTTTTGCCTCTTGACACAATGATAGTCAAATTTGTAAATCTTAGGCATGTTGGCCAGATTTAGGGGCACTGCCCACACCATCTTGTAGTGATATCATAACATTACACCAATGTCAGTGAGAAGAAAATGACCCTAACCCTAACCCTAACACTTCTACACCTGTTCCAGAAAGAAAAATGACCCAGGTAAAAAATCTATTCAAATTATATGAATGAAACAAATGTATTTATGTACAATACTGTCTCTATCATCATATGGGGATTAAAATTTGACATATTTTAGTAATAGTAACACTCTAGGACATCAGTAAATATGAAGTACTCGTTTGAGGACATTGGGACTATGTTACGTAATCCCCTTAACTGTCACCGTCCCACCACGTGGGACGTTTGCCCATATATATTTAGAACAATAAGATCTTAGTAAAAACCTAAAGTAATATTGACAAACTAAATATCATTTGAAAGCTTACAATCTCTAGTTTTCATATTTGGTGGCTGTTTTTTAAAATAAATTACAGAATAGCAGTAATTTATCAATTTGCAACAAGAATATTTCATATTCATTAGGCGTGTTTAGGCCTTTATTTTGAAATAGAAAAAAAAACATGAAAAATCATGAAAGATTGGTAGAAACCTCAGTTTGTTTTCATGCCAAGAGTTCAAAAGATAACACTAATTAAATGTTATGAGAAAAAAAGGTCTGAATTTTTAGAATATAAAGAAAAATATTATGAATTCTCGATTTGTGATGCGGCAGCGAGCTATAACGCACATATGTGCTCTTTTTATGTTTATTAGAGGTTGAAATCAAATCAAATACTGCCAAAACACCCATACTATTTCTGAATAGGATGCATACTTAATAAATTGTATGAAATTATGGAAAGACATGGTTCAGATCACTCAAAACATATGAAAATGGAGACACCCTTATATGGCCAGTAAGGAAGCTGGCTGTCCATCTAGTGAAAAAGTTTGGTACTACGCCCAAATAAAATCTTACTGAAAGCTAATTTTTTGAGATATCAACCTAAAATTTGGAACACAACTTGTTTAGATTTTTGGCTTTAATTTTCTAGCAGTTTTAGAGTCAAATATATTTTATAATATATATATTTTATATAAAATATAAATAATTATATTTTTACATTCTATATTTTCATAAACTCAAACTTCTATAACTTTTTTTCTGTTTCACTTTCATAATTTATTTCACTTCTACAATAATCTGGCAAATGTCTTCTTAAAAACAAGACCAACCATATGTCTATATTCCAAAGCATTCTTGAATTACAACCATTTTACAACCACAAGTTTTTTTTTATATTGCTAGTACTGTGTCCTCACACGAGGACATCATATGGTAAATCATAGACCCACTGTCCTCACATGAGGACATCATTTTCTGCAAAAACTACTTCCTGTACAAAAACAAATTTTAGTTATTATATTTATTAGGTCCTACTTATCCCAAATTGCAAGAACAATTATAAAATGCACACTAGGCAAACTCTCGGGTCTCAGGAGGTTAAATTGTAATATTTTAAAATATTAATGTTTTGATCTAATGAATGCAGGCTTGGTGAGCATAAGAGACTTCTTTCAAAAGCATTTTTAAAAAAGTCTATCAACCCCAAATATAATCAGTTGAAAATAAGTTATGTATTTTAAGTGGTTGGGTGAAATTTGGCAGGAAATTTGAGGTTTACATGATTAGTTCTTGTATTGGAGAAACACAACTGACAAAAAAAAAAAAAACTCCACAAGTAACCTGCAGTTAAATGTTTTAACCACAAATGGCGATAGAGAGGCCAACGTTCCACAATGCCGCTTTAACTAAATATCCATAAGCAAAACTGTTAAATAATTTGAGCTTATTACAGTTTATGACACTGTGACACTAATGGTGTTTAAACTCCACCCCTCTCTCTGCAGGTTAAGGGATACTGCTTTCCAGGTGAGCATCCATGTGGCACAGACGAGGGCTGTTACTCTGAGCTGCAGCGCTGTGATGGCTACTGGCATTGTCCTGGGGGGCGAGATGAGGAGGACTGCCCCTTGTGCCAGCCAGGAGAGTATCCCTGCGCGGGTGGCAGTGGGGCGTGTTACTCGGCTTCTGAGAGGTGTAACAACCAGAAGAAATGCCCCGACGGCTCGGATGAGAAAAACTGTTTTGATTGCCAGCCTGGAAACTTCCACTGCGGAACCAACCTGTGCATCTTTGAGACGTGGCGGTGCGACGGGCAAGAGGACTGTCTCGACGGCAGCGATGAGAGAGACTGTCTGGCGTCTGTGCCCAGGAAGGTGATTACAGCAGCTCTGATTGGCAGCTTGGTCTGTGGGCTGCTGCTGGTCATTGCACTGGGTTGTGCCTTTAAACTCTATTCGCTCAGGACAAGAGAGTACAGGTGAGGTCGTTTCCATCTGTTTCCTGTCTGCATTTAAACATATAGCCAAATAAGTCAGAAAATGCATGGTGATTCCTAAATTATTATTATTATTATTATTTTGTATCTGTATTTTTTTAAGATCTATCTATTTGATAATCAAAATTATGTACGATAATACTTTCTATTTTTATTTATTTTTCTTAACCCATTTGCAATTTTCTTTTTTCTGAGTAGATTTAGTTTTTGCTTAAATATTTAAATATATGTTTTTGAAAGAACTCATCTAGGCTGCATTTATTTGATTACAATACAGTAAAAACAGTAATATTGTGTTATATTATTACAATTCAAAATATTTTTATTTTAAAATGTAATTTATTTCTGTAATGGCAAAGCTGAATTTTCAGCATCATTACTCCAGTCTTCAGTGTCACAGTCATGATCCTTCTTAAATCATTATAATATGCTGATTTTCTGCTCAAGAAACACTTCTTATTATTATCAATGTTGAAAACAGTAGTGCTGCTTAATATTTAAGTGGAAATGGTGATATATATTTTCAAGAACAGCATTTATTTGAAACAAAATACTTTTAAAAGTATGACAATGTAAAATACTTTACTGTCACTTTTCCTTTCACATTTACTGTCTCCTTGCTGAATGAAAGTATTCTTATTTATTAATATTACTTTATTTAAAAAACCTTATTAACCTCAAACTTTTGAATGGCTGTGTATATAAAAAAAAAAAAAAAACTAACATCTTAATATCTCTTGTCTTTTTCTAGTGATGTTTAGAAATGGGGAAAAAAAACATTGGAAAACGTTAAGAACGTCAATCTTTAATTGGTGCTAAATGGGTTCACACTGTACTTCAGTTCATTTCGTCTCCTACTTAGACACACACACACACACACACACAATCAGTGAGAAACAGAAAGTCCTTTAAGCCTTAACTTTTTGCTGAAAGTTAGAAAAGTACAAGTTGGTCCCAACGAGAGAAAGAAGTGAAGTAAGTGAAGGATGACTCTCTTGTTGCACTTTAAACAAAATTGCATCTCCAGTAACAGCCCATTTGTTGCTTTGGGGGGTGATGCGCTGTTTTTGTCTAGTTAGCCTTGTAAAGACACAGCAGCACCCAAAATACCTGCACTTCATCAAACTGTCAAAGTACCGCTGGTTAACAGCGCCTGGAGATTCTAGAGAGATACCCTGCCTGCATGTGTTCAGTAGCTTCCCTTTTTAAAAAGTCTTTGTATTTTCCTCTCTCTCATTAGAGCTTTTGAAACCCAGATGACCCGACTAGAGGCGGAGTTTGTACAAAGGGAGGCTCCGCCCTCTTATGGTCAACTGATAGCTCAAGGTCTCATACCTCCTGTGGATGACTTTCCAGTCTACAACCCCACACAGGTGTGTTAATATGACATTGGATTTGAATTGAAGTAGTATACAGGATTGCAATTCAAATTTGAGTTTAAATTAGCTGAAATTAAAAGAAATTTCAATAAGTGTCATTTTTAACTAGAAAAGGATGACAAAGTTTGAATAATGGCTTGACAGATCTTGATGTGAAGATTTGCAGATTGCTTTATTTGAAAAACAAATTTGTATTTAATTTATTTCCTTATTTCCTCTTTATATTGAATACAATTTTAGATCTAAAATTAAAAAAATGCTTAATTTCTCAGAATGACTTTACCTGTTTGTCTGAATTGTAATTCAGTGAATTATACTTCCTTTGTGCCAGTTCAGTTAAGATTCCACAAAACCCACAAAGACACTAAGCAAACAAACATGAGCAAACAAACATGGCAAGTACGTGAGTTTGCATCAGGTGATTAAAAAGGCGAACCATAGTAAATCCATAGTAACTTTAGAGAGTCCAACTAAATGACTGACAGTTATTTGATAGAGTCTGTTTCTCTATTTTCTGTGTCTTTCTCAGGTGTCTGTCCTGCAGAATCTCCGTTCGGCTATGCGGAGGCAGATTCGCCGTCACTCCTCTCGTCGTTCCTCGTCACGGCGGCGTCTTGGTCGTCTGTGGAATCGCCTGTTCCATCGTGGCTCTCGGTTACGGGGTCAGATCCCTCTCCTCACGCCTCCGGGTCACACTCACACAAACGCACACCCCGATCTGAGCCTCCACAGCTACAACACAGCGGACGATGGCGGAGAGGAGTCGCGAGAGAGTGCGGGACAGACTCCGCCGTCCTGTTCGACGGTGGCGCTGGGATTGGCGCTGCAGGCTCACACTGAGGCCCTCTGCCTACCTGACAGAGAGTCTCCGGCCTCTCCTCTCTCTCTGCCCTCGCCCAGCTCGCCCCGCTCCACCTCTGACACCCTGGAGGATGAAGATGATGAAGATGACAGAAGTTCAGAGGGGATGAGAGCGAGATCCAAACAGGGCATTTCCCCAAAACATAAAGATGCCGATAGTCCCCCTGGACCCCCCGATAGCCCCAAACGCAGAACGAGCCGGTCGAGATCCTCCAGACGGCTGGTGCAGGAACTGGCTGCAGAGCTCAGAGGAGTCTCTCTCCTACGCTACACCTCTGTGGGCATCTCACCGCTTTCTTCCCCCGAGTCACCCACGTCCTCCAGCGGTCAGTCTGAGGAGCAGAGGAGCTTTCCTACATTCAGAAAACCACACACAGACTCGCTCACAGATGCTCATGGACACTCCAGGAAATCATTAGGAACGGAAGATGTTCCTGATGACTGTGTCAGGCTTTGCAGACTCACAACTTGTGAGGAAGAAGATGATGAGATTCTGTTAGTGCACTGAGAAGCCTTTATCAGCCTCCTTATTCTGATTTTGTGCCAACACAGTGAGCCTTACCAGGTTCAACCAACAGCCTTCCATCCAGAGTCATAAAGTACGTTTACATGCGCAGTAATAATGCAGCTTTTTGCTTAGTCGAGCTACAGACTTCATCTGACTGTATATATAACACAATTTGAATGCAAATATTTGAAGGATTAAATACATGTTAAGCATCACATTTTTGGAAAATGTCACATGCCCTATTGTAGCCTGAATAGCGTGTATACATGCTGGACGAAGCCGAAATACAGTCATGCCTCGGTCTGTTAGTCTGACTTTGCAGAAAACAGACTGGTATTATTTCAGTCAGGCTTAAGCATTTACATGACATTTGGAAAAGGCAAATTATTGCTTTAGTTGGACTGAAATTGAAGTGCATGTAAACATACAGTATCGTTCAAAAGTTTGGGGTCGGTTAGAATTTGTTTGTATTTTAAAGAAATTGATATTTTATTCAGCAAGGATGCTGATCACATTGATCAAAAGTGACAATAAAGACTTTTACATTGTTACAAAAATTTCAAATAAATGCTGCTCTAGAATTTAATGGAAAAAAAAATATATATATATATTAAGCAGCACAACTGTTTTCAACATTGATAATACGGTAATAAGAAGTGTTTCTTGAGCAGCAAATCAGCATATTTGAATGATTTCTGAAGGACCATGTGAAACTGTAGACTGCAGTAATGATGCTGAAAATACAGCTTTGCCATCACAGGAATAAATTACATTTTTAAATATATTACAAAAGAAAACAGTTATTAAAAAATGTGACTTCACTATTCTATTTCACAATATTACTGATTTACTGTATTTTTGTTCAAATACACTCACCTAAAGGATTATTAGGAACACCATACTAATACTGTGTTTGACCCCCTTTCGCCTTCAGAACTGCCTTAATTCTACGTGGCATTGATTCAACTAGGTGCTGAAAGCATTCTTTAGAAATGTTGGCCCATATTGATAGGATAGCATCTTGCAGTTGATGGAGATTTGTGGGATGCACATCCAGGGCACGAAGCTCCCGTTCCACCACATCCCAAAGATGCTCTATTGGGTTGAGATCTGGTGACTGTGGGGGCCATTTTAGTACAGTGAACTCATTGTCATGTTCAAGAAACCAATTTGAAATGATTCGAGCTTTGTGACATGGTGCATTATCCTGCTGGAAGTAGCCATCAGAGGATGGGTACATGGTGGCCATAAAGGGATGGACATGGTCAGAAACAATGCTCAGGTAGGCCGTGGCATTTAAACGATGCCCAATTGGCACTAAGGGGCCTAAAGTGTGCCAAGAAAACATCCCCCACACCATTACACCACCACCACCAGCCTGCACAGTGGTAACAAGGCATGATGGATCCATGTTCTCATTCGGTTTACGCCAAATTCTGACTCTAACATCTGAATGTCTCAACAGAAATCGAGACTCATCAGACCAGGCAACATTTTTCTTCAACTGTCCAATTTTGGTGAGCTCTTGCAAATTGTAGCCTCTTTTTCCTATTTGTAGTGGAGATGAGTGGTACCCGGTGGGGTCTTCTGCTGTTGTAGCCCATCCGCCTCAAGGTTGTGTGTGTTGTGGCTTCACAAATGCTTTGCTGCATACCTCGGTTGTAACGAGTGGTTATTTCAGTCAAAGTTGCTCTTCTATCAGCTTGAATCAGTCGGCCCATTCTCCTCTGACCTCTAGCATCAACAAGGCATTTTCGCCCACAGGACTGACGCATACTGGATGTTTTTCCCTTTTCACACCATTCTTTGTAAACCCTAGAAATGGTTGTGCGTGAAAATCCCAGTAACTGAGCAGATTGTGAAATACTCAGACCGGCCCGTCTGGCACCAACAACCATGCCATGCTCAAAATTGCTTAAATCACATTTCTTTCCCATTCTGACATTCAGTTTGGAGTTCAGGGGATTGTCTTGACCAGGACCACACCCCTAAATGCATTGAAGCAACTGCCATGTGATTGGTTGATTAGATAATCGCATTAATGAGAAATTGAACAGGTGTATAATAATCCTTTAGGTGAGTGTATATGCAGCCTTGGTGAGCAGAAGAGACTTCTTTCAAATTTTTTTAAAACATCTCAGCAACCCCAATCTTTTGAATGGTAGTGTACTTGCAGATTTGGAGCCTTGTAGCAGAATGTTTGCCCTGTCAGAGTAGAACACCGGTGAGTCGACTTAAGCTCAGACACTGCGGGTTTTTTCTTTGGTCATACTTGATTAGATGATCTCACAGTTCAGCTCCAGCATTCAGTAATGATTGTTCACATGCTAGAAATCACCAAAAACCTAATAAATGTGGCTACAACACTAAAGCACACATGTGCATAAATACCATCCCTCATGGAATATCATGTCAATAACATAGAACTTCATATGCCTGAATCTCTACTTCTCATCAATAACATTCTACATTGACCTTCAGAAAAATTCTGAAAAGACTTCAGAGATCTCCTCTTACCTCCCCAACGCCTTATAAGAGATTCACCGTGTCGCCTACAGAGGGTCACAACCCAGCACTATTTTTTTGCCCCCATTTTTAGTTTCATTTTTATCTGAAGCAAACCGTTGTCTCACAATTATGTATATATATATATATATATATATATACTACCGTTCAAAAGTTTGTGGTCAGTGAGATGTTTTAATGATTTTGAAAGGCGTCTTTTATGCTCACCAAGGCTGCTGTAAAAACTGTAATTGTAGTAATGTTTTTTTATGCATCCTTGCTAAATAAATGTTTTTTTTTTTTCTCTCTTAAGTCATACTGACCCCAAACTTTTGAACGGTTGTGTAAGATTTTATACCTTCAAGACTACTGGAGCTTTGTGCTAATTTAGCGATGATATATCATCTTTTTGTATTTAAGGTTTGTTTTGTAATGTAATAATGGCAGGTCCAGCAATGACATGAGTTAATGTTAAGAAGCTTCCCCCCCACCCTCCCCCCATGTCTTTTCTTAAGGGAAGCAGAACTCAGGGATTGTATAAAGGTTAATGAGAGAGATAAGCAGTTGACATGGATTTCTTTGTTAAAGGGATACTCCACCAGTTTTTCTTATTAAACTATGTTATTCCCTTAACTAAGACGAGTTGATACATACCTCTCTCGTCTCAGTGCGTGCACTATATCGCTCTGTATTGCCGCAAAACTATGTTAGCACTTAGCTTAGCCCATGCATTAAATATGGGCCAAGCAGAGAAGCGACCAAACACTTCCACGTTTTCCCTATGTAAACACAGTTACTCGAGTAGTGTAACTTGACCTGGGCTGGTGACACAAAATAAACCGTTGCGCTTTTCTAAGCGTTTAAAATTGATGACTATATTGTATGGCGGAATACCATAACAAGTGCTTTTGAGCACTTCGACTTGGCGCAATAATATCTTCATTCGTGAAAAGTCCTCTTACCGGCTCCCGCTTCCTCTCCCCCTCCCTCTGACATTTCCGTCATTACAACCAACGTGACATGCGCCGGTAGTAGTAGTTCGAGCGGAGTTGACGAAGTAACAGGTTGTTGGAAGCTAGTTAGCATTCTAAACAGCACAGGCTCTCAATTTCGGTCGGCATCTGTTCGCAACAGTCACACTTGCACCACCAATTGCTGTTTGCCCGTGGTCTTTCGCCAGCTCCGGTCTGTTCTGGATCATATCTTTCTTGCCTCTCACGGTCCATAAGAGCTAATTCCTCCTCCGTGTACTCTGGTTCAAACAGATATGGCTCTGGGTCTTCTACAAAGAAGTCATAATCATCTACAAAGTCCGCCATTGCAAATGATCTGCAGTTTGCAAATGATCTGCAGTTTTCTAATAGCACAGGTAGTAAAAGTCACGTTGGTTGTATTGACGGAAATGTCAGAGGGAGGGGGAGAGGAAGCGGGAGCCGGTAAGAGGACTTTTCACGAGTGAAGATATTATTGCGCCAAGTCGAAGTGCTCAAAAGCACTTGTTATGGTATTCCGCCATACAATATAGTCATCAATTTTAAACGCTTAGAAAAGCGCAACGGTTTATTTTGTGTCACCAGCCCAGGTCAAGTTACACTACTCGAGTAACTGTGTTTACATAGGGAAAACGTGGAAGTGTTTGGTCGCTTCTCTGCTTGGCCCATATTTAATGCATGGGCTAAGCTAAGTGCTAACATAGTTTTGCGGCAATACAGAGCGATATAGTGCACGCACTGAGACGAGAGAGGTATGTATCAACTCGTCTTAGTTAAGGGAATAACATAGTTTAATAAGAAAAACTGGTGGAGTATCCCTTTAAGCTGTAGTCTGAAGTTCTGAAGCCACCAGGACATCACAGAGTCATCGGAAAATGACTCAATCTCACATTTGTGTCTGAGCTCCCACCAGTTAGTGTCTTTGTTTTTAAATTTCATTTGCATTCATGCATTTAGCACTTGAGGGACTTGTTTGCCAGTAAGATGACGTCACTGCCTTTTCCATGAATGTATGTCCTTGTTTTCAAATGTAGTGCCACACACACTGTGCAAGTCATACTTGCTGCTTTAGCACACTTGGTCCTGGTCCAAGCTTGGAAATAAGAACTAATCGAACTAAAAAGCTGGTCCCATCTTTGAAGGGTCAGTATGTTCCTTCATCTCATTCTCTCTGCTGGCCGACTGCCTGTTATTTCACACATCTCCTCCATCCTCCATGCTCAAACTGGAGGATCTCTGATCACAGAGGTTCAAGAATGTGCCATTTCAGAGATTGACCGATTTTATACAGTTGCAAATGATGTTTTATTACAATGTGAAACATTTAGATTCAGTGCCATTAGAGAAGTCGTGTATTTTCTGGGTTCAATTAAATGGCTTTAAAAAAGTACTTCTAAAATACTTTACTTGCTTGCAGTTTCTGAGACTATTTCTTTGACATTTTTTTAAAGTGTCCTTTACGTCCTCCTGAATAATTCAAATAAAATTCAATGGAAGAGATCAATCAGCAGATGCAGCCACAGTAAAGGCTTTGGGGTTATTCGGCCAGCAGCTTGAAACCTATAGACCAGTGGTTCTCAAACTTTTTGACTCAGAGGCCAACCACACAACATTTGAAGACCCTCATTTTAATAGCAAAAAGTAGCGGTCTTGAAATATTTAATTAATCAAGATTAAGTTTGTGTTTCCACAAGTTTCAAGAACTGTTTGAACTTTAATATCAACAATGTGTATTAAAGGAAAATAATTATTATTTTGATTTTGTGTGTGTGTTTAGCATTTTAATTAAGTTATATTAATATAATTAACTTAAACATTTTTAAGTCAGCCCCCTTGGAAGTTTACTGGGGGGCCTGTGTTTGAGAACCACTGCCCTGGAATGACTTCTCTCTTCTTTTTTTCATCTTGCCTTTTGTAAATATATTTAACATTTACATTTTTCCCCCTTCCAAACTGGTTGTGTATGTGTGGTAATGGTCAAGGTGGCTACATGTTTGGTTTTGATGAATTTCATTTCCTGGATGGATGAAAAGTACTTTGTGTTTACTTGTACCTTGCATTAAACGCACATTTCTTCATTAGATATCGACTTATTTATGTGTTATCTGGATAGAGTCATTCATAAACATAATCTTCCCTGAAGAACACAATTAGCCCTTTAGCATATATAGACCAGGGGCCATATTACAGAAACTTCCTGTCAGAAGTTAAGATCCTAACCCTCACTATAGTCACTAAACAGATTCTAGAGTTTGTATGTTTCTGTAATATACTGTAAGCTGTGTCTCAATGTTGCGCCCTACGGAGGTCGCATTTGCCGGCCGCATACGTCATGGATTTCGGAAAAGTAATAATCATAAAATGGACTGTTATTTCTTGTGCAGCATAAATTATTGTAATTGCTTTCTTTGCAATATAATGGAGGCAGCTGAAATTCTTCAATTATGAAACGAGGCAGCCTCAATGACATAAATCCGACAAATACGACCTTCGAAATGAGACCGCATTTCTTTACTCATACATACGCAGAGTAACAATTACTAGCAACCTTTTTTAGAATTAAATTTAATGTGCTAATATTGTTATTGATAAACACCTTTTAACATTTTTACAAAACAAGTATATCAGCATACATAGTGCATACAATATGAAACATATATGCTTAATACATACGTTTCACACTTTACTAATGTCAGGAATGTGATCTCACAATGAATCCCTGATGTATTTGAAATTGTAATATTTACATTAAGATTTCACTGTACTGTGCTTTTCATTGTGCCTTCGCCGCTGTGGGCAGTGAGAGCATGAACACTGCTAGTCTTGGCAGACATCACTGAGCTGGACACATGGAAAGAGACCAGCACTTCATACAGGGTATGATCGTGTGTCTTGAAAGATCTGACCTGAAGAGGGCACTCAAGTGAAAAAACCCTCTAAACAACTCCATCAGTTCCAAAAAATCTGTTCGACAGACTTCAATTTGGTGGTCAGTTTCAAATGAAGACATGGATATCGTCACTGTTGCATATAAGAGACAATCCTAGATCTCCTTTTGGATAACAGTTGAAAGTGTCTGCCTAGCAGGATTTTTTTAAAATGTAAAGCACCTTTTATGTAAATAACGTTATTCAAGATGAATGAACTTGGAACATCTCATGGTTCCTATCATCAGCATAAGGCTAAAAGACTGGCAGTGCTAATGAGTGCTGGGGTAGAGCCTCTGTTAAACAGTGGCAGGAGATTGTTGCTTATTCAGGAAGCATGGCAATACATTTAGCGTGCAATATGCTAAAAATAGGCAACTACATTAAAGTGCCCAGACCAGTGGCGGTTCTAGAGGGGGGGCCAGGGGGGCCAGTGCCCCTGTGACAAAAAGCTTGGCCCCCCTTGTGGCCCCCCTAAATGTGGAGTTTGAAATAATTTTTACAAAACTGTTTTTTGCTATCGTTGTATGCGTATTATTTTTTTTTTTTTCTATCTTTGTGGATTTGCATTTTCACGTGACAATTCGCATCACATTCGCGGGAATCGCGGCAGAATAACGCCTGTCTCCTGCATGCGAGAGAGGAGAGAAGAAAGTTGGTAAATGTCAGTTCAGTTGTAAGTTCATTCTTTATGTGCGTATGGGGTGTGCGATGTGTATTGTCTATTATGATATTTTAATCATTGTTTTAACTACCATAAAACTTTAAATAATAGCCCGGGCTTTTATTTTCCCAAATCGTCGAACTGCACCGGCTTGTATTTGAGACAGGCGTCTATATGAGACAGGCCTTTATAATTTAGTGTTGAGATGTTGTTCATTGAGATGTTGTTCCTAGAGTCTCTAATCTCTAAAAATCTCCAAATGCTCCACGTGAAACTGCGGTCTTCCGACCTTTTACTATCGTGTCAATTGATTTTGATTAATATGCGCGAGGGAGAGAGAGCATTGAGCAAGACAGCGCTCGTGTTGAAGACGTGAGTGCGCGCGCGCGGCCGGGGCTCTCTCTCTCTCTCTCTCTCTCTCTCTCTCTCTGCTCGTTATGCACTGTCAAGCGCAGCAAGCGGACGCTCTGACGGGTTTTAGAAGATAAAATACAACCCGAAACTAAAAAACAGACCCGGCTTCTATTTGAGACCGGCCTTTATTTACCCAAACCTGCAGCCACACCAGGCGTGTAAAAGAGACAGGCGTCTATTCGGGACTCGGCTATTATTTGAAGTTTTACGGTATGTACGAGGTACTGTGAGCTGACATAGCATTTGTCTATCGTCCTTTCACTGCTGTGTGCAGTTCATAGGTAGGCTATGTCCCCAAATTAGTTTTTGTCTTATTTATATCATATTATGTTCTTATATTATAATATCACATCAGCAAGAGTGCCGTTTTCCCGTGCACAATTGCAACTGTGATATTTATGTTATACAACAGTTAAATTAACAATAAGTTAACATTGGGAGTTACTTTTTAGACACAATATTGTCATTATTGTTTGTTTTCCCTTTATTTCGCCGACTAGAATTTCATAATGAAACGTGAGTCTCAATGCAACACAGCGATGATTTCTTGACTGAAATACGCGTTTTGAACGAATCACTCGCTTCTTTCCCGAATAAATCAGCCGTTTGAACAAATCGGTTGAATGAATGAATCCCTCTTACAGGGACTTGCCGCCGCATACTGGCGGTTTTAGTTTCATATTTAAAGTATCCTTTAATTCAACTTTAAAATTAGAAATAATTTCATATTTAAATATTGATTTGAAAGAAATCTCATAGCTTTATTTATGCAATTGTAAATGGAGTGTAAATATATTAATGCCACTTCTGTGTCACCTCTGCACTGCAAAGATGGATTTTGATTGAATTAATTAATTTGACTGGTAACAGTGGTAGGCCTACTGCATAATTATTGTATAATTAAGTATTATTGTATAAATAAGTATAATTACTGTATAATTTGAATGTTAGTATTTGACATAAAAGGTGATGCATAACTCTAAATAAGTTTAGAAAAAATGTCCATATATAGGTGAAAATGCCCCTGGAAATCAATTTAAGGTGGCAAATATTGCCCCTTAATTAAAAAATGTATTTCTGTCACTGCTGTGAACTGACCACTGCATAGAATATGAAAAATATGAATATCTTCGTGAGTCAGCTGTCAACAACAGGCCTAAACCAGCCATGGCACCAGCACAAAAACACAATCAGCAAAATATTATCTAATTATTAACAAAATGTTGAAAATATTGAAATATATTTTTGTCAATATTGCACACCCCTAATGTACGTATTAATTTTGATTTCTTTAGGTCTTAAAAAGCCTTAAATTGGACTTTAAAAAGTGTGCAGGAACCCTGTAAACGGTTAGACATATCAAGTCAGTTATTTTCAGTAAATTAATTAATAAGCTTCTTGGTCCCCATTGCTTTTGCTCTATAGTTCTCAAAATGAAGAGAAAGAAGGACATCATGTCTATTACAGTTACTGTGACTAATACTGAATATGTAATGCAAATGTAAAAATATAATGGAAATGCAAATACATTGTTGAATGATTATAAACACGGTATTTTGCCTGTTAATGCCTGCAGCAGTGCAGAAAATGATATGACAACAATAAGGTCTAAATGTAACTGGCCCCTCTAACAGTACAACTGGCCCCAGCTTGGCCCCCCCAGTTGAAATGGGCTAGAACCGCCACTGGCCCAGACTATTCTTGCATAGACAGTTGAGCGAAGCTTGACATTATTACGTTGTTTTGTTTTTTTGTGCTTGAGGGAGTAAGTAATTATTAAGAGAACTAGAGGTCAAGGCCTAATCCTCTAGATAGTTCAGACTTACAGATGGAGTTTAGATTTCAGAAGACTGGGTTAAGAGGTAAACAGGCTTCGACAAGTCCCCTTCACTCACTTACAGGGGAATACTAATAAAAAGTCTACTTAAAGTAAAGATAAAACCTCAAATACAGAGAGAGATCCTGTAAGGCACATGAGAATACACCAACAGTTCTCAAAAAATGAACAACTCCCAGAGAAAACGTGATAACGACATAGGAATTCACCTCCGACAGGACAGGAGGATGAACAAATATGCGAGGGGAGAACTGTTTCAACTAAGAAATGTGATGTCTGAGCGAGAAAACATAAAACTTCTGTTTCTTCTGCTGTGATGGCTGAGTCTCAGAGGAGCTTCTGGGGAGCATCTCCTCACATACAGCATCAGACAAAGAAAACACTCAACAACGGATGGAAGACAGGTCTTTGCTATTCCAAACAGGAGTGCAAGAAGTCCTGTGCTGACTCTCACAGCTCAGATTTTTCTGTAAGAGGCTTTATTTCAGAAGGATCTTCCTGGGGGAAGACCACATAACACAACTTCTGTCCCAGATAGGTGACTTTCTCTGAAACACATGCACATTTACAGATGTCAGACGGTTTTTCGTTGCAGAGTGTTAACAAAACAATGCAAAGAAGTTTTGGCTGGTCTTACTCACCCATGGCACTGTAAACCCAGTATGGTTTGTTCTTCCACTGCACTCCAATGAAGTAGATGGGGACTCCAGTGAGCATGATGACCAGCCCCATACCACACACCACAGGCTCCGAGTACAGACTGAAGCCCAGCAACACCGCCCAGAACACTAGATAGCTGCATGGGACAAACAAGTTTACCTGCACAAAGGGAGAGAAGAAGAGGGAGGTGAATAAAACTAAAACACTGACATGTCAATCCATTTTCCTGATGAGGTCTGTAGGTGGCAACTTAAGTACCTTGATGGGTCTGAATAGTTTGGGTTTCTTCCATCTGTAGTACAGCAGCCCAGCTATAGTGACTCCATATGAGAGGTAGTTTATAAAAGACACATAGTTTATCAAGTTATGAGTGTCCCCGATACACAGGATCACTATGGTCGCCGTACACTATGGAGAACAAGAGAGAAAGACACTTAGGCCCTGTTTGCACCTGGTATAAGATCCATCTAATACAGTGATTCTTAACCTTTTTGACTTGAAGGCCCCGCATATTGGCTAAGACATTTCTTCTGGCATTTTATGTTGTAATAATGACAGCACTGCTTGTTGTCTCAAACTTTTTAATTAACATGAATTGGGAATGATGATTTATTAAATTAATTAACAATGATTTATTTTGTGATTATAGAATGTTCAAGATTCTAATGCCGCGTTCCAGGCAACCTGTAACCCGTGTTTTTCCAACCTTATACCCGTGAAAGTGCACTGGAACGGCAGTCAAACCCGTGACTTCCCACCCGTGAACTCGTACTAGATCGATGTACTCCCAGTTACGAGTTCTGACGTCACATAGCCCGCGGAACCATACAAAACAACAATGGCAGCCCCCCCCCCACACGGTGAGAATGCACTTTAGGCCAATATAACGTTTCAGTCAAATTAATAATTATATTATAATGATAAAAATACACACACGATTATGTATTACAATTTTAAGTGTCTCTGAAACAATAAGTATATATTGCGCACAGGTAGTTTGGCGTGACTGGATGGAATGCTACAAAGTCGTGAGTCGTGGTTTGAAGTCGTGATTTACCTGCTCAAAAACCTGCCTGGAACGCAGCATAATTCTCCAGTTCTTCAATAAAAAACATAAGTTATTGAGGGGAAAAATATGAATCTCAGTTTGAGTTTAGATTTTTTTTCTTGCATTTTAATTAAGTTATGGCGCTTTTCCACTGCATGGTAAGGTACGGCACGCTTTGGCGCTTTTCCACTGCATGGTACGGTACGGTACGGCTCGTTTCGGCTCGCTTTAAATGGTACCACCTCTGTTGAGGTTCCAAGCGTACCGTACCGATACTAAAATGTGACGTGAAAAGACTGCAGATCACTGATTGGTCAGACAGAATCGTCACTACCAGCGTCATTGTATTTGCGAGACATCAAACCCGCTAGATTTAAATAGCCAGTAACAGCCACCGCTGTAGCACCTGTTTTAAAACTACTTGCTTGACTTGCTTGAAGAAAAAAGAAAGAAAGAAAACTTCCACAAAAGAATTGGCTGAATCGTGGTCAGTGGACGAAGTGCAGTCGACGTTCCTCTCGTTGGTTGCCGAGGAGGGGATAAACTATAACGGTCCGACTATAATCCCACCCACTTTGAAGCGGTACTAACTGCAGTGGAAAAGCAAACCGAGCTAAAGCGAACCGAGCCGTGCCGTGCCGAGTCGTACCACGCAGTGGAAAAGCGAAGCGAGCCAAACCGTGCCGAGCCGAACCGTACTGAGCCCGAGCCGTACCATGCAGTGGAAAACCGCCATTAGATTCAGTTTTAATACAATCAATAAATTGAAGTCATCCAGTGACCCCCTTGGAAGTTTGCTCCCCTGGTTGAGAACCACTTGTCTAATTTTAATCAAAAAAGTTAAGAAAACCAAGTCAGCACACTCTTGCTTCCAAAAGTACCATTAAATTGTTATCTCACCATAAATTAGATGTAGATGTAGACATATTTTAGTTCAACTGCAATTTAACTGACCTTCACTTGATCTGTGTCATTTAATGTTGATGTCAAGCAAATCCGTGAAGTTCAGTCTTTTCCAATGTTTCGATTAATTTAATTTAAGGGATTTTAATTTTAAGTGACGTAAAAGTTATTGTAAAAGGGGCACATAAACAGCCAAGTTTGCGCCCTTTTTTAGTGCAGTGGTTGATTGACAGGTCCTTCACTTCTGTCCAGAATGCATCAGCAAGCGAGTGTTTATAAAAAATCCAATGTGATCACATGAGTTTTCTATTACCTCTCAATGCGGTTTAAATGATCTGTTCACAAAACATTCTGGACCCCGTTTAGACCTGAATTGGATCAACCAAACCATACAGACTGAAAGCAGTGTTATGTTGCATGTGGTGTGTGTGAATAGCTCTTTCTTTCTCACACAAACAAGCAGGGCAGGGATTGGTGTGCAGCTCTTAAGGTGGATCATAGCCAACAGGTAGGGCAGGTGACCCTCTCTGGCGCCCGAGAAACACAACCTGTGGAGGATGTGCAATGAAGCGGTAAATACTCTGGTTTCAGGGTTGCTGTATTAAGCCAGTGCGATAGTGCTTTTGTTTCTTTACCTAGAAGAGGTAAACAAGTATCCGTTAATCCCCCCAAAGGTGGAAAGAGCTACAGAGATGGGCATCACCCATGAGAACATTCCTAGCAGCTTCTCACCAAATGTCTGCAACACAACACACAAAAACAGATGCCGATTTATCAAAGCACCTGATAGATAGTATGTTGATTTCACAGAATAATGCAGAAGAGGTCAGAGAAACTCACCACAGCAACAGCGTTCGACTCTAGAAGCTCTTGAGGGGACATGGAGGTGAAGTACGCAATGTTGGTGAGAGTATAGACGAGCGTCACCAGAGGGATGGAGATGTAGATCGCACGTGGAAGATTCCTAGACAGATACACCAGAAACCATAAAACACCATACAATATACGCTGTATGAGAGCTGGGCTCATTTTCTGTAAGATTTATAAAAAGTGTGTACACAAAAAGTGAGACAGAACTACTGTATGTGCAAAAGTGAATATATGTTAAAAATTAACAATTAATAATTTTAATAGGCTTATTGTCAATAGGTTTTTAAGTTTTTGGCTGATTAATTTGGTTATTTAATTGGTTTTGCTATGTTTTGCTTCTTTTTGTTGACACTTGACAATCTTTTAATTTGTAGCCCAAATTATTCTTGAGAAAATGTGACAAGCCTTTGGCAACAGAAGTGCTGTTTCTACCATCCAAACATGCTCGAAACACAGAGAGCATCTCAAATAGCCACAAAGTAATACTTTCTGTGACCTGGTTTGTGCATTTCCAACAACTTGAGCACTTTTGAGGAGGGTTTGGAATACGGTACTCCATGTTACGTGACATGAATAAATTATGCAGATTATGGATGCTTGCTTGTTTCACCGTTTGCTGCTTCTATTTATACTGTTGCTGTATGTATTGTCACTTGTTGATTGAAATTATTCATCAGTTACTTGTTATTTGGTTATTTTGTTATATATTTTTTTTTTACATAGAATTACTTAGGCTTACTATCACGTGGTTTGTGTGTTAAAGGAGGTCTATGTACATGTGCCTATTTGTGTGTTATGCTGTGCAGCCATTGTTCTGATTGCATTTTGATAATGGAGAACAAAGAATATTAACTCGGCAGTAACTGCACTTAAACCATGTACATCTCCCCGCGAGGCCCCCGAAGGCACATTGGGGGACCCAGGCGATCGCCTGTAGGATTATGGCGTTATATATGTGCCTCATTCCTGAGCGAGTAATTGTAAGTTTTGAGCACAGAGAACTATATTTTGCAAGCACATTGCATTATATTTTGAACAGAAATTAACAATCGCAAAAAAAAAATTCGTTTGAGCAAAGAAAAAACGATTCCGTGCTCAATAAATGTATTTGCTATTATCCATATTAACGTGCAATAATAACTCCTCTCACGCAGTTTACTCAGGTGCTCTCTCACAAACTTATTCTCTGCGCTCCTGTCAAGTCCCTCTCTCTCTCTCTCAACCTCTTAATTCTGTGCGCGCTCAACTCTTGACACACGCACGCTCAACTCTTGACACACGCGCGCTCAACTGCGCGCTCAACTCTTGATACACACGCGCGCTCAACTCTTGACACACGCGCGCTCAACTCTTGACACACGCGCGCTCAACTATTGACACACACGCGCGCTCAACTATTGACACACACGCGCGCTCAACTTGCAACAGCGTTACAAGTGTGCCACAAAATCAACCAATCGGAAAATTAGAGGTCAATTGTGATTGGCTGTTGGTCTCCAATCACCACGCAGTACAAAGAAGAAGAAAAAGGAATTTTATGGATAGATGTCTTCTCTAGTATGGAATGCCAAAGCTGACTTAATTAAAAATAAATAAATACATAAATAAATAAATATACGAAGAAATGCAAAAAAGCAAAAATACATAAATAAATATACAAAGAAATGTAAAAAAAATACAAAGAAATGAGTATTTATACTTTTATTTCCTTATTTATGTATAATTGTATTTTTTTCACACATTTTTTATTTATACATTTATTTATTTCCACTTTTATTTATTTCCACATTTATATATTGTATTGTATTATATAAATTGATTTCCAGGGGCGATCAGCATCATATACTGCATGTCCAGTTCTTAATATTAATCGATAAACTACTCAGTTATTATAATAATAAGGCACTATGGCTGTTATCAGTAAAATAAAATTAACAAAAGTCATTAAGTCATTAAAAGTCAAAATCTTAATACAGAGGAGAATGTTTTTACACTGCAATTACAATTGCATAAAAGTCGTTATGAGATTAATGTTAAAAATAAAACATTTGAATATAGAAATAGGAATCAATTAAATTGTATGTTTAAATATGAAACTAAAACAGCCAGTAGGTGGCGGTAAGTCACTGTCTTAAACGAGTGAGTCATATCATTATTTCAGACCGATTCATTCAAATACTGAACTTCGGGGAAAAAACACCACGTGTTATGTTCAACTGTACAGCTCAGGTATCAAAATTATGGCGGGGCGACGTGGCACCAACATTAATAAAAAATGTCAGCATTTAAAAATGCTGTAAAAAAGCCCATGTATGAGATAATTTTATTCCCGAACTGAATGAATCAGTATTTGAATGAATCGGTCTGAATTAATGATATGACTCACTCGTTTAAGACAGTGACTTACCGCCACCTACTGGCTGTTTTAGTTTCATATTTAAACATACAATTTAATTGATTCCATCATTTCATATTTCTATATTCAAATGTTTTATTTTTAACTTTAATCTCATTACGACTTTTATGCAATTGTAATTGCAGTGTAAAAACATTCTCCTCTGTATTAAGATTTTGACTTTTAATGACTTAATGACTTTTGTCAATTTTATTTTACTGATAACAGCCATAGTGCCTTATTATTATAATAACTGAGTAGTTTATCGATTAATATTAAGAACTGGACATGCAGTATATGATGCTGATCGCCCCTGGAAATCAATTTATATAATACAATACAATATATAAATGTGGAAATAAATAAAAGTGGAAATAAATAAATGTATAAATAAAAAATGTGTGAAAAAAGTACAATTATACATAAATAAGGAAATAAAAGTATAAATACTCATTTCTTTGTATTTTTTTTTTACATTTCTTTGTATATTTGTTTATGTATTTTTGCTTTTTTGCATTTCTTCGTATATTTATTTATTTATGTATTTATTTATTTTTAATTAAGTCAGCTTTGGCATTCCATACTAGAGAAGACATCTATCCATAAAATTCCTTTTTCTTCTTCTTTGTACTGCGTGGTGATTGGAGACCAACAGCCAATCACAATTGACCTCTAATTTTCCGATTGGTTGATTTTGTGGCACACTTGTAACGCTGTTGCAAGTTGAGCGTGCGTGTGTGTCAAGAGTTGAGCGCGCGTGTGTATCAAGAGTTGAGCGCGCGTGTGTCAAGAGTTGAGCGCGCGTGTGTATCAAGAGTTGAGCGCGCGTGTGTGTCAAGAGTTGAGCGCGCGTGTGTCAAGAGTTGAGCGCGCGTGTGTCAAGAGTTGAGCGCGCGCGTGTGTCAAGAGTTGAGCGCGCGTGTGTCAAGAGTTGAGCGCGCACAGAATTAAGAGGTTGAGAGAGAGAGAGAGGGACTTGACTGGAGCGCAGAGAATAAGTTTGTGAGAGAGCACCTGAGTAAACTGCGTGAGAGGAGTTATTATTGCACGTTAATATGGATAATAGCAAATACATTTATTGAGCACGGAATCGTTTTTTCTTTGCTCAAACGAATTTTATTTTTTTGCGATTGTTAATTTCTGTTCAAAATATGATGCAATGTGCTTGCAAAATATAGTTCTCTGTGCTCAAAACTTACAATTACTCGCTCAGGAATGAGGCACATATATAACGCCATATAGGATGGCCAGACCCTGATTTTGACACGGTAAAGACTAATAAAGACTCACTTGCGAGGCTCAACCACCTCTTCAGTGACATAGTTCAGGAAGTTCCATCCACTGTATGCAAATGAGGCCTGCAGGAAAGCCAGAGCAATCTGCCCCACTGATGGATCCTTTATGAACTTAAAAGCTGCCTGAGGCTCCAATGCTTCATAGTGTCCTAGAGAGAGAGACATATATAGAGAAAATATCTGTTTAATTCATACAGGATTTGCATTTTGCAAACACTTTTATGCAAAGGGACTTGCATTGCATTTCAAAGGCACTGACCTCAGTCAGTGTCTCTATAGCTATGCTATGCTCTACTGTTTAGGCTACAAGAATACTCACCAAATGTCAGATCTCGAGCTCTTTGTTTTGTTTAATTCATAAAACACTGTATTTTTTCACATGCTCTTGGGATCAATCTGTTCACATTCATCCTGACACTCTAATGTCATCAGTTTGATTGCATTATTCCACTACATAGGCAGAGCCTCCAAAAAGCCTTTATCTCTACAGTCAATCAAGAGTGAAACTGCACTACTCAGTTCTCTCATTAACTCAATTCTTTCTCTTGTCAGTTCAGGGAATGCCTCCAGACAAGCACACTAAATAAAAATATAAATAAAAAAGTCTGCCCATAACGATTCACAGCCATAACCTGCTGCTTTACTGTAATATTACTCAGTTGTGTAAAAGACAGTTCACATTGTTAAAACATTTCTGCAATGGAGGCTTAAAGCAGCACTAGGTTACTTTTCAACCTTCATAATATATTTCCAAGTCTCTTGTGATGGTACATCGACTTACAATATGTTGAATGACACGTCTGCCATAGCCTGACGGGGTCTGTAGCGTTTTTAATCGTACTTTAAAACTTCGGGTTTCGGGTAGTAACCGGCGAACAAAGAGAACTACAAAATTCGACTGCTTTACGGCATATACGTCACTTCCACCACCACCCCCACTTCCTTAAAATCGGACGTGCGAGCCAAATGTTATAGTCATGGCCGAAGCAGCACAGAAAAACAAGAAAGCAAAGGTTTTATCGGAGCAAAGCAAAAAGAGAAAAAGAGAAAGTGATCGCGTTAAAGGCAGAACGAGGATCAACATTGGAGGAGGGGTGCCCGACCGATGCGGACTTAAAAAAAAAAAAAAATCAAATGAAAGCCTGTGTCTAAACGGCGTGCACAAGTTTGGTAGGGGCTACATTCTTGCAAGTAAATATATAAGATGTGCAAAATCATATTTTAGGATACCTAACATGTCTGGGATATTTGTTTATTTGTCTTGCCTCAAGCTATAATGCAAATCGATTTGTAAAATTTGCAGATTTATTTATGGTAGCTTGATATTATAATATTGACGATATATGGTTATTATCAACCACTCAAACATTGCATTGAAGTATCATATAGATTCAGTAAAACGGTAACCAATAGACTAGGCTACTATAATGACGCTGGCTTGTAAACGTGATCATCGCGATCATTTGTCGTTAAAAAAAAAATAAAACCCATGAAATTATATTCATATGACATGCTGAAATATATGCCACTGTACCTGGGATGAAGACATTTCACACGCGACGCAAGCAGAACACCTGCATGTGACCTCCTCCTACAGTGTTCAGAGTTTACGACAGTAGTAGAGGTCTAGAGGACAATACTGTTTTCCCAACTGTAGGGGGACCCCACCCCGAGAGCAAAAGTTCCCTGGTGTTACTTTAAATTTTGCATTAGTGTCACAATTATATCCTACAGTCTTAGCTTAGTTTATTATGAACTGCCTAACTGAAAAGAGTCAGCTATATACTGTACTGCTTTACTTAAAGAAATATCCTAACATTCTCTGATTCAACTAGCTTATTAAATTATTGTAAAATAGAGGTTGTGATAGTGAGTTATATATAAATTACATTTTGCCCAGATTTTTTCCCTGATTTGCAGTCTGGAGTTGATGCTGTCTGTTCACAAAAAAAGCAGTTTTTTGGGCAGTCAGAGCTGACAGATTTCGCAGAAAATCGTATAGTGTGATCGTATAGACTGCGCCACCGGATGTGCCAATAAGCATAGCGACATGTGCCATTGGTTTCTGTGCGTCAGATGCCATGTCACGTAATGTTAAAACTGCTTCTGGAGAGTTGTTTGGTAGTGTGTGATCTTCAGTCGTTTAGTGTATGATGTTTTATTCTATAACCATTTACAAAGTCTGACCGTCTATGATGCCTAGTGTTGTTGTTTTTTAATCTGTTCAGATTTTAAAAGTCGTGTAGTGTATTCCAGCCTTAAATTTCACTGGTTCAAGTTTTAGTAGGGGTGATTTATGAACCAACCCATCATTGTGCAATTGAGCAAGGCACTAAACCGCAGGTTTCTTTGAGGGGGCTATACCAGTACTAAATGTATTGTAAATCATTTTGAACAAGAAAGCATCTTATAAGTAACTCACAATACAAGACCTACCACTAGATGTCACTATTGAAAAAAATAGAGTTAAAAAAGTAGTTCCTCCCAAAATCCACAGAAGAAAAAACAACATCAGGGTGAGTAAACAATAAAGTTTTAGATGTCCTCTCCTTTTTATTCATTAGATAACAGGTTAGAGCTGGCAGCAGCTGTGATGGGAGTGCATGATGATTCATGGCATTTAACTGTGGGAATTAGTATCAGATATGAGTTATCATACTCTTTTCCTTTCTCTCATTTGCCTACTCTTTATTTCTCTCTTTTAATCTCTTAACTTCATTCTCTGCTTTAGTGGTTTACACACTATAGCAAAATCCTGTTACTGTTCAGGAAAGTGTTAGATTGCTTATCTGTACAACAGTTTGGCCTAACAACTGAAACAAAGGGAAAAATCAATAGATTATAGAATTTTGATACCCCTAATGTTTAATAATTAACATTACTGTACATTTATAGACGTCCTTTAGTACTTCATACTGCATCGATTTTTTACAGCACAAAAACCCTCTTTTTTGAGAGAGAATAGCATGTTTCATGAAAGACGACAGCTGGCACAGTCATACACACACACCTTTGGCAATCTGGACCATTCCCACTACAATGATGAGAACAAGGGCCAGCAGCTTCCCCACAGTGAAAACATCCTGGATCCGTGTCCCCCAGCGTACACTGGAGCAGTTCACCCAAGTCAGGAACACTGTAAACACATGCAGTGAACACACAGTTATTCATTCCCATATTCCAAACTCACGAGAATAATTTCCTTTAAATATTATGAAAACCATTAGCAATATCCATAAAAGGTACATCAAACATATAATGTAATTTATAAATAAAGACCATCACATATTAAGAACAACTGTCACACTTTTTGGATGTCTTATCAAAGAGCTGTTTCATGAGAAAAACTCTATCATACGTGTCATAAGGACAAATCAGATTGTGTTTCAGTAATGGAAGCAGTGTGGTGTTGTTGGCAGAGCAGCAATAACTGGTCACATGGTCCATTTTTATTAGCTTAATGAGGGGAAATAAAGATCAGATGTAACTTATTTTACTGCTGCAGGCAAAACACTGACCCATTCATGGCTAAGTGGTTCTCAACCAAGGGGCCAGGGCCCACTCAGCAAACTTCCAAGGGAGCCTCAAGATAACTTGAAGAAAAAAATAAGCATTGAAATCTGCTAAAACAACTAAAAAACTAAATATTTCTTATTTTATAAAAACCAGGGTTCCCACAGACTTGGAATACCTGCATATATGATGTAGACGGTTACCTCATCTACCTTATAGATGTATTTGGTATCTATCTTTATGCATCACACTTGGGAGTTCTTTAGAAACAAAGAAGAGTAGTTTATCAAGGGGCATCAATGCAACACAGCCTAAAGCTGACAGGTTAAAAAACTATACATTCACAAATGGAAGTACAGGCATTATAGGCCACTGCTTGTCTGTACATCTGTGTTGAGGTTAGTGGCTTCTGTGTTCAGCTGCATTGTGTAACAGGTCCGGTGTAGATCCGGTACACAGAGGTCCGTCTCCAGGGCTTGACGGCACGGTATACCCAGGCATGCCGAGGGAGACACTGGGCAAAGGGGAGACGGGTTACCCCCACTCATCCATCAATGGCCGGAATTACCCGCCCACACACGAAAACACACGCGGGGCATCTGTCAGACCCCCCTAGACAAACAGCTTCCGATGCCCAACAACAAAACGGCCCAGACGCCAGCTGAATTGTTGGCCAGAGTAAGCAGTCGACAAGAGTAGCTCACAGCCTGCAAACTAACAGCTAACCTGCTCAACTTCATCCACGCATGTAATCCTGAGCTCAATACACACCACCTGTGAACCTCCATGCCCTGACATCACCTTGAGAGTCACTGCAATATTTTCATAGGTATTATGTGCTCTTAGGCACCTTAAAATTATAACAATAACAATATGACAAAAACATGTTCAAATTTAAAAACGTAAAAAACATTGACAACATAGCAACATACATAGGAGATAGTTCACTCCAAAAAAATTACATTTCATCATCATTTACTTACTGATGACATTCTTTCTTCATGTTTTATCTTTCACATAATAAAGTCATACAGGCTTAGAACGACAGAAGGGTGAGCACATAATGATAGAATATTCATTTTTGAGTGATCTATCCCCTTAACATAAATTATTAATATTAATGAATGTGAATGTGTTGTGGTCACGTGTGCAATTAAGCATTTTATAATATAGGTTCACAACAGTTACAGTGTTTGCCATGGTTTTGTTTGCTCTTGTTTGGCTTTAACGGATCTGACTCCAGCTCCTTCTGTTTTGTATCACAGCGCAGGAGTGACTAAGAGTGGCCAAATGAAGTTAAATGAACACAAAGCTAATGAGAGGAGAATTCTAATTAAGTGCCAACAGCCTTTAAATCTGCCAAAATACAACCACTCACTCCAAACTCCTGAGGGGGACATCCCTCTGCAGCTAATTGACCGATAAAGCCAACAAAAGATGCACTAAATACACAAAAATGTGCAAAACGTTACAACTCTCTGTGGCCAAGGCCTAAAATGAGTACTATATTTTTCACGTTTACTCAGTATTATAGATCACAGGCTTTTTAAAAAGTTGTATTTAAAGAAGGACATTAATAAATAAATTTGATAAATAAAACCTCTTCAAGATTGTTTGAAAAAGCAACCCATGTGGATACCAGGTTGAGAGACTGCAGAATTGTAATATTGGCAAAAGGTTGGCTACTTTGAAGACGCTAAACACAATTGAATATTTTTTTTTACTGCGTAAATTATATACCGTACGTCCTTTTGTTTTGCTTAATCTTGATGGTATTTTGACTGGTATTGTCTCTTTACTTTTATTTGACAGGATTTATCCATTTATAAATTAATATTTTCTCCAAATGATATAGCTGTTCAGAGACATGCTGTCAGCCCTTTTATCAGAAGACATAAATCTGAGAAACAAGAGTTAGTTGAGTCACATGAACAGATCTCTTTCAATCTCTAGAGTGTGTGGCCTTTACTTTTACACAAGAGAGAAGCTTCCAACACACTCATAAACCTATAAAAAAGTACAAAGCATTAGTACAGTAAATAACCCGTCACACACAGTTGTAAAAAAGCAATGTGAGACACATCTTTTCTTTGACATCAAATTTAAAATCAAGTTATTTTATGCTGTATTGTATCATGCAGATTACGACTCAGCAAAGGTTTGTGTGTCCAGTCCAGCAGTGTGTGTGTGTGTGTGTGTGAGTGTATCTTTGTAATCTGACTTCAGCAGACAGAGCTTGTGACATTCATTCAGAACATTCAGAAGGGGAGGGCAAATGTAACACATGCCGCAATATAGACAAATTCTCACACAGAGCAACTAAGAACATTCACTCACTCACACATAAACAGGGGTTCATACATGCGTCAGTTTACCACTAAAAATATACACTGCAGTGCATCAACACAGGTACAGACAGCACGAAGCCAAAACCTTTTTTGAATTAAATTAGAATTGGGGCAGTCAGGGGCGTCACTAGGCCCTTTTTAGGGGGGCTTCAGCCTTCTGCCTAGCCCCCCTAAAAATGTGCGATTAATGTAGGCTACACAAATTCGTGTTCGCTTCAGTCTTGTTATAATCAGATTCAGCGCGTTCTTCATCTTCAATCCGCAGCGGCGCCGAGCAGAGAGCACGTCAGAACAGAGGACAGGGCCAACTCTCGCGAGACAAATAAGCAACTGTAGCTTCAAAAACAAGCCCAATATTATTAGATTATTTAGTTTCAGCATTATCATTTATTTTTTATACCAATAAATGAGCCTGCAACATATTAAACTGAAACCACTCCTTTATTAGAAAAGGATAAACGGATTAGGAAAAAAAGGATTTAAAAAAGGTTTGGAGAGATGGAAAGGACAAAAAGACAATCAGGAAAAGACGGGGATATGTAACACACACACACACACACACACACACACACACACATTATATATATATTATATATATATATATATATATATATATATATATATATACACAGTATATGTATATTTATTTATCTTAATAAAATAAATTTGACCCATATGTATCTTATGTTAGTATAGACTAGTTTGTTTTATTTTTTAAAGCCTGTGATAATTAATATATTACAAAAATGTTGTAAAAATTACAAATTTACCTTACAAAAGAAGGTCATCCCTCTTCTCGCCTGCACTGTCCATCATCTCCCCAACGTCTATCATTGGATTACAGCGTCACGCGCGCGGCTGCCTGCACGTTGAACGGGATTTTACTCCAATAAGGGGGCAGATTCGGCGGAATGTTTTGACGAATTACGCCACAGCACTTATACAATTGCACTGATTGGCTATGGCTGTGAGCAGACAGTGTCTATCAATGTATTGGAGATTGAGAAAACGGCAACCGTGACCATAGATGTAAAGAAAACAAAGTTGCTTGTCAGATTTTCCTAACACAAGCAACCATATTTTTTTAATAAGCCCAAAAAAACGCAACCCGCAACCCGTGCTTTTTTAACGCGACTTACTAAAAAAAAAGCCCAAAGTCGCGTATTATAAGCGGACTTGGCAACTATGGTTGTGTGTGTGTGTTCATGTGTGTGTTCATCTGAGCCTCATTGGTCTGTCACTGCTCGTCAATGTCAGAATATTTGAGATGACCAATCAAATCAAAGTAGGCAGGCTTTATGTTCACAGACGCTGCTGAGCGCGAATTTTAACAGTGCGACTCGACGCGTACGGTCAAGTGCGAGATAAGATGTAAGCAGCTAAACTTAACATTTCAAATTTTTACTTTTTTAGGTCATAAATGTTAAACGAATGACAAAAAATAATCAGGCAAACTACGGTAATATAGTTTTGTCTAATTTCGCCATTTTGAACTGAAAATAGGCCTATGTAACGTGACTCATGTAATGTAATAATTAGTTTACAAGAAACATTAACAAAGCCGTTTTCATCATGTTAGGCACAAGATTAATAATGAATGTGTACATATTGAGAATATAATACAAATTGTAGCCTTTAGTAAATTAAAAAGGCTCAGCTTTAGGAGGGGAAGAGAAAGGGATGAAGAGACTGAGAAAAAAAGAAAGAGTGATGGAGATGAGAAGAGAGCAGGTATTGACAAATAATCTGCCCACTGAGATGGTTTTAAAGCTATTTCTTATCCTTTTTTTTTGGTCTTCAAACGTCTTGAAATGCACATATCAGAGAAATAAAAAATTTGAACCCCCTACCAACCTCAAATTTAGGACCTCTGTGATTAAAAGCCCTGTCTACGGCCCTGTATTAGGCATTAGATCAATAATAAATGTGTAGCCTACATATTGTGAATGCATTTAATAAACTTAATTACCTTTAGTAGCTTTCAGTAAATAAACGCGTCTGAGAAAATGATTCATAGGCAAAATCAACCTATCAGTTGACCCTATGTTTACTTTCTTCACTGACAGACAAAAATGAAAAGGCTGTATCAGTCAAAGCTCAGCTGGGCAAGATAAAAACAAAGAGAAAAAGAGTGTGATGCTGATGAGGAGAGAAAAATAATCAGCTGCTCACTATCCAAGTTTTTTGGCCTTCAGAACATCTTAAAATCCACATATGTAGATCAGAGAAATCAAAATTTTCATGGGGAGACCCCGAACCCCCCTATTTGCCCTTCCTCACATTTGGGACCACAGTTATTATAAAACCGTGCCTTTGCATCGTAATGAAAATGGTTAATAGTGATCTTTAGATCCTAAACTAAAGTGTTACCTTTTTTATATATTTTTTTAAATCATATTGGGGGCTTAGCCCCCCTAAAATGAAAATCCTAGTGACGCCCCTGGCGGCAGTAGACAGGATGTAGAACTGTAATCATACACACAACATATGGGGCAATTACAGATACAGTAGACATTAGTAATCAATGTCTGAAATGCCACAGAACGTGTATTTGATATACAGTATATATAGCATTCTTTTCAATTAAAATATCATTCATTTTATGGACCATGGTGAAAGAACAATTTATTTCCCACCAATTCACAAATATTTGTCAATATTTATTTTGATATCATTTATGTACATATTTTCATATAATTTGTATACATTTATATTAATTTATTTATATTTTAATATTTTTAAGTTATCTTATTACAGATGGTGTAACGTTTTGTGGTGCTGTCTATTAAAATTTAAATGTTTTAATGGCTGTGTTAATTGCTTATTTCTCTAAACTTAGTTTTGAGAAGTAAGCCTAATCTTTTAAAGATTATGTTACAAATAACATAAAAGTTAACATTATTGTTTTGTCACATAACTTTTGTCTTACAGTTAAATTTCTTTAAATTGCAATCCAGTAAATTCCTCTTCCTGTCATTTTACTCACAACATACTTCCTATGGGCGTGGCCAATTCAATTCAAATTCCATCTCATGGGGACCCAGTTCTTTAACTCTGATTTTCGTCCAACCTTACTTCAATCCACACCACTGAAAGACCCAACAGAGGTTCATGACGGAGGTTCACACGCGGCAAAGCAGGTCAAATTTGTGCATCCAATGCATTTTTTACAGTGCAAGGGATATGTTTTGTTGGCATTGGTGTGGGAACTGTGTGTATAATATGTGTGAAAAATCTGTGCGTAAAGACCTCTGATGTTCCCCTGAGGTCTTTGCATGTCACAGTTTAGGTTATTTGCTTGGTCTAAAGGTTAATGACAGATGATGGGAGGGAACTCTTTATAAGTCTGTGCCCACCCTGAGCATGACTCACACACTCCAAACAGCTTATTAAAAAATCATAATTCACTCTTCATTTGTCAGGTTTAAGAAGAGTTTTAGCGCCATTCACAAAATCCCGCCTTCATGCTCTTCTCCATCAAAGAGCATTGGGGTAGCCAGGACAACCGCAAGGTCCCCAAACAATACACAATACAGAAGACACGCCCACATGTTCCGCCGGCTCAAAGCCTGGCACCATTACGGAGTCTGACGCCACACAGAGTGAGGGTCAGGTGCCCTTATACCACAACATCAATACCAACCCCACCCTGTGATCTGGACCCAAACAAATACGTTCCTTGAATATTGGGCTAATCAGAGGAGAGCACAGTGATTTGGGATGCAGGTCTAGCATCCTTTGATAGGGCACATACATGAGGTGTCTTCCTTAAATAAAGCATTTGGCCCTTGTCACCCTGCTCTCTAGAGTATGACTGACTCAAAGCTTTTGTTGGCTGTTCTTCAGGACAGATTCTGGATTCTGCTGCCAAAAATAGGGATGGATGGCTCAACTCAGCCAGCACTGTCATTAGGACCACTGCCCTGACATTGACACACCCCCAGTACTCCTTCCTGAGAGCCCCTGTCCAGATCTGACAGGTCCAAACCAGCTGAGTCATGGGGCTCTTTGGAAACAAACACATACACACAAGCATGCATAGACATACTGTACATTTGACTGGTTCATATCCACCAGCTCCAAAAATATCCTGCCATGCACCCACCAGGGTTAAGAACCAGGATTAAAGCACTGTAAAGTGGTATAGACACACAAGGGAGAGAAGGCAATTGAGAAAAAGAAAAATACAGAACGATAGTCAAAACAGCGGCTCTAGATTCATCATGACGGAATCTATTAGTCAGAATTAACTCTCTGTGCCCTAGAGATCAGGGGGAATTCCTCTGAGGAGGCAAGAGAGGCAGTGCCTTTTTAAACTATATTACAAAAATAAAACAACGCAAATATTACAAAATGTGACATTACATAGTGTATAAATCACTCATTTTCCTGAAGTAACACTGTCCAACAGCGACACCAGCAGGTAAAGGTACAGTGGGAGTCCGCGTTTCTCTTGCCTCCCCTGAGCCCATTGAGTTTTAACAGACCCCCTAAAGCGTACAGTGGGTTTGATGGGGAGTAATTGAGAATGAATGAAGAGAAGTCACGTGAGAGGAGGCAATGCCTCCATCGGGCTATGATTGGATATTGGTTATGATTGGATATGATTGGTTTGTGCCATAAATCCCGCCTCTTGTTTTTGTGTGCATTCACAAATTGGTTTGAATGAACAAAATGATGGTGTTTAATGGGAAGACTAATTAAAAAGTAAGTAAATAACTCAGTCACTTGAAATGGCCTGATAACATGATGACTGTGGGTTTTTTTTTGTGAGCAATCAGCTTAGTAAAATTAAAGGTAGGCGCTCACATGACAGCAGCACTAAATCAGAGCTGACCTGAGAATGTCATATAAAACCTCATTACAAATGGTGTGTGCTGTACTCACAGACGCAGGCGGTTGAGAGGACGCGGGTGGCGATGTATGGAGGCAGGCAGTTTGGGAAGGCAGGCTGTAGCACATAGTTGGAGAAGGTGAGCGCAATCACAGCCAGAGTTGTTGGGTACATGATCAACACTGCGCTCCACAGCAACAAGAAGCTGTAAAAACACATAAACAAATGGCCATCTTTATCATCACCAATTTACAACAAACACAGAATTCTGAGCAGTGTTAGTGTTGTAACTGAACAAGCAAGTAAACACATGTGAATCTCCCTGAGGAGAAGTTCCCTTGTGTGCTTCACACACACAAACTGAGACATCCATATTGACATTTATGCATTTGGAAGCCACTTTCATCAGAAGCAACATATATTGGATCTGTTCATGCATTTCTTGGCAATCAAACCTATGACCTTGGCATTGTTAGTGCTGATAGTGCATTCACTGTTTGAACTATATGAACGCTGAGACTAACATTCAACAATAGACCTACCCCACCAGGCCCCCGAAGATCTCTGTCACGTATGAGTAGTCTCCACCTGATTTGGGGATGGTGACGCCCAGCTCGGCATAGCAAAGAGACCCTAGGGCACAGATTCCTCCTCCGAGAACCCACACGATGAGTGAAAACCCCACACTGCCAGCATGATCTAGAACACCCTTTGGAGAGATGAAGATCCCTGAGCCAATGATGTTACCTGAGAAAACAAAAGAAACCGCAATGGGTTGTTTATTCTTCATATATTGTTTATATAATCTAAAATAAACCATTTGGACTGAATCATGAGGTCTTCACTTAATAATGCTTGCTTGATATTCTGTATTAGAAATAAATATAGACATACAAAAGCTGATTTTTGCAAGTTGTACAGATTAGAGTATTTGAAACAGTTTAATTGTACTGAATGCATGGGTGCATTGTAAATAAGTGAAGCAAAAATATTTGATGATTATGCTGTCTATATCATGCTTTCATATCACTTGCTTACTTGAAATACACTGCAGTCTTAACAAAATGATTGTTTAAATGAAAATCTTTGTTTTTTTCCCCGGCGCAAAGACAATGTGTCCTTGCAGCTGTCAAAACGCTGCTGCACATTCCAAGCAAACGGACACGATAAATGAGATCAACAATGTTAGAGTCAACATCAGTTGCGAAATCGAGATGAGAGTCCAGTATTCAGTAAAAGGTAAATGTTCTGCTTCATTGCATATATATCTTAGTAAAACCACTCATGTGCAGTGCCTGAATGAATATGCCTCAGGAAACTTCAACAAAAGACTTTCAATTATACAAGGCTCAGCTACAGTTATGGGCCGAAGCATTATGTAATCCTTTGGGTTCTCTCTTTGTCTGCGAGTGTTCACAATAATAGAATTGGGTATGGGTAGTATTGAGTGGATGTGAATGTTTGCTCCCAGCGCCTCAGACCTGTACAGAAGATAAGGCATTAAAAGTTGACGACACCCAGCGCATCTCAAAAACACTCAGTCAAATGAGATTCAAAGTTCCTGAATGAAGTTCACAGGGTCACTTGACTTTGACTGGTCGTACAACTCACAACTTAACAAAACAATGTCCGCTTGGCTGATTGACAGAAGGGTTAACTCCCCCTTGTATTAGTTCCAGAATTTAGCGACAACGTTGTCAATGGATATTAAAGCATTTCTGTTTTAAAACTTGTGTAAATAAAAAGTGTTTCATGTCATTTGCTGTTATTAAATTGTAGTTATCATCACGAAATCGGCCATTGGTTACATCAGCTATTGGCAAACGGTCAACCACAAGCCCAGACTTTAATTAAGTTATGATGGCAAAGAAAGAGGTTACATTGTGTCCATATTATTTAAAGTATTAAAAAGAAATAAACTTGAGTACTGCATGGGCAAAGAGTTGTGAAGTAACTGATAAAACAGACGAAATGTGTAAAGTAACTGATAAAATTTGTTATTGACCTTGAGTAATATCAGGAGGACATTCTAGCAAAGGAAAACTTTCCCATGTTCAGGAGGTAAATAAGTCACCAGTTAAAATTCAGCAGTTATTTTGACTCTGAAATCCTTTGAGTAATCTGCAATCCTATACTCTTCTTAAAGGTGCTTGTCAGAATTATGTCAAACATTTAGAATGGTGAAGGGCTGTGAACAAAATTGCCTTACTACCCATAAAGCCACTAAACCATAAACATAACTGAAATCTACAGCTGCACCTGTACGCTGATGTTTCACTGGGACACCAAGCTCAAAACACTGAACCACTTTCACTTAATCTTATACACACCCATACATTTTGGGGTAAAGGTCACAGCCATAACGAACAGTTAACATTAATTATATCTTAACTTAACTTCCTATCATTGCTTCTTGTTAAAAAAAATCTCTATAAAGAAGAGAGAGACTAGTCATATGTTTCAGCAGTTATATATAAACCTGAGAAAATCTCCGAAGAGTTGCAATCTAAACTCTTGCACATGTGAGACTAAAATAAGGCCACGTCATGTTTCAGTATTTCACGTCTAACAAAATAATCTGTCAGGTTTACTGCAGGCATACAGATAAACAGTTCTTTCTGTATTCAGTAGTATTACAGTATCAGGTCATTTTCAGAAACAAATCTTTATTTATAAATATAAAGTGATACATGATAGGTGTGTATATATATATTTGTAGTTGAGAAATAAACATTTGTATCTTAAAAGGACTTATGTAAATCAACGTGTTTAATGAACTGTAACAGTGGAAACGTACATTAGCTTATATTCACTGGAGGAAAGAATGTGACAACTAGTCTCCTTTATACTATAGGCTGATACAGCTTCGGGAGGATAGCCAAATTTCACTGACACATCACATTACAAATTACAATAACAAAATATAAAGACATAGTGTCAATCTTATCAAAGGCTTCCATTAGATAACCTTCATCTGAGTAACACAATAGCAGTAACACTTTAGTTTAGGGTCCAATTCTCACTATTGTTGCTTATTAGCATGCATATTATTGGATGTTTATTAATACTTGTAAAGCACATATTAAAGCCTTAATCTGCATTACCATATTCTACATCCCTTAATCCTACACAATACCTACATTTAACACCTACCTTACAAACTATTAATAAGCAGTAATTAGGAGTTTATTGAGGCAAATGTCATAGTTAATAGTTAGTTAAATTAATAGTGAGACTTGGACCCTAAACTAAAGTGTGACCACAATAGCTTGTGCTGCTCTGTATATATTTATACTCAGTGAGGATTATTCATTAGATGGATGTGTCCAGCACCCACGTGATAAAAAGAAGAGTTCAAAAAAGGCTTTGGGGTAGTATAAAGTCGGTGTAAAGGATGCTTACATTTGAGGATGCTATAGGAAACATGCATTTTAATCTTGATGTATTTTCCTGTCCAGAATTTATTTAATCTTAGTCCGTGATTTATTGACTACAATGAACATTTAAATCGAGTAATGTATTTAATCCTACAGATCAGGACATGCATTAGCTACTCTAGAACTTTAAAATAGCATTAAAGGGAGCAAAACGATCTTACATAAAAAGTCTACACTTTCTAAAGTCTACCTATTTTAATTATAGGCCTATACATTACACTGCACGGCATATAGCAATGGACTCTTTTATGGTGGGTTTGTTCAGCACACGTGAAGGACCCAGTGTAGTGGGTTGCAGCAGCCACGTAAGCGCGGAGTTGAGTTTCAGCCTGATTCTCTTCCTCAATGATGCAATCTGCGCTCTGATGAACAGAGTGTGATGGAGACTACTGTAAGTGGCGGCATGGCACGAGAAGTCTTCTCCGCGGAAATCATGCAATGCTGCTTGTCTTCACGCAGCCTGTTGTCCTTACAAATTAAGACAGCCGTACTCCGTGACGATATAAGTTTGGACTTGATTGAGATGTAGCTTTTTAATACTTTAGGCTACTCGACATTTAGGAGAGCAGATATCATTAAAGCGAAAGGATATGAAAGAGTGAGGACTGAAGGTTAAGATGAATAGATTAAAGAGAAGCAGGGAGTGATAAAATGACAGACAAAGAAACATGCGAAGTGATAAAAGTTCAAGCTGGTTAGAGCGCACGCGTTGGCACATTAAAATGAGGAAACATCTCACCTATAATTATGGCGCACGCGCTCAAGAGACCAATTTCCTTTTTAAGAGTCACTCTATCCTTAGATCCACTTTGGTTTCCACCGGAGTCTAACATCTTCTGTTGCTCCGGTTTCGCGCAGTTTCTCCGGTTCGTTTCGGTTCCATCCATTTGTGCGGCTGTTCAAGAAAACGGCATCTGTATCCGCGCTCGGTCTCATATAGCGGGTTGATGCAGGACTCAGGGCGCTCACGCATGCGCAAAACTCCTGCTGCCTGCCTCCATATAGATCAACAGGTTAACAATTGTCTTGTGCCTTGGCACGCGCTTACATGCGCCACGAGGTTGCAAACGGGTACTTGACATAACATTTCTACGTTCTTTTTCATTCAACTGAATGTCGTCGTCTCCCCCCCCTCCCCGAACACCATTTTAATTACATTTTTGTCTTAATCAATCCATTTAAAAAATAAATAAATGAAAATAGAATAAAATAATAGTTTGCACTTTGCAGTATAGCATATCACACCACAAGACTGCTGAAACTGCCTGAAATTTCATGTTAACTACCATTATGCTGTTGAATGTGTTGATGTACAGTATTCATGCTCTTACCTGTGTCGGGGTCTTTAATTTACACACTGTTCTATCATTATCGCGGTAGTTGGAATGACTGCAGGAGTTATTACACATTGACATTGTGTTAAAACTTTAGTTGACGGTGCCACCCATTCTTTCTGCTCAGTCTGTGGGGGTTTGATGTGGTAAGAGAGGTTTTATGGGTGTTACGAGTGATCGAGTTGTGTTATGACGATATGAAATTTCAGTCTTGGACTTTTCTGTTGATGTATAGGCCTATATTAAGACACATTTTCATTTTAAACAATGAGTTGGTGTCTAAACTTTTGTCTGGTAGTGTATAATCATATTATTATTTCAGGTGGGGATGTCCATGACAATGAAAATCAGCTTCAGAGTTTCTTGCATACTATTCTGTGTGGGCCTTTTACTGACTCACTCCATCCCTCCTCCTCTCATTCTCTTCACTAAACACGTGTGATCTTTTTATAATAGTATATTAGTCATCATCAAACACTCTTCACTTATAGCCTTGATCTGCTATCACACCATTTCTTTGCGAGTGACTGAAAAACAGAAGTAATCCCAACAGATTCTGCTTATTGTGGCCCTCTGGTGACTGATTGTGTAAATACAGACTGCAATGGGGGTACATTGACACCCGAACAACCAGTCATTCCCTTCAGATGGAGCTTGTAACTCTATCTGGGTTGTGACATTACAGACTGTGAACAGAGAACAAAGATGAAAGCTTGTTAACAATGTCTCAAATGTGGAGTTTGCACAAGCATACGCAAACACTATGCACACATGCACAGTGAAATGCACTGTTCTCACACTAACCTCTTATACGCTTGCATTTATTTTTATATATTGATGGTAAACAAGAAAATAATGCTGAGTACTCATTGTGTCAGGGTTCTGTCACTTCTGTCTAGTCTATCTCTTGGTTTTGTGACAGAGCCCTGACACACCTGTTTTATCTTGTCTGTGCCTTGTTTTATGTGCTTTCGTGTCTTGTGCTGTGTAGCACACAGCTTGTGTTTTACACTAGCTGTGTGCTTTCATGTTGTCATGTTTTGTGTGAACACGTGGCTTATGAGTGTTTTCATTAGCTGCGTGTTCATGTCTCGTTTTGTGTGAGCACATGGCTGGTGATTGGTTTTACTGGCCATGTGCTTGTGTTCAAGTCACCTTTGGTGTGAGCACATGGCTTGTCATGTATGTTTCCTTGTGCCATGTGCTCTCCTGTTGATTGTCTAGCCCCTCCCATCTTGTTACCTGATTATTGATTTGTTTGCCCCACCTGTCCTCCCTCATTACCTGATTGATTAATTTGCCCCACCTGTCCTCCCTCGTTACCTCCTTTGTTTGGTCTCCCTATTTATTCTCCCTGTGTTTGCAGTCCTGTGCTGTTTCGTTGTTGCATGTACCTGGTGTGTTACCCCTTGTTTCAAGTCTGTCAAGTCAGTCAAGTCATTTGTTTTCCCCTACGGGGTAGTTTTGTTTGTATTTTTGTTTTGTTATTATCATGAAAGAACCCATTATCTCTGCACCTGAGTCCTTGCTCCTTTCACCTCCACCACACCTGACAGAACGAAACAGCCATCAGAGGACTCAGCAGAGAATGGGCATCTTCTTGTTTCCATCTCCCAGCCCTTGCCCCTCCACTCGTCAGACGATGGAACGCTATGGCAAGCTCTTTTCTCTTCACCAAGGGGGCTCCACAGTAAAAGAGTTTGCCCACCAGTTCATCATCACTGCGGAGGGGCGCGACCTTAACAACACTGCGCTTAAAGACATTTTTAACAGCGGCCTGAATGAGCCTGTCAGTGCCTGGGAGATGGAAATGTTGGGGATACTGTCTTTCTGGCAGTTTGTGGGGTTTGTATACAACCGTGGGGAAGAGGGTGGTCTTCCGCCTCTTGGCCCACCTCCCATTTACCTCACAAACTGCCAGGTCCCCAGTCCTCCGATGACCCCTTCGGAGAGAGGGAGGAGGAAGAACGGGTCCACCTCTTCTGCCACCTATCCTGAGGCGGCCGTGAATACTGCATTTCCCTCAGAGGTAGCCGTGAATGCTGCATTTCCCCCAGAGGTAGCCGTGAATGCTGCATTTCCCCCAGAGGTGGCCGTGAATGCTGAATTCCCCCAGAGGTGGCCGTGAATGCTGCATTTCCCCCAGAGGCAGCAATCTCCACACCATCTCCTTGCAGACGTAAGCGGAAGAGAAGGAAGGCTTCCTCTGTCTTAACAAGTCTGGTGCTCCCAGAGCCGTCCACTTTCACTGTCGAGCCCCCAGTGTTGGCCGAAGAGGCTGCATCGCCGCCTCGCTCAAGGAAACCGAGAAGGAAGAAGGCTTCCTGTTTACCACAGGGCCCGGAGGTCGTTCCAAAGCCTGCTGTCAGCCCAGAGGTCGTCCCCATGCGCCTTGCCCTTCCGGCGGCGCCCATGCGCCTTGCCCTTCCGGCGGCGCCCATGCGCCTTGCCCTTCCGGCGCCGCCCATGCGCCTTGCCCTTCCGGCGCCGCCCATGCGCCTTGCCTTGCCGGCTCCGTCCATGCTGCCAGTCAGGCTGGTTCCGCCCAAGCTCCAGGAGGCTGTGCCAGAGCCCGTTTCTAGCCCGGAGGCCGTCCCAGAGTCACCCAAAAGTCTTGTCCTGCCAACCCAGTCTTTGCTGCCTGACCCACCCTGGCCTTCTGCCAAGTATTCAGATCCTCCTGGTCCACCTTGGCCCTCATTCTGGAGTCCTGAACCGCCGGAGCCTGCCTGGTCCGCCCCCCTGGCACCGCCCTGGCCCTCTGCCAGGACTCCAGACCCGCTGGAGCCTGCCTGGTCTGTCCCGCCATGGCCCTCTGATGGGACTCCTGATCCGCTGGAGCCTGCCTGGTCTGTCCCGCCATGGCCATCTGCTGGGACTTCAGACCCGCCTGAGCCTCCCTGGCTCAACCCTCCCGTCCCTCCCTGGTCACTTATAGAGACTTCCTGGACTGTCATGCTGGCTCTGTCTTGGCTCCCCTCCCTCCCCACTTTGTCTGTGTTTTGATCTACCCGTCTTGTTGTCTGTTGGTGAGTTGTCATGTTCCTGTCTTTTTTTTTTTTTGGTGTTCCTCCTTAGGGACGCCAGGTGGCGTCCTTTAGAGGAGGGGTAGTGTCAGGGTTCTATCACTTCTGTCTAGTCTATCTCTTGGTTTTGTGACAGAGCCCTGACACCTGTTTTATCTTGTCTGTGCCTTTTTTCATGTGCTTTCGTGTCTTGTGCTGTGTAGCACACAGCTTGTGTTTTTCACTAGCTGTGTGCTTTCATGTTGTCATGTTTTGTGTGAACACGTGGCTTATGAGTGTTTTCATTAGCTGCGTGTTCATGTCTCGTTTTGTGTGAGCACATGGCTGGTGATTGGTTTTACTGGCCATGTGCTTGTGTTCAAGTCACGTTTGGTGTGAGCACATGGCTTGTCATGTATGTTTCCTTGTGCCATGTGCTCTCCTGTTGATTGTCTAGCCCCTCCCATCTTGTTACCTGATTATTGATTTGTTTGCCCCACCTGTCCTCCCTCATTACCTGATTGATTCATTTGCCCCACCTGTCCTCCCTCGTTACCTCCTTTGTTTGGTCTCCCTATTTATTCTCCCTGTGTTTGCAGTCCTGTGCTGTTTCGTTGTTGCATGTACCTGGTGTGTTACCCCTTGTTTCAAGTCAGTCAAGTCATTTGTTTTCCCCTACGGGGTAGTTTTGTTTGTATTTTTTTGTTATTATCATTAAAGAACCCATTATCTCTGCACCTGAGTCCTCGCTCCTTTCACCTCCACCACACCTGACACATTGTTCGTCATAATGTTGTAGGCTACTGTACATACTGTGCTGCTTGTTTACTGAAACTTTTTTTTCATCATCAAATACTTACTGAATGTTGACATTGTTTACCAAATTCTTTTGATTGTAAACTTTGAATATTCCACAAATTGAGTGAATATTAATAGTTTTTTTTAATGACATTTTTAGGCATAAAGCAAACTAATGCTTGGTTGAACATTAGGAAACAGAAAACACAGGACACTGAGTAGATGGAGAGGAGTAGTCAGCCTGTAAACAAATACATCACAGCATGTGAAGACTCTCATTCTGAATTACCAACTTATCATGGGAGTCTGTGTGGACAGAAGCTCCGCCCCAGTCTGGTGTGGACAGTGATCTTCGCGCTCTCTCCTTCAGTCTTAATTAAACTATGGAGCCTATAGTGATATATAGCCTACATCTTACAAAAATTACATAATAGTACAAATATATATTACATCATATACTATATTTTACTCTATAACTCATAAAACTCAATAAAAACTTTAAAAAACCTCATAGTATCACCAGTAGATGAACAACTATTTGGACATACAGAGTGGAAACCTTTATTCCACCGTCATGGAAAATTTTATCTGGCGTCTAAACCGAATAGCTCTCTCCAGATATGGTTCACTATGTGAGCCAATGGATGAGGGGGGGGGGGAGCAGAATGCATTTTTTCCTCTTGGCTTTTCCATCCGCACTACAGTCTTGGCAGTTTGGAGTGAATATACACAGGCTGTTTAATGGTTGAGACACTTCCTGAACTCAAATAGTCTAGATTGCCAGTACTGAATGCATTTGTGTTTGGGAGACTGGTGGACCCAACGATTCTGTCATCAATCACTTTGTCTAATGTTCAATGTAGCTGGTGTGGTCTTTCACACAAAAAAACTCTCACCCATGCATGCTCTCTTCCATACACACAGACACGCATGCACACACACATTAATTATACAATCACAACTATATGCCAACCCCTTTCATCCCCCATTCTCACAAACACAAGCAAATTTTAACAGACAAAAATAAATTCTTGAAATTTTACTCAGATCATGTCACTGCCTCGAGTGGTCTGCCATTATGGATCACAAAACATAATTTGTCCAGTGAGCAACTAAAGTTCTTGGGGTGAGGTTATGGCTGCATAGCAACTAAACTCTGCACCAGTCATGAGCGCTTCTCTGTTTCCGCTGATCTAAGGTCAGTTTAACATGACATTTCTCACTCTAAGCCCATTCAGAGCAGGAAAAGCACTGCCTCGCACTCAGCTTTGTGCCTAGCCGAATAGAGGAGAGAAATGAGCGGAAACCTGTTGTTGTAAAAGTCATTCAGGCTCAGAGGAGGAACTCCTCTCTCTAAAAGTAGTCCGGCCTCCTTTACAATAAGTTGACAGATAGTCACTCTCACTCACAAACACTTTTTGGCTGCTTATTTTTGTGCAAAAATTATCATATTTTGCTTCTTTATGCTTTGCATTATCACAGGTTAACATTTTACTGCATTTTATTAATTTTTACTGGTCTGGAGAGTGCCGTTTCCGCCGTGATTCTTGGGTCTTTTGTACACTTTTTGCTCCATCTAGTGGAATGGGATGGAAAGAAAAGCACATCTGACTGGAATGTTCCACGTGATACACACACGCACAGCAACAATAACACATCTTCCAGGTTGAAATTACCATACCAGCAGCATTAAATAAAGATGTTCATCTTATTCAGGCATGTAATGAATCTTATTCGCTGAGGAATGGAGAATGTAGGCAGTTAAAGTTCATGGGCATGATGAATATCTGTGGTGAGGCCATTTCCAGTCGTGAGACAGGCATGGCTGTCCCAATTATCACTATTTTGATTACCGAGAGTGGTTTTAAGAACAGCATGAACAACGACATTTCAAAGCTGCAAAATATTATGCCTATTCCGTGTTTTATCAAGCATTCTTCTATTCTTTTTCTTTTGTTTTTATGGTTAAACTTGAACTCATGAAAGTTAAAAAGCATAGTAGGCCTATACAAAAGTGTACAGCAGTCATGCAAATACTTAAATGCCCCAAACTGTTTGTCAGTGTTACATTTAAGCAAATCTGACAACAATGATATCATAAATTAGGCTTCTTTAGCATAATATACATATTTTTCCCATTATTTTTCGTACAAGTGAACTGTCTCCAAGTTGAGGACATCGCTAACGCTGAGGGAGGGAGGTTTTGGGAAATTTTGGGGAACACTTTTTTCCAATGGAAACTTTTCTAGAAGAAACAAACCTGTCTCGTTGTCTTTCAAAGCATAGCTCAGTAAATATGAGTAAACAAGTTTCATTTAGGGGCTACAGTGTTGCATGAGACCAGTTACGACAGCTTTGAACTCAAATCACTGGCCCCAGTGTCCACACGCTGTCTTACAGCATCGATCCAGTTGGCAAAGAGGGAAACATCATGGCTAACATGAGCTATGTGTGTGTGTGTGTGTGTGTGCATGTGTATCAGTATGCTATGAGAGAATTTACTCATTCTACAGGCTGAAAGGGCAAGAACAAAAATAGACCCCCCAGAAATTATTAAGTGGCTGTGGGATCTGAACAGTTTTGTAACAGCTAAGCACACCCCATCAAAAGTAATAATCCTAGGCTAAAGAGAAGCTCTAAAGCATGTACAAAAATGTCCCCAATGCATGAGACAGTGTCTTTGTTTGTGTTACAGAGTGTCTGGCACACTGACAACATTCCATAGCTGCTCCAAAATGATTTAGGCCAAACGTGACTACATTTCCGTGAATTTAACATCTAGAATCTAGACACTAGAGGGCGCTTTTACTCTACAGCACTGGCAATTTTATCCTACAGAATCAGAATGAAAATTATTATGATTATTATATATATATATATATATATATATATATATATATATATATATATATATATATATATATATATATATATATATATATATATTTTTTTTTTTTTAAATCGTTGCCAAGTATACTTTCACACACAGTAAAAACAAACAAAAACAAACAGATAGTAGCCTACAAATAAGTGATTTGTAATAAATGATATTATAACATATACATATAGGCTATACATAAACGTACAACTGGAAAAAGGCACGTCTGGGTCTGTGGTTGCTGACAGCTGATTGAGTTGTCCTATATACTGAGTAGAAAAAATAAAGTAAAATCCAACAATCCAAGTAAAATTCTAACTCTTTAAAGAGCTGTTGTAATTTGAAAACTATGCATTAGTTGTCGGCTGGTACGTTTGGACTATCAGTCTAACAGTCACCAATATCTGAGCTAAATATAACGTCGTTGATGCAGGGCCTTTATAAACAAGTCGAATCGGGGGCGTGGCAATTGCGCAGGTGAGATCAGACAGACTCCGCCCACTGAGGGGCAGCTCCACTGACTCGTGATGCATCCGGAGCGGGGCGGGACGGGGAAGTGCAGCAAATAGCGAATGCTGAATGTGATTAGGAGAGTTTGGACAACAGCGGAGCATCAACATATTTCTGAGATCACCTTGGAGACACACCTGTTGAGCTGCAGGAACTTCTTACGACTTCTGCTTTCTGATTTTCATCGAGACCATCGGTTGAGAATTCAGAAATGACGGACACTCTTATTCCCAATGGGTGCAAGACCAACGGACCGGTGGAGAATGGTTATTTCAAAAAGGTAACTTAAGAGAGACTCGAAGTTTCATATCTGTTTTTCTCGAAGGTTCCGTAGCTGACGGTAAATTCCTCAAGATTTTTTATTAGTCACGATCTTAGATGTATGTAGCATCTCTGCAGTTTTGCTAGTGCCGTTTTGAAAAGATTCGTGACTTATTTTTATTTTCTTTCATGAGTTGTAAGACGTGAAGTGTAGATAATAAGTGAAGGACGAGGCATTTAGCCTCCTTTCTTCATAAGGTGCTTGTAACAGGATCTGTTGGAGATGAACACACATCTGCTCTGCTGCCCAAACAAAACAATGCCAAGCGAAGACAGACAATTAACCATGTCATTTATTATTTGAAGGATTACCACTGATTTCTGTATTTTGTTCACTTTATTCACCACATTCGTTTGGTTTTTAATACATTTTTTTATATGTTTTTATATAATGTGTTTATAATGTCCCTGACAAAAACAAACAAAAAAACATGCTAACCATACTCCAGGTAGTGTTACTGCAATAAATTGTTATTAGGAGGGCCTGCAACTATGATTATTTTGATAATTATTTAGTTACTAGTTAGAATTATTTTTTTATCTAAGTAATTTGAATTCATTATTTACAAAAATTCTATATCCTGCCCAGTTTTGTGCCTCAAACAATGTGCCATTTTAAGACAATGCAACGTAGTGAATGTAGGCTATATGCTATTAAGAAAAACTAAAACTGATATGAGGGAGGAACACATCTCACTCATCTAAATGCATTACATTTTTACTCCATAACAATAATACATTCAGAGTTACTGCTCTTATAAAAAAATACAATTACTTGTGTTACATCTAGAATTTTATACTTGCAGTTAATGCATAACAATAAATATTTAGAAAAATGTAGCCTATGTTTTTTGCCAGAACTATTGCATTGCTATTCAGTTGCACTTGTTCAATGAAGTTTAATCTATAATCAAATTTATTGTCGATTATTTTCGTTATCAATTATTATAGAGTCAATACAAATTTATAGAGTCTCTAATTCGGAACCACTGTCATAAATGTATAAACATGACTGAAGACAATCCCATATTATATGTCATGATTTTGCAGAACTATCATATTTTGGGGGAAAACTGTGGTTATTTATTGTGAGTTGTTTTGGGCATTTTCTTGTCTTTTTTATTTGGACAACTTTGATTTCTTTAAATTCAGGTTCTGCAGTGATCATGGTGAAATTGTCTGTGTTTTTGTAAATAAACCATTGAGTTACAACAGGATTCAGTATTACTCTTCACACATATCAATACTTATGATTATATTGTGTCGTCTTGTGTGTACATCTATGTGTTATATAGTACAACTTTTGGAAGAGTAATGTGTGACAAGTTTCTGACATTTATCATAGACTCTGGATAGAATTTAGTTTTGTTGGTGTGAATGGCAGCTGAAGAGGTCTATTGTTAAATTGTGTAACTCTGTTGAGCTCACCTCTCTTTGTGTTGAGAGTATAAATTGGTCTTTGTTGTTCAGGTCTTCTTATTGATATTAAAGTGGTTGATGTAAAACTGGCCTGCATAGTGATTGGTTTCTACAGTTTCTTCTGGAATGTTTGTCTGAAAGCGCTTTCACACGAACAGAGAAGTAAAGATAAAAAAAGCTAAATGGATCACAGACTGGGTTTTTGGAATCAATGTGGGCAGATATGGTTATGGCACTGCAAAGCTGATTGGAATTTTAGAGGAAATGCAGTTTTTTGTTTGTTTAGTACATTTCCTGTCTCATTTTCATTTATTACATGAATTCTTTGAAAATGAGTGTGGTCGCCGTCTGCAGCGAGAAGGTTTCAGGCCTGTTACCAGGTGGGAGCTGGTTCAGACCGGTGATGTGGTTTTGGTCCATTTCCTCCTGGGCTGATCCTGCTTGGGCTGCAATGCTTAGAGAAACTGAATCGCAGATTCAGCTTTTTCCCCCCCAGTTTTCCTCCTATTAGTGTTGCATCTGCCCAGTGACAGTGCATAGCCAAACCACAAACATTAATGAAACACAGATGCTCCCATCTCATGTCCTGGCATAGGCAAGAGAAGCTGTTCTGTGATCTAGGATTAGTATAACATGGCTTCTGAACATCTCATAGCATTACGTAAAGTGACCGATCAGCTATGAGTAAGAAGGAAAGAGTGCATCTTAAACTAAAATGAAAAAAAAAAAAATCATCAGAATGGCATATACTCCCTGTTGCCTAATGTTTAATGTTTACTGTAGCCCAACTTTGAGACAGAACAGTTAGTCATTGGCTATTCTCAAGGCTGAGAATAGAAATTAATATTTGTTACCGTAGTCTCATATTTGTGCGGACAACCCGCCATAAATAACGGTTGCAAAATGTTGAACACTTATACAACTCGGTTGAGGCCCTGTTTTCTGTCTCATTTGTGCCCTGGTTTGATTAGGACCTTGTTTCTGCTCTGTCTGCACTGTTAGTCCAGGGTAATTGCTGTATGATTGTGGATCGCAGTTGTGCTGGCAGCTCTTTGGATCTGCTTCGCTAAACATTGCCATGGTCCGTATTCTAGAATGTGCAGAGGTCACGTCTGGTCCCTTTGACAACCACTGTTGCATTGAGAGACAGCCCATGTTTACAGTGCAGAAGACTATGGTTTTCTTGTTTGAGGTTGCTACATTCACATTCAGTCAGATTATTAACAAAAGTGACAACCATATTAGATAATTGAATTGACTAGCTTAAATTTTCTGTGCATTTCGGCCAACCTATATTGTGTGAACAAATCCTCACGGGGCAGCTAGTCTGTCATGTCATGCAATACGAGAGGCACTCTGCACATGTTCGTATCTCACATGTGTTGTGTTTTTTTTTTCATTTGGGGTTTTGGTAACTCATAGAGACGGAGATATGAGCTGTGTGTTATCTGACACTTTTAGATGCATTTAATGTCTCTCTTCCACCAGAGGTGTACTCATCTGCACTTATATAAATAAAGCATTGTAACGTCAAAGTCTATTAATTAAGATTTGATAGATAAACCTCGATAGTAATCATTATTAAAAAAAATTGTCAAATAAGACTTTCAGGTACTATGAAAGTCACCATCTTTAACATTTAGCCTACTTCTGTATCTGTTCTTCCAGATGTTATTCATGGCTGTTGCAAGAATAGAAAATGGTATTGACTTTGGTTATACAGATGGTATTCAACCTGCTACTGTAACATAACAATTCAAGAGTCACATTAGTGAGATTTGGGTGAAATTTAGTGGGTGAAATTTAGTGAGCAAACAGTCCATTGTCCATTTCTAATAGTATAGCATGAAGCACCACTCCACAGAGGTCACCTTCAAACCAAACAGCATTCCATGGCTACTTCATATGACCCACTTGTACCCGATGTGAAATGAAATCTATGCATAGAATGTTTGTCAGGATAAGAGCAGTAAGCAGTTTGCATATTTATCCATCTAGATTGATACCAGCCTCCTATAAATCAGACCTCCTCCCTCAGCTATCAGATTTATGACAGATAGATACTCTCTATAGGTGTGTCTGGTTGGGAAATTGATCTCCTTACATCATGTACTGTGTACACCACACCTTACTGACGTAACAAGGTGTATGTGTGTTTATCTTTTATAGGAGCTATGGAATGCATTGCAGTTGTTGTTTATAAGACTGTGAAATGTTCACAGTGTATAAAAACAGACAATAAATTCATTTTATATTAGCTGTCAATAGGGAGCCATCGCCCCAAGAGCCATGTAAATTGTTGTTAATCTCTTTCTCTGACAGGGATGTAATCCATTTGCGGAGACTGGCCGCAGTAAACTGCAGAGTAAAAGAGCACTTCTCAACCAGGAAATCATCAAACAGATGAGGATGAGAGCTGGAGCAGAGAACCTCCTCAAGTAAGTCAAGCACACTTATGTGTGGACACAAACACAAGGGCAAGCGCTCATTTATCACCCTCACATGTTTGTCTACTGGCATGTGGGTGGATATGCAAACAAATGCAGGACATCTTTCCCAAAATAACCCAATAATGTTTCAATCATTGACGAAACAAGTTTTTATTTTAAATAAAGTTCTGTAGTCTTTCATTCACTGGTTTGCTTTGGTTACATAACAACATCTGTCTTGAAGTATCTGGCACTAGACCGTAGAGCCCCGGCTCTGTCGGGTAAATCATTTCCCTGTTTTGGAGGAATCCTTTGCTCTTTTTGAGGTGAGGTTTCAGAAGCCTTGCTGCTAACCTGTCGTCAAAGAATTTGTCTGTATGTGTGCAAAAGCCAGTGTTTGGAGCTCATCTGCACTCTCATCTCACCTGTCAGGTGTGCCTTTAGCATTTTTACCTTTAGATTTGGAGTTGATGATAGATACAGTAACATAGTGCCTTTGTTAAAGCTGATGATTAAAGAGGCTGGGAATGCTATATGTGAGATTTTTTAGACCTGATAGATACCAGTGGAGCCTAGAACTAGGACATTGAAACCTTAAAGTGTGTTGTTACAATGTCTATAGTATATGTAAATGAACAATGTTTACTCATTCTCTGTGTTGTCTGGACCGAGAAATTCACTTTTATTCAGCAAAAGTCCGACGGATGATGCGTTTGCTCCAGGGTTTTCGTGAAAACTACAGATTATACTTATGCATTTTTGTATCCCGTTGTATAGTAGTATATCTACTCTTTAAACAGCATTATGGTAAAAATGGAACACTGTGGCCACAGCTTTCTTACCTGTACGCGACGACATCTTGCTTTTGGGCGGAACTGACAGAATGCCACTGTTTTCAATCCCCCCTTCGACACCATCATCATGACTAAAAGTTTGCAAAGTATTCCCTAAAAAAAGCAAGGTGGTTTTTGACACTTTTTTTTGGTCAAGCGTATCCATAGCAGACTGGTGGGAGTGGCCTTGGACGGCAACATGCGAGTGCATTATGGGTGTTGCAGTTTTCCTACCTATTTTGCAAAAGAAAGGTTTTTATGTTTTCTCTAGCCAGGTAGCACCAATTTAATTTTTTTTCTCGACTTTCTACTGTATAGGCAGCCATGTTTTATTGAAAGGCGATTTTGCCAGAGGTGAAGTAATATTTTCCCCGTTAATCTCTTAAAAAAACTTGCTTTGTTTAGATCAGTTTATTTTGAAAAGTATGTTCTTTGAGATATATTTACCATGCAAAGTCCTTTTTCGAACATTCTAGCAGCCAGCTATCAACAAATGCTGGCACTGATTTGAATGTTAACTGCTGGTCATCCATGTGTACGAACCAGACGAGAGAGGAAAAAACTGTCTAAATAAAAATGCAAAGTATCATGCAAATCATTGTTTAGTGTCACCTTTCAAGTGTTCTGTAGCACGCTAATATGGCATTAAGGAAGAATTTTTTCATACAAAAGAAAGAACACATCAGTTCACAGAATGTTAATGGCATTGGTGTTTCTAAAACTAATCGTTGTGAATTAGAATTTGGAATCGATAGTTCAGTGTGTAACTCGTAATGTGGTTTGAATAGTGGTTCAAATTCTTGTTCAAACTGAAAATTCTGGGCCTACTGGGCTGAAAACCTAAACCAAAAATGGTCATTTTAAATTAGCCTTTGTTAAAATGAATAATATAACATATATTTTTCTAATTGAGCACATTCACTTTCTTCAATTGGTATGGCTTATTGACAAAATTGGCAAAACGTGTCACTGTTGAGCAGTCATAAATTTGTTGGCACACACTTTTATGATGTGCAGTAAACAGAATGCCATTACGTAACTAAATAAACAGTTATTTTGAGGTAGAGTTTTTTTTTGTGATAATTTTTTTAAAATAATTTTAAAAGAAGTCTTCTATGCTCACAAAGGCTGCATTTTTTTTTGTTCAAAAAGTAATCGTACAGTAAAAGACTGAATGTGAAATGTTAATATAATTCAAGTGTTTCTATTTTATTATATGTTAAAATGTAATTTATTCCTGTTATGTCAAATTTTCAGCATCAATACTCCAGTCTTTGGTGTCACATGATCCTTCAGAAATCATTCTAATATGCTGATTTGCTGCCCAAGAAACATTTATTATTGCTATTATTATTATTATAATCAATGTTGGAAACAGTGCTACTAATATATGTTTTGAGAAAAGAACAGCATTTTATTTGAACCAGCTTTCTTTTGTAACAATTTAAGTCTTTACAGTCACTTTTGAATTTAATGTGTTCTTGCTGAATGAAATTAGTTAGCTGAAATTTCAGTTTATCTATGGTTTTGAATACTGTAACTGTTGATGCAAATTGTGTCAGGACACGAAAGCTCTGATTGTACTTTGGTTTGATTGTAGGACATAATTTGCCTGATTGTAACCTGGCAAGTGCTAGACTGTCTGTCAGATTTCTATCAGTTCTGTTCAAGGAAGCATTTATATAAATGAAACGTGAGCCGATGAGAAGCACTGACATCTTTTCAGTGAACACCCTCGCTCATTCAGAAAGGACAGATATTTGTGATATTTGACAGAAGTTTACAGAACTGCTGTTGCATGTTGTTGTGAAAATCACAGCTCATACATTACATTACCTCTCTCAAAAGATCCCAATGTTTTTCCCTGTACGATAAGCACACACTGTAACATTGGACAAACCGGTCGCCATGGGGATGTTAAGTGTGTCTGTTGTCTCCATGGTTTTGAAGGACACACCTGCTGGGTTGGTCCTTGGAGCAGAGCATTTGATTGGCACTGACATCAAAGTGGCTTTAAATCTTAATAGAACAATAAAGTTTGGACAAGCTCTTTTGACTAAGAAATTTTAAGTGAGTCTCCCTTCTTTTACTCTCTGTAGGTTGATGATATGTTGGGGCTAAAATCAGTGTTGGTTAAATTATTGTCATCTGACATTGGCTGGCGTTTGGGTGGATATTGTGAGCTGGCTGACTGAAACAAGGCTGGATCCAAGCAGATACAAGGCATAAAGCAGTTTGCTTTTAATCTCGAAGGAATGTTTCTAGATCTAGTCAAATTCCCACTGGTCAACAGGTGACGGTTGTGACAGGTACACTAGTGAGGTCATTGCAATGCTGTGATGGGTGTGCAAATGCCACTGAGATCTTCTGTCAGCCTGTTTTACTCGCCCACACAGGCACGTACACAGACATGTGTCAGCAGAAGCTGTTAAAATTAGGCTGTTTGAGAGGTGACTGTAGTGCGTCTCTCACACGTACTTGCAAACGCTGCCTGAGGATCTCTCTGTCGATACTTCAGTGAAACACTCTAATTAATTCTGTGTTTAATGTGTGAGTCAGATCTAAAGATTGTATGTATTTTAATGATATTCATGAGTCAGTTTTATAGCCCTTCAATAGAGCCGGATGTCTGAGTGTTTTTCTTTGCCTGAGCTCATTAATATTGGGATGGATTGTGGATTCTTACTCAATCTCTTAACCTTCCATTCATAGCTGCTCTATGTTCAGAGGGGATCTGGAATGTTCTCTCATTCATGGGTCTCAGAGGTTTGTGGTTCATGGGAGAAGGGACCACAGATTGATTGCAAGGAAGTCAGTCATCTGCTCTCTCTCTCTCTCTCTCTCTCTCTCTGTGTGCGTGGTGGCGTTGAGAAACCTATCTATAGGTATGTGTCGCTGCGTACCTATCTTTCTGATCTTAGTGGCTGTAATCCACATTCTTGTTTGTTTGAGTGAGCCTACATGCCCGACCGGTTTCATTGAGTGCTTATTTTGTAACGTCCCGCCCTGCCAATGTGCGTTTGTACGGCGAAGAGTCCTTCTGCTGTTGAAAGCGAACCACTACATTATTTATTTATTTATATATATAATTGAAGATGTGAAAAGCAGAGAGAGGTTAATTTCTCACTCGGGTTGATGAGATTCCATCAGTGATGGATGTGTTGGGTATTAAACAATGGCAAACATGACTCATAAGAGTTATTTACTTAAAAATGAAAGAACATCCTGATCTACATTGTCACATTGTATAATTATTGTTTGTAGTAGTAGTATTACATGTATAAGGTGTCTTGGTACTCTTTTTATTCCTCTGTTGAGTGTGTTTGTTAGAACCACAAGGTATGTGATTAAAATAGAACAAAGTTATTTGTTCTATTTTACAACTATGTGTGATGTTGCCTGTGTGAATAATAAGATCTCAAGTCTCCATGCAGTCCAACCTGGCCTCACCTTCACCTCACTTCCTCCCGTTGACAAGATTTTAGAATGGAAGTCACAGATGAAACAGGGCCGCCCTCTATTCAAATGTTCGTCTGTCTCTCTATAATGTGCTGTTTTGGTTTAAGTCAGGCATATCTCTTTTTCCTATTTAGCGAGTGTTTGATCAGGACTGTGTGGTTTAATTCTAAAGCCTTTCTTTGACAAGCATGGCTGTACTGCACACTTGCCACTTATTTCTATCATGTGCCAGTAAGCACACAAAATAACAAAAGCTACATTCTTATCAGCCTCTCCCTTCTGTACTGCAGATGTTGAACTAGCAGGACATTTCAAACCAGAGACATTGTGAAATTGTGCAAATAATGTCGTGTTGTGAGTTACTGTAAATATGACCTCTGCTTATCCTCTCTCTCCCACTCTTTCTCTTTCTCTTTCTCAAGGGCGACGTCCAATAATAAGGTTCGGGAGCAGGTGGTGCTGGAGTTGAGTTATGTCAACTCAGATCTACAGCTTCTTATGGAACAGCTGGAAGGACTCAACAGCTCTGTGGAAGTTTATCAGAACGTACAGTAAGTACACGCACACATAGCACTGATTAGGATGAAGAAAGATACAGTGAGAACTTACTCACTCAAGGCAGATTAAGATCCATTCTAGAGAAAAGGATGCACAGTTACCACTCACGCACATGTCCAGTTTATCTCCCTGATGAATTACAGTAATGTAAGGGGTGTGTGCAGCAGAGTGATATAAGAGCAGACTCTCTGCTGAACTCCCTGCTCACTGCCCTGTATTATCACATTTTCTCTACTGATCTAGGAGGTCATAGAGGATGGATGTTTGAATATTGCGGAAATCAGCAAAGCTTTTTTTGGAAATTCTGTGGATACAGATTCCATGTAAGCATGCACATAAATTTCCTGCGATTATGACTTGTATCTCAGAAGGAATTTTGTGAGCTCCTGCTACACAGTCATAAGGCCTTCCAGAAGGAAGTTTAAGAAAGGTCAAATTTAAGCAAAATATCTCCGTGTTTGGATAATAATAATCCAGTCATTCAAATGAGATTCCAGCAATTAGCAAACAACAACAATCCACCAATCCCATCAAATCCCGATGGACAAAATCAAGTCCTGCCCAACATTTTTTTTTTCTAGTTTGAGAAGACTTTTCACTCGGATATACGTCAAAATAGTGAAGAAAATACTATAGCAATTTCTGTTAAGTATTAAGTCACTGCCACATGACTGCCACAACAACAGCAATAAACTGAAGAAATTCTTGCAAAATATGTGTTTTGAGCACCAAAAAAAAAAAAAAAAAAAATATATTCCTTGCATTTTATGTCAAAGGCAGCACTTAAAGTGATAGTTGGGCCCTATTGACTTCCATAGTATTTTTTTTTTCATACTATGGAAGTCAATGGGGTCCATCAACTGTTTGGTTACCCATATTCCAATCCTCAATATATCTTCTTTTGTGTTCAGAAGAAGAAAGAAATTAATACAGGTTTGGAACAACTTGAGGATGACTAGATGATGACAGAATTTTCATTTTTGGGTGAACTATCCCTTTAAATTAAAATATTACCCATAAAAGGTATATGTGCGCTATTATCATTTTGACAACAAAATCCCCAGAACCTCACCCGATCGGGAGCTGTGTAGGATATGAGCGGCCATCAGTTTTCAATGTAGCTAACTTCAGGCAGCTTTATGTCATCTACGCACTCATTAAACTTGGGTGGGTGAGGCACTGACAAATATGGTCATTGCGACTCTGTAAGTGATGGTACCATGAAGTATGTGGTTTTTTAAAAACCAATTTCATAGCTTGGAAAATATGCTAATTTGGCTAGAAACACTGAAGACCAGAAATGTAAAGGAGGTTGATTGGAGGGCGTCTTCTACTTATGCTACCCAATGCTCCCTTCATTGCTATGTAACCTTATAGTTGAGAAATAATCTAAACTTGGCTGAAGTTTAAAGAGAAGACAAGACATGGGCTGTAGGTTCATTGGTCAATCGGGTACATCTTTTCGAGTTTCTTTACATTAATCAAATTTCCAATAGATAGAGACTCCACTCCACACAACTGGTCAGACAGGTTTATGCAGAGGTGGGTTGACGGGTTGATGATTCTGGTGATTCCTCAGGCTCACACACGTGTCTCCTCTCACGTGTCAGAAGAGGATGTGCAGGAGTGTGTTCAAGTTTTCTTTTTAATTTTGTTTTTCTGCTTCCTTTTCCATGGAATCACAATTATAGCATGTTTGACATTCTCTTACTGGCATCAAATCCTGTCAGAATCATCATATGTGAAAAAATGAATGGTCATACTGTAATATGGATTGCAATAGAGAGAGGAAAACACGTCTTCTGTATTCAAGGATGTTTTAGTGATTCTTTCATTAGGCATACAAAGTAAACCCTGCAGCCAAAATAAAAGGATTCATTAGTGGCAATGCAGTCATGCTTTTTTGACCATCATGCTGTGTATGTTTTGTTTATTTTGTAGGTTGGAGTGTGTTTCCTTGGTTACCGTTGGATTCTAGTCCTGTTTAAATCCTCTCTAAGCCCTCTTTTGCCTCTCAGACCACTGAGTGAGAGTGTGTGTACACGTACACGCACCCTTGAGTGTCTTTGGCCTGCTTCACCCTCTGCACGAGAACAGCCGTCTTTCTCTGCTCTAAGAAAGCTCAGACATATTTTCAGCTCAAACCCTGCTAAACCGAGCAGTATTGGCCTAGTTCTTCAACAGCATTAGCTTCATAACATGTTGAGGCTTACAGTCTGAGGTTTGTTCCTCTCTAGGCCAAGCACTAATGAAAGAGTGTTTATCCCCTGTGCCTGAAGGGTTCATAGGAAACCAGAAAAACCTCCTGCAGACATCTGCACCTGATTCTGAACCCCTGACCTACATCCGTAATTATAACTCGCTTTAAAGCTGTTAACATGAGACGATCTCCCTTTTTTTCTTTTTGAAGTAAAAGTGTGTGTGGTATGTGTTAAAGGGATAGTTCACTCAAAAATGAAAATTCACCCAACCTTTACTTTTTTTAAATTTGATTTACTCACCCTTATGTTGTTCCAAACTTGTATGACTTTCTTTCTTCTGTTGAACACAAAAAATATATATTTTGAAGAATGTTTTAATCCATATAATGGAAGCCAGTAGGGTCCAAAACACCATTTGTATGAAAAAAAAATAATACTGCAAATACTACATTTTTATCAAAATATCATCTCTTGTCTTAATTTTCGGTGAACTGTCCCAGTTTAACAAAGCCACGGTTTGACTGAAATTATGTTTCTCATAATCTTAGATCTTTTGAATTGAACTTAAAATTTGTTTTGTCGATGAATATAATCTTTTAAATGATCTCCTATGCTATGATCTGTCCTGTAACAGATGGGTTTGGCTCAAATTATCCTTAAATCCAAATTCAAGTTGCCAACAAGTGTTTAAATTTTTATTCCATCTAAAAAAGTTCGTTTGATTTTGGTCCCTTCATGATTCCAATACTTCCATTTGTGTCATTGCATACTTTTAATAATGTACTGCTGCTTTAAAATGGTACTAATAGCAGTAATAAAGCAGTAGGTGTGTCAGTTTTGGACAGGCATTGTATTTGTGAGTATATTTGTGGTTGTGCTTTTTGACTTTGAAGGGCTTGTGCATACCAGCCTGCGTTCTCTCTCCAGAATCTCCGGTTACTCTCTTCCTCCGCACTGCAAATGTGTTTCTTCAAATTACTACAAACCCGCTTTATTTGTCCTGTAAAACAAACAAAGCCTATCACCTCCTGAATATTATTGAGTGTGAGAAAAGGAATATTCCCATTGGTGCAGTGTTTCATGCACAGAAGACCGAACAGAACAAGGTCTACCTGTAGCTGCACACAATGTGGTATTCTCTTTTGCACCTGGCTTCCAGCTTACTGTGTGTGTGTGTGTGTGTGTGTGTGTGTGTGTGTCAGTATAAGTACAGAACTGCATTCTTTCATTTCTTTCATGCCTTGCACCCCCCTTCTATCCCTCTCTGTCTGTTTTTGAAACAAACTTTTTTTCTCATGGCTTGAAGAGTGTACAGACAAACCTGTCTTCTGTTCTCTGTGTATCACTGCAGTAAATGTTCTCTGCACCGTGATTGGTTTGCGTTCTTTGAAGTTCTTATTACATGGTCCACTGAAGAACATGGCGGATGTCAACATGTTGTTGTGATGTGTGATTCAGTGCTACACTTGCAACAAGGACATGCTATTGTTATTCTCTTGGAGTTTGAAATGAACTTTGTTTCCACTTTGAGAGCGAGTTCTTATATCTAGGCCTGCAAGTAATCGGTTCCAGAATTTGAACGCCCGAATTACACAAACTTCTTTCTACACATCTTCTCCTGCCTTTTGTGTTTAATTACTTGGTTACACTTTACAACAAGGTTCATTTTGTTAACCTTAGTTAATGCATTAGATTACAATGAACAAAATTTATACAGCATTTATTCATCTAGATTATTTATAAATATATCATTGTTCATTGTTTTTACATAATACATTAATATCAATTAATACTCCAATGTTCAAACTTTTTTTTAGCATACACTACTGTTCAAAAGTTTAAAGTTGGAAAGATTTTGTGTTTAAAAGGCTGCATTTATTTGATTTAAAATACAATAAAAACAGTAATGTTGTGAAATATTATATTTAAGTTCAAAAGAACAGCATTTATTTGAAATAAATATTTAATAACATCATAAATGTCCTTACAGTCTAACTAAAACTCTGATTGTTTTTTTTAGGAGAATTTAGTTTACAGGCACATCTCCTTGAAGCACGAGGGATATTTCCTCTGTCATTTCCTCTGATCCAGCAATATTTCTCACAAACATTTCCCAGAACCACACTGGTGCTGCACTGTTATCTGTCATCTGGATGCAATCAGGACAGACCAGGGCTGCCTCTCATCAGCTCACACTCATGTGTTCTCTAGTCTGTCTTCACCCAGCCTGCTTTGAGCTAATGCCCCACCAGTGCAAGCACTGTAGTTAATGCAATGACAATATGCATATAATTATATTGTGCTGAAGTTTACAAAGTTTGATCAGCACAAAATGTTGCAGACATACCCACTCACACACAGACACCTCTTTCTTAGGTCAAATCTTTTTAATAGTCAATATTTTTCTATGTCGTAAGTTGGTTAATAGGCTTGTGATGGTAAACCATCCTTTACTCAGGTATCAGCTGTTTCAGTCTTAGAGCTGATTGAAACTTGCAGAGAATTGTCAAAGTATTTGTAATGTGTGAAAGGGGTCACATACACAAGCATGTATCAGTTCTGAGTCACACACAGATTAGTGGGTCTGGCCTTTCTGAGTCAGCCTTGAAGCCTTATTCTTTCTTACTGAAATACTGAAAGTGTTCTCCTTTGGTTTTTCTAAATTTAATTTCTACTCTCTCTTTGTATTCATTTTACAGAGAGACAGCCAGCATCCCTCTCATCCCTCTGGGACTGAAGGAGACAAAGGATGTCGATTTCTCTGTTCCTCTCAAGGTCAGTTTCTTTCCCGACGACCCCTCAATGTTTACCTCAGTTATCAGGCATTGAGTTAGGTGGCTTTCATGATTCTCAAAGCTTTTCTTAGTGAAAACAGAAAGTAGGTCACAGAATAATAAACAAGGAAGCCAAAGACTCAATAAAACGTTAATTGCAGTTTTGAAAGTCTACAGTGAAGTTTGATGCATGGCATTTATTATCTTATAAATAAGTGGGTGTTGAGATGTTTGTTGAGAGACAAGGATCAATCAGATGCTTTCAACCTGTAATTTAGCTGATCTGTAATGACATAGCAATGCAGGTGAATCTATGACACAGTGTTATTGTTACATCTGTCTTCAGACAAGTTTAACAAGGAGAACAGGCCTGTGAATACGTGACTGTGTGGCCTTTTGTGTTTGTGTTGACATTATCAATGAATTGATATGTAAATGCTTTATTTGAACAGGACTTCATCCTGGAACACTACAGTGAAGACGGCTCAAACTTTCAGGATCAGATCGATGACCTGATGGACCTGAGACAGGTATGATACAACATCTGTAAAAGGTGCCAGGTTCGATTCTTGGTTGAAATTGAAGTTTAGGATAAAATAAATCTGATCAGTAAAAACAGATGCGCAAGGCTAACCAATGAGACCGGTATTATCAAAGATCCTGACGTAAAATGTGTGTTTTTCAGGCCTGTCGGACCCCCAGTCGTAATCCTTCTGGTGTGGATTTGCTTGCCAACTACTTCAGTCAACTTTCCTTCTTGGAGACTCGATTTTTCTCCCCTACACGCCAGCTTGGCATTTTCTTCACATGGTAGGTTGCATCTCGCCCACACCAGCAGTAATATGCTTGTAATGAACTTATACACTACTGTATAAGCTGTAAACATAACTCATTCAGAGGAAACACACAACTGGTCTGACTGGGCTGTCAGGCTGCGTTTGTTGTTTCTATGTCAGCTTTTTGTTTCATTTATTAACCTAGAGACAAAGGGAGATGACAGGATAAATAAAGAAAATGTGTCATCATCAAAAAGCTGGAGAGAATTAATGGAACTGTTAATAAACATATAGTATGCAATTCCTATTAACACAGCATTACATATGCAACCAAAAAAAAAAAAAAATAAGCCTCACATGAGTTTTAACACACATTTTTTTGTGCCTACGCAGGTATGACTCCTTTACCGGCATGCCTGTGTGCCAGCAGAACATCTCTCTGGAGAAAGCCAGCATGCTTTTCAACATGGCAGCTCTCTACTCCCAGATTGGCACCCGTGCCGACAGACAGACACAAGCTGGACTCGAGGACGCCATCGCTGCCTTCCAGAAATCTGCAGGTGAGAGGTTTTGAGTAGATGCACTTCTTATATGCAGATACGTTTGTGAGAAGGTAAGGTATCCAAAACTATCCATGATGAACCGTGGTTGAAGACCTGCCTCGTGAGAACAGACGTGTATTCAGGTTCTGGTTGTGTTTTTAAGGTGGAGTGAACATGACGTAATTCTTCCCCCTCAACAGCAGATCTGTCACAGGCTCATGGGAACTCAGTGGCTTGTGTTGGTTTTTAACCTCCTTAAAATAACAGCAGCATAAAGAGAGATTTGGCTTGCTTTCTTAAGCTATCAAAACAGCCAACCCCGCTGTCTTTCATCACATAGAATGTTTTGTATATCTCCACCGGAAAGAAAGTCCAAATATAGTCGCTCTCCCCTTTTGTTGCTGTGAATTATTACATTATTACAGAAATTGATTGACACACTGTGCTACAAGTCTTTTTTTTATCTCTAAGATCTCTGTGTTTGCAAAATCATTAAATGAAAGAGATGACAATGCTATTTTACATAAGCTAAAAAAGAAATGATCTATCTAATACATTTACGCTGTGCTGCAGTGGACTGGCAAATATAAGGGGACTGGTTTGTGTAGATATAATGTTGAATTCTGTCCGGTTTTCTGTATGTTCTGCTGTAGGTGTGCTGCACTTCCTGAAGGAGACATTTACACACACTCCCAGTTATGATATGAGTCCTGCAATGCTGAGCATGCTGATCCGGCTGATGCTAGCACAGGCGCAGGAGTGTATGTTTGAGCTGATCACTTTGCCTGGAATCCGAAATGAGTTCTTCAGCCTGCTCAAAATGGCACAAGAGGCTGCCAAGGTACTTGTTAAATGTTTTCAGACTAAAGAATTAAGTGATATTACAGTGGAGATCTATATGTAATACATTGGAGTGTTTTTTTTTTTTTTTTTAATTTTATTGGTCTTGGATTTGATATTGGATATTTAATTGTGCATGCTCATTTTCCCTATTTTTACATTTCGATTAGCTTTGTTGTTATCTAATGGTCCATTTAAAGAAATTTGTAAAACAAAAAAACACACATAACATTGTGAAATGTAATCTTTAGCAAATCTCAGATTGAATTTTGTACATTATAATGTAGTGATGCCTAAATTCACTAGCTTTAAAAATGATTTAAGTTAGTTAAAACTTTTATTTAGTAAGGATGCATTAAATTTATCAAAAGAGACAGTAAAGGCATATAAAGAAACCAATGATTTCTATTTCAAATAAATGCTGTTGTTTTGAAATTTCTATTCATCAAAAGAATCTTAAAAATCTTAAAAAAAAATCCTTTATTTAGTTTCAACCAAAAAAGCAGCACACATTTTTTTTTTTTTTGGTTGATAGTAAGACGAAATATTTCTTGTGCACCAAATCAGCATATTTGAATGATTTCGGAAGGATCATCTGACATTGAAGACGGGAAATTCAGCTTTGCCATCACAGGAATAAATTACATTTGAATAAATATTGCAATAGAAAATAGTTCTATTATACTGTAATAATATTTTACAATATTGCTGTTTTTACTGTACTTTTTTTAATCAAATAAATGCAGCATAAGACGCTTAGTTCAAAAACATGTAAAAATAGTACTGACCCCAAAATTTTTGAAAAGTGGTGTATGTATAAAGAAAATAATTCACAGAATTTTCTGTGATATTCTTTCTTTTTTTAATTCAACCTTGGAGCATCGTTACAAAGGGACATTTTTACATGCGTATAAATACATGACCTATTGATCTTATCAGTATGCAGGCCTTTCCCCAAAGCCTACAGTTACTCCTCTGTCTGGAGTGGTTGTGATATTTACCCCTCTCTCCTTTCTTTTCCCAGGTGGGGGAGACCTACAGTCAAGTTCACCAGTCCATGATCCAGACCCCCATTAAGAACAACGTGCCCTTTTTCTGGACTACCATGTCCCATCTGAAGACCAATCACTACAACTCACTGGCCCATTACTTTGTCTCCACCGCTCTGCTTGACCACCAGTGTAAGTTAAGCAGCCAATCACAGCTCTTAGCCATCTCCCATTGGCTGACAGCCCACTGGAACCTTTAAAGGTTACCTTCGTGTCTCATTCATAGAAACCGTTTCCTTTTCCTTGTGAGAGTAAAGAAGGATTCAGGTATCAGTGCTTTAATGGACTTTATTCTGGGGAGCTTTTTTGAGGACGTAAAGAGGGAGGCAGATGAAAGCCAGAGAAGGTTCAGTATCTCGGCTACTTTTGACAGTGTGCTGATGGACTGTGCCAGAACTAATGGGATTATGTAACATTCTCTTTGTTATTCAAACAGTCACTCCTCCATCCACTCTTCCTCTCTTGTGTTTTTACATCTCCATAACAGACAGTTTTGGCTATTAATGAGCTTATTTGGGCTCAACAGACCAAGTAAATGCACAATGGGATGTGTAAATGCCACAACAATTAACATAGCCTTAGTGGAATAAAATGAAATTTACAGGAATGTATCCTGTTGTATTGAACAAAACAGCACAGTTTTTAAATGTTGATGATATATGTGTCTGTATGTGTAGTGACGCCTAGTGATGATGAGGACAAACAAGAGAAGGCTCTGTCACAACTTTACGATGCCATGCCAGAGGGACGTTCTCCTCTTGACATCCTGAAGAATAAGGACGACAGGCGGAGAATAGGTGTGAAGCTCATACATGCATACCTGTCAGGTGTAAATGATTGGGATATTCCACTTTAGCACACTGAACTAATATTTTCTGTCTGTTTGCTCAGGTAAAGCTCACCTGCAGCGCTCCATCATGGGACACGAAGAGGCCATCCGCACACATTCCTGCTGTCGACACCTGCAAAAACTGGACATCCTGAGTGACATTCTGCAAGCTAGCCTCAAACGCTCTCTTACCAAGTTCGACCAAAATAATAAGGAAGATGAGTTCACGGACTACATGCTTGCACCAGATATTATCTGTAAGTCAGAGATAGACACAGGGGTCAGTTTTAGAATGTTTCAGATCAATGTGATCACTCAGACCACATACGGGGTTAAGCCACGGTCGCACTAGACTTTGAGCACGCAAAAATTCTGCAGCATCTTTTTTAAAAGCATAATTCAATCGATAATACATCCAAAATGTATGGATTGTGTTCTTTTAATTTAGCTCAGCAGTCATGTCATGAAGAATTAATTTTCTATTGGGCACAAATGTTCACAAATTTACAGGTCAGAGTGCTGAACTTACGTTTCCTGTCTATCGCATTTGTATGCGTATGAATGGAAATCAATGGAACTAAAAGTGCAGTGTGACCGCCCTATTAGTTGGAATCGCATGTAACCATATCACACTTGTATTATAAACACTAATGCATCTGGATGTGTCCTGGTACATTTGCGATGCATTTTACTTCCAGATTTAAACAAATGTTCTGTCTCGCCTGATCACATGATTGGATTACTGGAGATTGATGTTATTCGCTCATTATGTAAACTTTGACTGTTCTGCTGTAGTTTTTAAATCTAAAAAGTAACCTATATGCAACAGTGAGTTTTGTTTCACTGAAGCATCACATTTTGAACTGTGTTCTCAGAACGCGACCTGCATGTTACAGTAGAGAACAAAAGTGCTAAGTTCAGTTGACAGTGTAAACATGCAGTAACATTGTTTTACTCCTTCTCTGTTAGCTAAAACGGAAAAGAAAGCTGAGATGGAGATTACAGCTGCCATCAAGGTGAAAGTCACAGACCTATTCCATCGGCTGGTATGTGGGCTACTAATTTTACTCAAAAACTGTTCGAGCTCTTTTCACAGCACAGGAATGCTTGTACAAATTTGCAGCTTTCTTGGTACACAGAAGAGTTTTACATAGTAAAGTCTTCTGTGAGCATGTGTGCTGTTGAACAGACCCATGTTAATTGACCTGTACACACTTGCCAAACAGACCATAACCTCAACAATCTGAGGTTTTAATTTATTTTGTAAAACCAAAATACTGTAACCAGTTGGGGATGACGCTGAGGCACATTTTAGAATTTTGGGGGAATCTGTTTGGTCAGTCTGTAGAGTAAGATACTCTTTTTACAGTACTAATATGAATAACCCTGGTTTGAATCTGAATTTCTGAGTGTTATAACATCCTGAAACTATGACTCTATAAAACTCAAATCAACCTTGTTTTTACTATTACTATTACTCGTATTTGGTGTCAGAGGTTTGAACAAACTTCTAACCCTAAGTATTTAACTTTGGCACAAAACTCATCCTGCACTATTTGTCCACAGACATTAATGATACCTACCATATATTGAATGACTTGTTGAGGGGTGATGTGCTGTTCAATTTTTTTTTAAACTTGATTCCTCCTAAAACCTTTGTTTTTATTAGTAATTAAGTTTATATAATTGTCAAATGTATGTCTCTGCGTTAATGATTTTGTTATAGAGTGTTGCAGTGATTGTAGGTCAATCCAGAAGTTAGCATCACTCTGATTCCCTCAAATAAGCTCTGTGACCTACAGATGTTTCTGATTCTTACATGTTTTGTTCAAGATAATCTTCACAAATGAACATGACTATGAATTATGAATTTTGATGCCTAAATACAATCAGCAGAAGTAAAAAGCAAAAAGAGCTACACTGCGGTCTCACGACTTTAATATCACCACCACAAAGCTTCTGAAAACCCTTTCAATCTTTATTTAAAGTCTACAAGTTGGAAAGTTTGAGTTAGAATAGTTTGCAGCAGTGCGAGTATAAACACGAGGCTGTAAAAGCGGACTAGTGAGTAGATGGGGTTTTCCTGTTCAGTACAATGATGTCTAACAACCTCTGTAGTCCCATTTAGCCACTTGTTAGAAACCACATTTTTCAAGACATGTAAAAGCTTAGGAACAAAATCACTAGTTGGGTATTAATGATTTATTTTATGGCATAGAATAAAACATTAATTTTTATTACCCATCATTAGGTGTTTTTTCTTCATCATGATGATATCAGGATAGTTATCAAAGTAAATTAAGAATGAAAAACATGCCTATTATAGAAGTCATTGTATGTATTAAATATTAACTAAAGTATTAATGTATTTTTAAATTAATTAATAGATTTAACAAAACCTAACGTTGTTTCATTGACCCGTTTGTCTTTATTTTGAGTTTGATTTCTGTAACAAACAGTCTTCGTCTGCAGTAGATTCTGTGAAACTGGAAGAATCGTTTTGACTCTGTGCTAGAATATTAGAATTGTAAATCTGGTGTACAGAACTGGAACATTCGAGAACCACAGTGACGTATATTCCGTTCCCTCAGGCTGTGGGGAGCAGGCTAATTCAGGTGAAGGAGGCAGAGTTTATGATGTGGTTAGTTTTATGGAAGCGTATATTTGAGTTTTACCACCTTCAGATGTCTGAGTGACCTTCAGAGAGTTCAAAGAACCACTGCCGGGATCCTGTAACAGTTGCCATGGGCACTTTAAATGACCCCTTACTTCAAATTCCATTTCCGTAGAACATGGGGAGGTCAGTTTAACATATAAGCTTTGCAAGTCCTTAATCAAGTCAGATGACCTTTCTGAGATAGGGGTCAACCATATACCACTTTAACCAGTGGTTCTGAAACTTTTTGACTCAAATACCCCCCTTTTCTCAGAGAGGCTCTCCTGTCTAAGCTGATACAGTGTGTAACTGGTAGTTCTTTTGTAATAAAATCAAATAAGGTAAAAAATATTAATATCACACATCTTTATTTTAGTGTTTTATCATTGCACTTAAAGGGTTAGTTCACCCCAAAATTTCTGTCATTCCAAACCCGTAAGACCTTCGGTCATCTTAACAGATGAGTTAAGATATTTTTTATTAAATCTGAGAGGTTTTTGAAGCAGCCATAGGCAGCAACGTCATTGCAACTTTCAAGGCCCAGAAAGGTAGTAAAGACATCGTTAAAATAGTTCATGTGACTACGGTGGTTCAACCTTTATGTTATGAAGCGATGAGAATACTTTTTTTACGCAAAAAACAAACAAAAATAACGACTTTCTATTAACAATTTATTTTCTTTTGTGTTAATCTCCTACGCTGTTGACGTTGTAAACACAGTGCAGCACTTCCTGGTTCTACGGCAGAACGCCGGCTCACCATTGGCCAGCTCGCGTGCGTCGTGGTGTTGGCCAATACTGAGCCGCCTTTCTGCCGTAGAACCCGGAAGTGCTGCACTGTGTTTACTACGTCACATTACAGTTGAACCACTGTAGGAACATTAGCAACATACCGATGTCTTTACTACCTTTCTGTGCCTTGAAAGTGGTAATAATGTTGCTGCCTTTGTGGGGTCAGAAACGGATTTGTGTTCCAAAGATGAACGAAGGAAGGTCTTACGGGTTTGGAACATAAGGGCGAGTAATTAATGACAGAAATGTAATTTTTGGGTGAACTAACCCTTTAAGATTTTTAATATAACTCAATTTAAATTTTAAGGCTTTTTTGGCCCCCTTCTGAAGTAACTTTTTGTGCCCTCTGGTTGAGAACCACTGCCTTAAACGCTTCAACCTGAACATCACCTCAGATGGCGGTGCTTTTCATGATGATATTAAATAAACCTTCTACACCATATGAGCAAAGCCATTCGCATATACTGCGTGAAGTCAGTCTGCCAGTAAGCCAAATGTTTGGATGGTGAGCAGTTTGGATTTACAGCCAAGGACAACCAGGGTGGCAGGCTAAAGTTAAAAACGCCCTGAGGCTGAGTGTGTTTGAATTAGGTGAGTTGCTATAGTGAATTGCTGTTGTATTTGTGTTGTGCAGGGGCCTTTGTCAGTGTTCTCAGCTAAGCAGAGATGGTCAGCTCCGCGCACCATCCGGCTGAGACTGCAGGAGAGAGACCTCGGATTCACTCTGAAGGGAGATGTGCCCGTTCAGATACAGTCACTCGATCCCCTTTGTCCCGCAGCAGTGAGTGTTCACGCACAGACACAAACACAAACAAAATCATGCTTGTTGAACACAAAAGAAGATATTTTGAAGAACCTTTTTTGTCCATATAATGAACAATGGTGTTCAAAACAACAGTGGACACCACTGTGTACAACTGTATGGACAAAAAGAATCTGAGACATTTGTCAACGTACCGTTTTTTGTGTTCCTTGTTGTAAACTTCTCCCCCCTCCATTGTATTGCAAATGAATAATTAATAGTCATGACAATTATCAGAAGAGGTACCTACTTCCTGTTTCAATTAATCTTTCTTTTATACATGTGTCTGTCCCTGAAGCTGAGGGTAGATTCAATCTTTGACCACAGCAATTAAATGAAAACAAAACACACATATATCCACGCCCACTGCACCTGTTTTTGACCATATGAGTCTCAAGCTGTCTCAAGCAGCTGTGTGTCTCCCACAAATAACTCACCTTATTTTTGTTGGAGCACAAGAACGAGTCCTCTCAGAGCTCATCTCTATGGTAACAGCAGTGTGGTCGTGCCGATAAACTCATACCATAAATATCTGAAGTGTCAAAGCGCCACTCTTGCAGGACGTGATTTACTTCTCTGACCTTCTCCTGTTTTTCCTTTGTTTCTTTTTCTCTCCACTATCTCTTCATCACCAGGCTGAGGGACTGAGAGAGGGAGATTACATTGTTGCTGTGGGCGACACAGAGTGCAAATGGCTGGGAGTGAGTGACGTTATGAAGCTTTTAAAGGATGTGGATGAGGAGGGCGTCGACATCAGAGTGGTCAGCATGATGGATAGCAGCAGCCAGCCAATGGTAACTGCTTTTTTTTCAAGGTTTTCTTTGCCTACCATTGGTTGAGGAATTATATTTAATAATATTTATTTAGATGCACTAATATTAACAATATAGTTAGAATATAAATACACTACTGTTCAAAAGGGGTCAGTACGATTTAAAAAAAGAAGAAATTAATACATTTCTTCATCAAGGAAGAATTAAATTGATCACATGTGGCAGTAAAGACATTTATAGTGTCACAAAATATTTATATTTCAAATAAATGCTATTTTATTCAGAATAAGTGTTGTTGGTGGTTTAATATTCTCTCTCTCTCTCTCTCTCTCGCTCTCTCTCTCTCTCTCTCTCTCTCTCGCTCTCTCTCTCTCTCTCTCTCTCTCTCTCTCTCTCTCTCTCGCTCTCTCGCTCTCTCGCTCTCTCGCTCTCTCTCTCTCTCTCGCTCTCTCTCTCTCTCTCTCTCTCTCTCTCTCTGCTCTCTCTCTCTCTCTCTCTCTCTCTCGCTCTCTCTCTCTATTTGTCTCTGAAGCCCACCAAGAGTGCTACATACTGCGGCGGTCTGCCGAAGACCTACTCCATGATCTGCCTGGCTCATGATGAGGATGATAAAAACCCGAAGTCTCGCAAGGTAGCAAAAAAACCATCATTCCTCAGCTGGGGTCTCAAGAACAAGAAGAGCAGCAGCACGCTGAGTCTCCCTACTGCAGATTACAATGGACCCTGGAACAGACCTACCTATCCCAACTCGTATAATGAAAGCGCTCTCTACTAAACACACAAAACTGGATTTATGCGTATGCTGATAGTGTAAAAGCACACTATTTTGCAAGAAGAGGAGGAGAGATTTTTAGTGAGATTCAGATAAATTACAGATGGAAAATAAATATGTACATTTTGCACAGACCTATAAACACAGATGTAAGCTATACTTTTGTTCCTTCATTAGTCTGGTTGTCTAGAAACTCTCGCCAATAAATTAAAGGTGAATGATTACGTGTTTTAACAAATCAGTAGATAAAATCATGACGTGTATGCTGCTCGAAGTATTTTTATTTTTATTGGTTTGTTTTATTATTGTTTTATTGAACGGCTAAATGGTGTTATGAAGGATTTTTATTTTTTTTATTTTTTTGGAAAACTCCACAAATTGTGGCATTAACAGGCATCCTCTTCAAATTAAAATGAGGGCTGGTAGATTGTCAGTTAACATGCAGCCTTTTTTTTTGAGCCTGTAGCTTACAGACAGACCACTACAGCAGGTTTCTGTGATGATCTTGCATCATCGAAACAGAATTCTAATCCGATGTCAATCACTGTAGAAGAACAGAATGTAGGAGAGGATGGTGAATAGCTTTTGCCCTTGGAATGTCTATACAAACAGTAATATGATTTGGTGTAACTCAAGTATTTACGTACTGAAGCGAAATACTGTAATAGGACTCTATTGGCAAATTCAAGCAAGAAAGATGGAATATAGCAGTGAATACAAATGCCGTTCTTTTTTAACCTTTGTTTCATGTGTTTTACCTGGCACTTCTTCAGTGTTGGAATATTTCACTGTCTACAAAGTAGATTTTTATACACATTTGATAATCAAATAATTTATATGCAAAATAAAGAGAAAAAATATCTATATAAACATGTATTCATTTTAAGTATTTAGGTTTTGCAACGTGAAACTGTGGCCTGATTGTTTTTTGGTTACAAATCTTTCTGTTACTTGGTGTACGCTCTTCTGTTTATATGGTATAGCTCAAAGGCTACAGATGGCAATGTGTTTTTTTTTGTCTTACTGATAATATTTAACTTTTCATTTATTTGTGGAAAACACTGCCTCTCAGAATCCTAGAAAGTCAGAAGCCTTTAAAATGCCTTACAACAGTCTACACTGACAAAATTATATTTAACTGGACTTCCGCTCCTGCTTGTAAAAACTTTATTATTGTTAATGAATGTATCCTTACCATTTATGTTTCTGCTAGTGCCACATTTGGAATTATAATGACAAACACTGTTCTGAGGGGTTGTTGATATTATAAGGTTACATATTGATTCTTTGAAAGTTAATGTTCACAGACCTTTTCTTTAAGGTCAAGCCAGAATCTTCATCAATGCCCTAAATTCTAACTTGGCTACAAATGTTAGTAATAATAGAGCAGATTTATAGTTGCTCTTGTGTCTACAATTTATGTAGATTACCAATGGATAGATCCATGGAAATGTCTGGATTATGATGCAAACTATATTGTTGTCTACTTTTGTTGTATATGTAAATTGTGATCTAAATAAAATACGGGGTCAAAGCTGTGGCTGTTCTTATTGTAAGAGGTTACTGTGGTCATTCACTGTGTAATCATCACAACCGTGCCAATTCTGGTTAAAAGTAACTGTTGTGTAAGCAAGTGGTTATATCTTAATACAGGTCATGCATGAATAAGTTTTGACAGTTGTAAAGCAGATTGTCAGTTTTGCCCTCATTTATTTTTCCGATTTGTATTTTTTTAAGATAGAATATATTAAGATTTAGTCATCTACTACCCACTTCTCCTAAAATATATTTTAAAATATATATTTCAAAGCCTTGTTGCCCTCTGTGACTTGTATGTGAAACTCATTGTAAAGGCAGGGCAGAATGGAGTAATCTCACCATTAGAGAGTGAAATGCAGTAATACCATAATAATATAACGATCGATTGACTTCTATAACTCTGAGGAACCTCAGTAAAACAGAGCAAAAGAGATTCATACTCTGTTCCTCTCTTTGTATTAAAGGAAAAGCATAGTTCATGTTGTTCTCTGCGCATGTGATTCTGGGCAGTGAAAATGGTGTGGTGGACTAATGGATTTTAAATCACTCACAGACTGGGGAATTTTATGGTGTGGCTTTGGTTAGGTTATTAGAGAAATTGCTTACCAATGCCAGCAGTGATGTCACAGTGGTTGTGTGTGTGTGTGTGTGTGTGTGTGTGTAAGAGAAAGATAGAGAAGATGTCTCTGCATCTCCTACAGCTGGAGAACATTAATATCAGAAATACACTTGACTCAGGACTCACTGACAAAAGCTTTTATTCAAAAACTGGAGTTTTACTGGAATCATTTACATATCCCACATGAGTCACAGGAACACTTTCCACCAGAGTGATTTCTAACAGACGCAGTTTCTCCTCTTCAGCAGTCTTGTAAAAACACAGGAAGCATATTTAACCCACTTAAAAATGGAGTCAAGTTAGGAGATGACACATACTTATTGAAATGAATACTAGTCTAGTACACCAAAAATATTTGCAATGACAACTTACATTGTTTTCTTTCAATGAAAACGGGAAATGGACCAGTTTTATGCCATTACTTTAGTGAATGTATTTGTGTCTAATACTGTCATGAAGATTAGATACTAAGTATAGACGGTTTCACTCCAGCGGGGCTGACTCTGAGTCCCCAGAAAGTACACAATAGGATTAAAAACTGTTAAATCTCTAGATGTGACAGTGTCAGTGATACTGACCTCTTTTCAGTGCATGTTCTGAGGATTTATGCAAGATAAATAATAATAGCAATAATAATAATAATAGTTGTAGTAGTAGAATATGGAGTAATAAAGTACAAAGCATGGAAGAATTGTGGAACACACTTGTAGCATTTCATAATGTTAGCTAAACATTATAACACATATTCCGCTGTTAGTTGATGAATGGTGTTCATCGTAGAGCTACAATTTTAGGTTATGCGTATTTCACAAAATCCACTGCAAAACTATAGATGTTTAGGAAAGTGTAGAGGTTTTGTTGACTTTAGTGTTTGGTGTTTTTGGTTAAAATCACATTCCCTTTTAACTACATTGCACCCTCAGCGAAAAGTATTGTGGGGTTCAATTTTAGAAATTGTCAACTAATTTGGGGTCATATTTGATCCATAGACTTGAGCTACACAACAAGAAGGTGAAAGATCATGAAGTCTTTTAAATAGTTCTTCATATTTTCAAATGGACTTTAATTCTGTTATTTGGAGATTCTGAGGTCACACAGCCAGGTTGAAAGCCAAAACGATATTTTATACATTATACATTTCAATCTTTACTTAAAGCTATTTAAAATTATCCATATACAACAGAAAAGTCAATAATAAATCAAGCTTTTATTGTTTTTCCTCAAACACCTTTCCCCCGTGGCGTGCAGACTTCACAGTTGTGGTCGAGACTTCCCCCTGCTGGAGAACTGCCGCATTCACACGTAGCACGACGCCGTTGCTAAGAGGATTAAAAAGCAACGCTGATTGGTTAAGCGAGCACAAACAAACCAATAGGAGGGGTTGTTATATTTCAAGGTTTTTTTATGGAGAGCGTCTAGTTACGTGAAGTTGAGTTGAATCCACTAAGATTTCGATGAAAATAATCGTTGTTTATAAAAAAACCTATAAAACGGTCAGTTATGAGCTATAAAACATAGTTTTGCCACACCGATAGATCTGGAAAGATCAGTCCTGACCGCGGTTTTCATAAATCTTAAACTCACATCTCTCACCGAAGCGAGGGAGTTTGTTGAGGACTAACGTTATGTCATCCAAATTCAACTTCAGCTTCAGGAGAAAAGAGAAGAGAGAATTTGTAAGTCTTCTATTGCTTAAATATAACTGTAATATTAGCTAACGTTACACTTTGTGTACGTACTTTGTGTCCGTGGTTATAAGCAACCTATACATTAATTCAGAACTCAGTATTTAACTTACTTATGGTACTTTAACACGTGTACTTATACTGTGATGTAGTAAAATGTGTGATGTTGTTTGCGGTTGTGGATGTTTAGCGGAATATAGCTCATGGCTTGATCCCTGCTGCCACCATTGCCCCTAGACCTGCTGTTCCCCGCACTCCTCCCCCACGAAGCCCCAACCCCTCTCCAGAGAGACCCAGGTATACCCACCCACATAACATATTCCAATCCATAAAGATCACTTTAGTTCCCCTCCCTCATTTTACACAGCTCTCAATGCATGTTCTTGAGGGTCCCTTAATTCACTTATCATTAGCCATAATGTTTTTCATCGAACATTCCTGTTTCAGGTTTATTTTTCCAATATCTTTACATGCTTTTTATCTGTAAACTTTGTAATCTCTCTGATATCTGTCACAGGTCTGCTTTGGCAGCTGCCATATTGTCTTCCTCCTTGACAGGCCGTACTGTTGCCATTCCTCCTCCACGCCAAAGATCTTACTCTGAGAGTGATTGTTCACGTGCAGACAGCCAAACTGGCTTTGAGCCCTACGCTGCCACAGCACTTTATACCAGGTAATATAGTACATCGTTTCATTGACCTAAATCAGGGATTCCTAAACTTTTTTTTTTGTCAACAGGAGATTTTAAGTTAATATTTTAATAATTTAACAACAAATGATCACATGACATGCAGATGTGCACATGTGGACCACTTTTATGACACTATATCATCATTTTTGAGGTTTGAATGCGACTAGTATAGATTTCTGTAATTTGTCCTTTTTTGTTTTAATGGAAGAAAAAATTTCACAGCGTAGAACGACATGGGGAAGAGTTTCATTTTTGGGGAACTAATCCTTTAAATGAGTCTGAAAGCACAATCATCGTCAATAATACAGAATGTCTTCTTATCAGAGTAACACGGCAGGCCACATTGATATAGACATTATTGGTTCAGCAGGGGGGAAAGTAGTTTACTTACAAATTTAGTCTTTGGTCTGATTGCACTCTTTTGAGAGGATGTGTTACAGAGAGTGGTTTAAGCAGCAATAGCTTGTCAACACATTTTATGCAATTTAAATATGTGGATTTTGATTACTTGAGCAAGACACATGAAATTAATGAATTTACTCTCTCACTTTAGGGATAGATGGCCAGA